GAGGATGGGATTGGACATGGTACGGATACCTTGTACCAAGAACCACCACAAATTAACATTCGTATGTATTTATAACAAGTCTCGTCAGGATCTGCATGCCATTCATTCATTCATTACTTTTGACATGAAATTACTTGACAAGTTTGGGAGTGGAAAGAATGTATCACAGAGCTCAAATTGTGCTAAAAGGAATGTCCTGAGTAGTCTGCAACCAAAAGGCAGAGATCAATAAAAACTGCAATTGCTGGAAACCCAAACCCAAATACTGACCCGACATTGTCTTTCAAGTCACTGACTCACTGTCTTGCACCCCAACAGTTTCTGCTTTTAATGTTTAATGCCCATCAACAACCTTCTCCACCCTAAAGATGAACAGTTCAATCAAAAATCACAGAAAATGTTCCACGTATTGGTTTTAGTCAGTGTTACTATGGTAAAGGAATGTTCTCGCCCAAGTCACCGGTACGCTTTGTGGACAAATTGTATCCCTTCCTAACAGCAGAACCCGATCCCATTCTCACCACAAGATCCATAATAATCCTTTCATTTCATATACCGTCTTACCACATCGACCCATCTCAAAGCGTTTCATAAAATTTACTGTAAAGTGTAGTGACTATTTGTAGGTGAATGCAGCAGCCAATTGGCTCGAAGCAACATCCCACAAAACAGCTATGAAGTGAATGAAGAATGGGTGGGTGGGTGGGGGGGAGAAACAGCAGCCTAGGACACCGGGATCTTTAATGTTCAGCTGAACAAGCAGACAGGACCTTGGTTTTAAGGACTCGTCCAAAGGACGGAACCCACAGCAATACATTAGAATGTCAGCCAAGACTGAAAGGTCTTCATCTCAGCATATAAGTATATATATATATTTTTAAAACGCACTAAGAGTGAAACTTGTGCACTGCTCTTCAATAGATTGCTGGAATTACACACTGGGAATTTTGTAGCCAATTCCCCACCCACAACAAATAACATTTTCAGCAAGGAACTTAGAATAATAATCCTTGCATTTGATATAGAGTCGTATAACATCATCGAGATGTCTCAAAGCTCTTCACAGGATTTACTGTAAAGTATAGTGACTGTGTTTTGTGGGTGGAATATAAATAGTTACTACACGTGGCACCAATTACCTGTGAAGAGCTCGGAGATTGACATCATAAACGGACTATTAAATGTGAGGATTAGTATTAAATTTAATACTGTAAATCATTGTTCTTCTTTCTCCCCCACCCACCCTCACCTACGTATCCAGCTGGAGTCCCCTGGTTTCTCTGGGTCCACAGGATCCTGGCTGGGGCTTTCTCCACACTTCTCAGCAATGTTCTTTGCTTATAATCTTCCCTTCACACCACCACTGGGTGAGGCATGATCAGAACGGGAAAAGCTGAACTTTCCCTTCAGCAGAGATCGTTAACATGAAGAAGTGAATGTTGAAACCGGGCAAGTGTTGGGAGTTAGTCACTTGACCAGGAAACAGAGGGACCTCCATAACACCATCAGAAGCAGTAAGAAGGCAGAAAAGTGAGTCATGTCCCAGGACAGCTGGTGAGTGTACTTCCACTCCTGGTTCAGATAAGCACCAGCACAAACCAAGTACATGGACTTTCCTGTTTTCCCTTCAGCTACAGTATTACACAGTGCCCCACCTCGTGGCCCAGCCCAGAATAGAGAAGCTCAGCCACTCTGACGGTGGCTCATTACAAGTAACTGGAATCACATGTAGCTGAGGTAGCAATGGATCCCAGCTCGGACCATACATAGAATATACACGGGCACACATCATCCCGATTTATATTTCACTTCCAGCAAGGGGAGGGCACGCTTCCACTTTTGGTGGCTTTGTTCTGCCATTTATACAGCAAATCGTTTCTGCAAGCAGTGTTTTTTTTAATTTAAAAAAAAGGCAGCACTGACCACAATCCAAAGAACATTTCCTTACCCCTTCACATAATGAATAATTAGGAAAAATTATTAAAATATCCCTGTGCTGACTCCATGGACTGATTTATTATTTTGATACTGCCTAGTAAGACTGATGTAAAAGACACCACTGCAGCAGTCCAAGGAAACACATTCCTTTTAGAGCAGCAAATGAGCTTCCTCGGTTTTTTTTAAAAAAAATGCTACATCTCAGAGCTTTCCCCCGGCTTTGGCTCATTCCACAGATTCCCAAAGCTTTGCTTGCACTTGGCACATTTATCTAGGTCAGCATAACTTCCCCTTGCATTGTTGCCATGGCTACTGCCTTCTCCTGACTGCCTTATAAATCAAATATTTGGCTGCAGACTAAAGTCGCTTTAGTGACTGTTTCTGACTTGCCTTGAACATGGACCAAGGTATGACTGCATCTTCAGAGATTGCCTTTTTAGCCTTGAAACATGGCTGTGATTTCAAACCCAGGCCACCAAAATAAGCAAATTAATTTGCAGAATAAAATATCACAATAGAAATGTGCCTTTTTGATTCAGCATCAGGCAGATTTCTGATCTCAGCCAGGCTTTTAGTAAAAGTGTGTGTGTGGGGGGGTGAGGGGGGGAAAGAGAAAAACAAAAAGAAAAATCTCATCTTAGATTCCTCTCATGTAGATTTATAATGTACATTTCGCCCACAAAATACAGTTGATCTACTTTATAGTATATTCTGTGAAGTGCTTTGAGGCAACTCAATGCATAATTCATTGACCTACTACTCGGGTTTGTTCTCATCCTCAGCTTTAGTCCCGTCCACCTGATTGTATGTGGACAAAGGTGCATTTGAATGCAGCTTCTAATACAGTCAGTGGACAAGCCCAGCCCCAGCTGTGACTCGAAGCAGTTCAACGCCTCCCCCACAGCTCTGGCAAAGATCAGAGAAATAAGTGTCTAAACTGGTGGTGCAGCATGTTGGAGCTGCAGTTGGCTGTCAAGTCAAGTGATTCTCAGAAGGGTTAAAGGTGCAGTATGCATTAGTGTAAAAGTGCAGGTTACACCCTGCTGCTTTTAGTGAGTGTCTCTGGAGACATGAAGTGTAGCTCTGGCAGTCGAGATAGCGGGATCTTAGTGTGCGGACAGCTGGGTACAGCATGGGCTGCACCTGCAACGGTCACACAGCAAATCCCTTGATGTCTCCCTGTATGTATTGGCACAACAGCACAAGCCTGCATGTGCAGCTGCGTGAGCTGGCATGGAAACTTGCAACTGCAAAACAAAGAAACTTGGGTGTAAGATGCAAGCGGTTCATGCTGGGTCCGAGCTTCACAAATCCCTCAAGAAAAAAATAAATAGAATTGGTCACTTCAATCCACGACTGTTTGTGGGACGCTGCTGTGCGCAATTGGCTGCCGTGTTTCGCCCACAAATATACAGTCAATTAACTTTACAGTCTATTCTGTGAAGCGCTTTGAGACGTCTAGAAGACGTGAAAAGCACTATTAAATGCAAGGATTATTATTATTACATATAAGCCAGTGAAACCAAGGCACAGCAGAACCAAGTAAATTACATTAGCAGCGTGTACATCACCTATTTTATTTTACAGCATCAGCGAGATTAACTCAGCTTTACTTTTGCCTCATTTGTTCACAACTTGTCCACCTGACCAGCAACATCACAACCTCCTTATGAAGATACAAAGTCTACGAATTTCAGGAAAAAAAGCACAAATACGGACAGGCAAACTGGAGAAGGAGTTGGTAAAACAGTTTCAGGAAGCTGCGGAATATCGAAATCCAAGACAGCGAGTGCTGTACGTCTCAAATCTTTCTGCTCCTCCTTCCAAAGGAAGCCCAGCGCTCACATCCACCACACAATGACCACGCAGCCTGCACAGTCCTGCAGCACCCTCCAGTGGAAGATCATAGTAACAACAATCCCGGCATTGGATATAGCGCTTTTCACGTCTTCTCGACATCTCAAAGCGCTTCACAGAACAGACTGTAAAGTGAATTGACTGTATATTTGTGGGCAAAACGCGGCGGCCAATTGCACACAGCACTGTCCCACAAACAGTCGTGGATTGAAATGGCCAATTTTATTATTGTGTTTTTTTGGGAGGGATTATTATCAGGCGTAAGGAAACTTGCGCAAGGTCTCGCCCCCTGCCTGGAATTGAACCCAGGTGTCCCGCTTGCAAGGCGAGTACTCTAACTACTGAGCTACAGGACTCCATGGACAATTTCTCAGTTCGTTCTTTCGTTGAATTGAAATAAAACATTTCCGTCAAGATTAAAAACTCCCCTGGGGAGAGCTTGTACAGCACGCACTTCATACCAGACAATATGGAAACTATTCACAAGTGCAACTGGCATGATATGCAAAAAATATGAATAAAAATGCATCAAAGAAAGCTCTGTGTTGGTCCAGTTGTTGTTATGAATCTCTTCTTGCAGCGTGTCAGCTCTTTTTATTAAAAATCCATTGCAGTTGATGACTTTTATTGTTCATCCATTTTCAGTCATAATGAATTGTGCATTCTCAGCAGTTTGAGAACTTTACTCATCGCGTTAACTTTCATATAAAAATTTATTTTAGATGTTTCGCTGGTTTCTTATTATAACATTTTGGAGAACACACACCGCAGTCTGCTCACAAAACCATTTGTTCCATCAACTAAGTATTTTCTCAAATGAATGTTACAGCAGCACCATTTACTTACAAAAAAACAAACTATTCCAGATCAAACCACAAAGCATCTCATCTTAAAAACAAAGCGCTTTTCTGGTTTTACTTTAGATATTCCTATCATAGTCAACAATGGGAAAGCAGGATTATCTTATTGCCACAACTTCAAATTTCATTCCCCAAAGTAAATCACCAAAGCTGCATTATGTGATGCTTCTAGGAATACGATCAGATAATTCTGCTGTTCTTCCATTCAAACTAAAATGGGCAGAATAGTGTTCCTCAAGGATCACTCCTGGCTTTTTCTGACCAGTACAACTAGATGAGCATATTATTCACTTGTTTCTTACTTGAACTAAAATGCTATGATAAGCTGGAAATCCAGGTCCTTACCTTTCGACAGCGAGGGTTGGGGCAGCTGAACATATTCACGTCTACATCCAACAGTGCCGGGAAGTTACAGAACGGGCACCTGGAACAGGGAATGAGATAAGGACATTTTTAATTAAAAACAAAACAACTGGTGGTGGTACAAGTTCATCAGCTTGGCATGTTAAACAGACTAACTGTACAAGATTGCAATTGTTTCATTAAAAAAGTAAACACAAAATTGTATAATTTAATTTTTTCAAACAGGAATGGCATGAAAACTGAAAGGAACAATGGCACTGACCAGCTGACCCCCAAAACAAGACGGTGTGGGAGAAAAGAGATGCACAAGAATATTGGGAGAAAAAGAACTACAGGATTGAAACACCGGCTGAGATCCCATAAGGGAGAGGGGAAAAGAAAGGTAAGGGAGAGAGGAAGGATGGGTGGAGACTCATACGGAATAGACTAGTTGGGCCCAGTTTCTGTGCTGTACAGTCCTTGTAAGTCTTTGTAGACAGCAGTGATGCTTGGCTCCATTAGAATAAAGCAATCAGTCGTTGTGGTCTCAATTTTGCTGGAGGAGGGCTGGGGGGGGGGGGAGGGGGGCTGGTTAAAAGTCAAAAGGAAATTTCTCCGTGGTTTCAGAATTTTATTTCCCAAAGTAAATAAATAGAAGATAAAGAAGGTACTGTGAATGTGCTCCAGGCTCCAGCGGCGTGACAACAACAAGTTGCATTTATGTAGCGTACCAGAGCTCTTACAAACCCGGTCGGTGGAGCAACGAGCAGCACCGCGGGACACAAACCCAACACCAACCTCACAAGCTCATCAAGACAGGCGGTGGCAATGGCTTCCTCGGCTTGTCGCTCGTAGTATTTGCATAGTATGTTCTCGGGCAGCACCTTCTCCAGTTCACTGTTGAGGAATGTGCAGGTACAGCCACTTTCCATGCAGCTCAGCTGGGACTGAAAACAAAGGACAAAAAAAATCACCGTGCAATATGTCAGGCTCAACGTTTAGGAGTTAACAAACGTGCACAACTTTGCCACTTATATCAATGAGGGAAAGAGGGGACGAACAGGATAGCTTCTTTTTAAAAAAAAGAAAAACATTTCTAAGATAATGTTTAAGTGCTCAGCAACTGGGAAGGTTGACCTCATTTCAAATCATGCATTGCATTTATCCTACCTCAGGACACGCATGTCATATAGCCTGTATGACACACACACACCCCCAACCACACATACCTCCCCCACACACTAACCACAATGTCTAAATCTTCAAGATACAAAAATCAGAAAAGGTAAGCACACCGCTCATAGCAACTACTTGATACTTATGCCATTTGATTACATTTTAAAAAAAGCTAAGGAGGAATTTTCTTTCTGTACAATCCCAAGTGCTTACCTTGCCAGCTCCAAAGACTGCCTCCTGAGCGTATCTCACGAGGCATTCTTTACAGAAGAGGTGACCGTCGCTGCATTGAGTCAACTCCTCAAAGGCAAATTCTCCATAACAGCAGCCACACTCTATCAGCTGCCCATCCTAAACCAGTAACAAGGCAGTTATTATACAATATTTTTGAGATCTTCACATGCACTATTGTGAAGAGGGAGAACAATTCTAGCAAATGTTCTCACTTATATCCAGCAAATGCTCTGCACACATGGCACGGCTTTGTCTAGGCAGTCAATGTGCCACAACCTCAGTCGTCTCCAAACAAGTGTCAGCAGTTCATCGGGGATGAAGGACATCACAGCCAAACCCATTAAGTATCCTTGCACATGTACACAAATGTGCAGGTTCCCTCCGCAGCATATGGAAACCAAGGCTGATTTATCGTGGCTCTATTCCTGCTCCAATTAGAGGTCTAATTGAGCACAGACCACAAACCCAAACTAATCTGCTACCTTGCATGGTTTAGTGTTGTGGAAGCCTGGGCTTTACACTTCAGGCTATCAGATGAACTCTCCTTCTGGACATTGTAAACTGAACTCAGGAGTTAAATTGGCCTGTTCCTAACAAGATAGAAGAACGCACCAAAGCTGGGTGACTAAAGTGCCAAATACAACTCACACTTTAGTGCTGACAACATATATTTGGATACTTTTCAGTGCCCATTTTTAAATACATTTTCGAAAGAAAGAAAATATGAGCACTTCAACAGGAAATTTGCCCCCAAAACATAGTCTAATACACAAAATACTTCACAGTAAAATCCTGTGAAAGGTGCTGCATCAAATGTAAGGATTATTATTAAAATCAAACAGAGTGTGAAGTGTACTGGATCAGTGGAAGAGTGAGCTAATAAGACACAAAACTGCATTAAAATGTTTATCTACTTGCCTTTTGATATTGTTCTTCATTCATTTGCATAGCAAGCTGAAAATCCGCATACTGTAAAACAAAGAGTTAAAATTCCACGTGACAGCTGTAACAATAGTGCCCACTGCACTGCAGAGCCAGGGTTGTAAAGTCAGGTTGAACTCTGAAAATGTTTGAAATTATCTGTTGGTCAAAAAACCCTGCTTCCTTTTAAATTGACAATTTAAAATCTCCTCTTCATTTAAAAACAAGTTCCGGCGACTTGAACAGTGATGTGAACGTTTTAATATAATGAAACTCACTTCATGTGTCTATTGCAGTGCTGGTACCTGTGCAACAACAACAAAAATACATTTGCCAATATCTAGAGTGAAGTAAGTAACATTACGTCCAACAAACAAACATTCAACCCCTTCACTTTCCTCCTGGTGAGAGCGTATGCTGATGCTAAGGACCATCAGTATTGTCCCCTCTGGGTACTTCACGTGAGTATGTGTGAGCAAAGCACAAAGAGCAATAACTCCCACACGCACATAGTTTGTGCCCTGCCTTGGTTTCTTTACGGATCCCTGACTGTATAGCCCTGTGGGACGTCCTGATGAGGTGAAAGGCAAATACAAATGTAATTTGTTCTTGTTACCTCTTCCATCTCTTTCATCTTCTGATGGAAGACCTCAAGTTCCTCCCGCACGAGTGGGTGAATGTGATCCTGATCATACGATCGCCAGTGTCGTCTTTTATGTTCTAAAAAACGCATTTGTCTCTCTATTTTAAAGGCACCTGGGAAAGCAAAAACACTGTCATGAGCCTGAGGTTTCCAGCATGCAACCACAACGGGAAAAGAGAAGTCCTTATCTGTGCACAGCAATAAATATTCAGGAATTTTAACAATCTATGCAAGATTTTATTTCAAAGACTCCATATTTTAAAAAATATTTCAGAAAACTTCTTTTCATTAAAACAAGTTCAGAAAAGCCCCAAAGCAGTCCATGAAGGTTTGATTCCACTGGTCATTCATCTTAATAAGTTTACGATTACATTTTGCCCACAAAATATAGTCAATTCACAAATCTCAATAAGAGGCCACCCATAAATATTACCATTTTCATAAGACTACATGAGGGGAGAGGAGAAATCAAAAAAAATTAATTCTGGAATTTCATAGGTAGAAACATAGGAACTAATCCTTTCAATTCCAAGGTATAACTATCAAAGTTCAGAAATGTTAGATGCTGTATTAACACCTCCCTGAAACACTTGTGAAAATGGTGAGAATTATGGCAGTTGGATGTGTGTTAACCTAACAAAATTAATGCATGTGGAATATAAATCTACCCGTTCACTTAAATAGGACAGAGGCTTCTTATTAAAGACAGATTGGAGCAATTTCAGTCAACGTAAATGCAGATCAACTGACAGCAGAGCAGTGTCTTCACACATCATAACCTCACCTTGTTCAAATCTGAAACTGATTGAATTAAGGGAGTTCATTTCTTTCTGTTTGCTTTTTTTCTGATTGGACTGTGGTGAGTTCTCCTGCCATTGCTTAATGGCATCTGATAAGGCCTGCAAAGTAATCGATAAGGCAATTGTGATCAGGTGAGCTTTGTGACGCAGTCAGATCAATTAGTCTTCAGAATTTTAATAAAAAATAAATGATTTATACTTAAAAATCATACAAACTAGCAAATAGTCGCTGCAAAGAACTTTACAGCTAGTATTTCAATGTCAGTGTTAGACAGTTGTGGTATCTGATCAGTCATTATGATTTGAGATGTAGCTAAGAGTCAGCTTGGCTCAGTTGGTGGGTCTGTCACTTCTGAGTCACAACTTATATTTCTGAGCTCGCAGTCTGGGCTGATTCTCCAATGCAGTGCCGGGGGAGTGTTACATTCTAAGTTGTTAAACTGAGAACCCATCTGCCTATTTAGGTGGATGTTAGAGATCCCATTACACTTTTCAAAAAGGGAGTTTCTCCCAGTGTCCTGGCCAACAGCAACCCCCTCCTATATATATATATAAACAAAATATATAGATTATATTGATCATTGATGGCTCTTTACAGAACACTGATGTGGGAAAACTGACTGCCGTGACTACAAATCCAGTTACTTGACACAAAATCTTTCAGAAACACATTGTGAAAAAGCGTTATATCAAATGCAGGGATTATAATGACACATTATTAAATAAGTCAACGATACAAACCTTGCGGGTGATTGCATAGTGTCCCTTGAGCTCGTGTAAAGCCCATTTGATGTCTTGGCTGTTCAACATTTTAAAATCTGCCATCAGGAGGTCAGAAGCCTGAAGATAGCATTGATGATTCACTGGAACCAGCTTTGAAAAATCGAAAAAATCCACCTTGGGTTCCTGTTTAACACACAGAGACAGAAACACACACAGGCACACGCACACACAGAAACACGCAGGCACACACAGAAACACGCAGGCACACACAGAAACACGCAGGCACACACAGAAACACGCAGGCACACTCACACACACAGGCACACGCACCCAGACAGAAACGCGCAGCCAGACAGAAACGCACACAGACAAGCGCGTGCACGACCAGACAGACACGCACGCACAGACACACATACACACCCACCCACAGACAGACAGACACGCACACCCACCCAGATAGACAGATGCATACAGATAGAAAGCAACACCCACCCACACACACAGCAACACACACACAGACACGCGGGCAGACAGAAACGTGCGGGCGGCAGACAGAAAGACACACACATGCATGCAAACAGAAACACACGCACACACAGACAGAAACGCACGCACAGACAGAAACGCACGCACATGCAGACAGAAACACACACATACACAGAAACACAGACAGAAACGCACACACAGACAGAAACGCACACAAATGTTAGGTTGTGGGAAAACATTCAGATGCAGCAATTGTATATCTAAAATACAGAACGCACTTTAATGCTGTTTCCCAACCGCTTTAAATAATTTTACTTAAAAATTCTAGGCAATAGAGTGAGTGAAAAGGAGTACAAAAAGGTACAGTAGAGCTGGATTTTCTTCTAATGTTTTCCTCTATCTTCAATCCTCTTAGTGAGCCAACGTGATCCAAGCTGAACTACTCCAGGGTGCGAGCAGTCACTATGCCTCTTGTGGCAATGCTGCTGCACAGCATCACAGCTGAAGCACAGTCACTCATTCTGAGTTGAGATTTTTGCTGGATTGAGGACTCTTGTAATGAATTACTGTGCCATGCTTCTAAATATATAGCAGCTTGCATTTGCCCCGTACCAGCAGAACAGCACTAGTTAACATTTTCTCAAGAAGAGTGATTAAACAATATTCTATCGAAAGGAACAATAAGATAATAGTTTTAACATCCAAAAAGTTTCTGAGTAACCATCCACCATGATTTACTTCAGCAGTAAGATCACAAGACAATTTACCTCTACATTGCTTTCAAGCAAGCTGCTATTGCGTGTGAGAATGACACCTTGCTTCGGATAATCGGGGTATTCAAGGAGATGGTTACACAGGCTGGAGAGGAAATGGGGGGAAAAAAAAATGTTGGTCCATTTCAGTTTAAACCCTCGGCTGCTGGCAGGTCAGGAAAAATTTCCAACTCTCTGGTTCAGTTGGTTTTGTGAACCAACAAACAAATACCAATATTACAGAAACAAAGGCACAAATCATAAAGCTAGTCCGTTAACAAATAAAACATAAATTGCTTAATGCTTTTCAGTGGGGTAAGGAAATACTAGGGTTTGTCTTGTGAGGGTGTTGGAGACATGTAATCTGCTCATGAAATTCTCAACTGGCTACTTTCAATCTACTTGTGGAGTCCTGTAGCTCAGTGGTTAGAGCACTCGCTTTGCAAGTGAGAGACCTGAGTTCAATTCCAGGCAGAGGGCGAAACCTTGGGCAAGTTTCCTTACTCCACACAGAGCCTAATAATAATCCCTCCAAAAAACCAAAAACAATAATAAATTGGTCATTTTCAATCTACGACACTTTGTGGGACATTGCTGTGCGCAATTGGCTGCCGCGTTCGCCCACAAATATACAGTCAATTCACTTTACAGTGTGTTCTGTGAAGTGCTTTGGGACGTCCTCCCGACGTGAAAAGCGCTATATCAAATGCAAGGATTATTATTATTATTACTAATCTAATGACATGGTTAAGACATGCTCCCATTTGGTCCTTGTGACAAGTAGAAAATGAAAAAACTTACACATTTAATTCCCAGAAGTTATTTGCCACAATCAGCTCTTCGACAAACTCTCCCAGAATATCAGGGAAGAGGTTTATCTGCATGAAGAGAAAGGCTAAGTTAAATCTTGCTGGAGAAAAACATGTCAAATAATAATGTAAGGGATTTAGCTGCAACATTCATTGACAAACTCACAACACAAAGCAGTGATATGACCCAAATCCTTCAGCTCATGCGTTATTGCTGTAGATAACACTGCTGGTTACAAGGCAGGCAATTTCCCTCACTAGACATTCTTGTGACTCGAACCTGGCCGGTCATTTAGTGTTGAATTTTAGTTAGTTTGGTGCTGTGACCTCCCACAGCCCACAATATGAACTGGACTGGAATTGATTAAACTGTTCGTGACCAGCATAGAGAGGCTTTCATCCCATCCGTTTACTGGATTCATACCCAGGACAGAGATACAGGACAATAGTGTTTGCATTGTGGCGATTGACACCAGGAGTCATTATCAATGCAGTTACAAGTAGTAACTCCTAATTACAGGAAGCTCGTAATGCTGATGTGATCTACTTGCCAACAATCCCTCAGATAAAATTAGTCATTCACTTCACAGCTGTTCGTGGGACATTGCTGTGCACAAATTGGCGAGTTGGCGTTCGCTTACACAATGCACAGTCACTACACTTTACAGTAAATCTTGTGACATGCTTTGAGAATCCTCCTGACACGAAAGGTCAAATGGAAGGATTATTTATTATCATATCTACACTAGGAGAAGCTCCTTCACACACATCTGGAAGATTTATTATACCCTGAATACCAGAGATCAGTGTTGGAAGATAACAGAAGCATACCGTTTCGTTCACAAGTTTCTTTACAAGTTCTTTATCTACACCAACAGCTCCTTCCAGATGTTCCACGTCTATTACAGACTGGTCTAACAAGTCTTCTCCAAGCGGTGCCTGCCCGGGAGGATCAACATTTGCTGGTGGAATCCTTTCGTCTGCAGCTTCTGGTAAAATATCTTGCAGTAAAACTGGTTCTGGCCTCCTCACCAAATTCGCAGGAGCTTCGTCCTGTTCCAGTCCTCCTGCAGAATGGGCAACGTCCGGCAGCTCAAGTTCAATCACTTGGGCCTCAAGAGGCTGCATCAGCTGATCTGCAGCTGCAGCCCCCACCTCGCGCTGCTCTGCGTTCCATCCCTGCACTTGATGTTCATCAGCCCAGGCAGCCCCCTCCTCTGCAGGAGCCGGCTGAGGAGGGTCCGGCTCAGGCTCTTCTTTCACCTCCACAGTTTCTAAAAGTTTACTTCGAGCCGAGACCTTCCCCTCCTGCAAATGAAAATCTCTAGTAACTTCACCATCGTCCCTCAGCAGGTCTACACTTAGCCACTCGGACGCCGGACGGATGATGATGGAAGGCCGCGGCTGCCTTGCTGGGGACTAAGAGAAGAATTAAAATCAGACGTTTGCAGCACACGACGATAACGTTCAGCCCAACAGACCTGTGCCAGCGCGCCGTAAGAACTATCCACGTAGACCCCACACATTACCTCAATAAGAGCAGGTCGGGCCTTGTGATGTTGCTCCTTACTGAGCAGAACTACTTGATCATCAGTCGAATCAGAATCTGAGTCGTCAGAGATAGTGATGATTGGAGCAACTCGAGGATCTCGCCAGGCTGCAACTACCACAAAGAACCATCAGCAGGTGGCAAAACGTGCACGATTTAAGAGATTATGGCATCGGTTTTCACTCGTTAAACTACAAGAGGAGATGGAATGGCAATGGATAGTCTGCTGTTTTAATTACACTTCAATAACCTAGGTTTCAACCCAAATCAGTCCCATAGGATGAGGGTCGTTTCTCTTTCGATTTCACTTGCAGGGCCGAAGGGGTGCTTTCTAGGCGATTTAAAAACTCCCCAGAAGAAAGCCAGCCTTCCTGTCAGAGCTGCCAATGTTTACGGCTTTTTGAGGTTGGGTGAAATGTCAGCAGAGGATGCTCAGCAACAAGACAAGGTAACAGAACATCACATGCTCAGACACTGGGGGGGGGGGGGGGGGCAGAATGCTAGCCACTTTGCAGGGAGATTGTTTGAAAAAAAAGTTTGCCCGTATACCATATATCAAAAACATATAGACTGACATTCCAGACTTCTAGTAACAATGTAGAAAGCCGAATAATCACCTTTGACTGCAAGTACCACATGATAAACGGTACCTTCTAAAATCATATAGAAGGAAAGGTTCAAATGCACTTATACACATCACTCCAGGAGTATACAACTTGCTCAGATTCCACCTCAACCCTGGCTCTGCAAGTGTGGAATACCCACACACAACATAGGAATAAAGTGCCATGTTTGAGAGGATAAAGCACTGTCGCAAAACGTATTCAACATAAATCTGGTTAATGTCATTAGGTAAGTCTCAAACCGTGTATTTCCTGCAGCAATGCTCCCTTCTGCTGTGACACACACAAAGCAGACATAGCCCAAGATTAGACGGTGCTCTGCATGATCTTTTGAAGCCTTTTCTTTATTGATTAAATGCATTACGTTTGAAATGATCCCATTTCACTAGCAAAGTCAAGATTTCTCCAATTATAGCTAAAGGCACAGTGTGCTGTTGTAATACTCACCACTATTGGAAGGTCCCTCGCAAGCGGAGAGATTGATAACCTCCTCTGCTACTTGCTCGGTCATTGCCACACAGTGAGCTGGAATGGACCACTCTCAGCCTTTTGCATAACCTGCAAAATATAGTGCACGTTTCACAGTCAGAAAGACAGCAAGGATTTCTTGTTCTTCCACTTACTTTAGTGAACAAAAATCTACAGAATATAAACAGAAAAAAACACAGCACTGGAAACAGAAAACAGCACAGGTGGTGATCACCTTTAAATTTCCCCCGTTCTCTTCCCTGCCTAGTTTGTGGGCACATGAGAACATTAGCACTAAGTTTCAAAAAAAGGATAGAGAAGACGTTTATTATCCCTTACCACAATAATTGCACAAGTAAGCAAAGGTGCAAGCAAGACATAAGGGGAAAGGGAAATAGCCCCAAAAAGTGAATTACAGCACAACCCTTTTAAAAACACCTTTGATATTGCACCAATAATATCTCAAAGTGCTTCAGTGTTTTCTGTAAAGTGTGGTGACTCTATATTATTTAAGCGAATACAGCGACCAATTTGCGCACAGCATTCAAACCACAATCAGATTATCTTTCAATTGTGCAACTCCCTCTCAGCTGTAATTCTTTCACTTTATTAAAACTGACATCACTTCCAGTAAAGTTGCCTCAGGAAACCTGTCGCAAGAAGAGGCAAGTTTTGGTTTATTTAACTCTGCTGTAACCAGCTCTAAGTGACTTGAAAAACTTTATTAAACATAACAAACCATAAAAACAAACTCCACAGGGATCCAGGAACACTCAGCAGGTCAGGCAGCATCTATGGAGAAAAGAAAGCGAGTCAACGTTTCGAGTCCACGACCCTTCGACAGAACCCAACGTTTTGGGTCGTGGACCTGACTCATTTTCCTTCCTCCATAGATGCTGCCTGACCTGCTGAGTGTTCCCAGCGACTTCTGTTTTTGTTTCAGATTTCCAGCATCTGCAATATTTTGCGTTTCATCCACAGGGATCTGTGTGTGCGCGCAGTGAAGGAGTCAGCACAAAGCCGTGGCTGATTTCACAGTATGGTGATATTGATTATTAATTTGAGTTGCAACTGATATGTATGGGACATATCATCCTTATTTGTTTTTATTTCGTTTTGAGACATCTCAATGACATAATGCTATATCAAATGCAAGGATGAAGATTATTATTATTCATCGTTATTATGATAGTAAACCTCACATAACTCATATCAGTTGGGTCCATATATTTAATACGACTTATGCAAAGTATGAATTATGTCAAACAGAATATAAACTCTTGAACGGGACTTGGGCAGTTGTATGACTTAGGCTATTATACCAAATATACAGATCAGAGTTATGTAACATTCACTGTATCATTAAATCTAGTAACACGTCTTCAGGCTTGTGGGCATTCTGAGTTGGAGTTAGTTCTCCCATAGTTATTAACGGAATGTTTTGAAGCAGTCCTACATTTGTGAGATGCGTTATTCAGAACAGCTGACGGTCTTGGAAATAAAATAAAATGAACTCCAAACACTGGGCACCACGTGTGTTTGGATGAGAAACCAAAGCAAAGCACATCAAAGTTCACAGCTGCAGCTTATAGGGTTCTCCTCACTCACCAACCACACAATTACTGTACATCCTCGCTTCTGGCCACACACACCAACAATACACGCGGAAACGTCCTGACAATGATACCATCACTGCACCCATAAAGGTGGTGGAGGAGGAAGGCCACTCCAGGAATGGAAAGGAGCGCCATTTTTTATTGTACAACATAAAAAATGTTCTGCCCGTAAACACCCAACGTCTCGGCAGTGAAACACACCTTTCAAATTGGAGCCTTTGAGTCGGCGCAATTGACAGAAGTAAAGAAAGGAGAAAAGAGAATGAAGGCGACAGAATCAGCAAAGCCGCGGCGACAAAACACCACGAACCAAACATCAACCGGACAGTAAGCACCATTCAGCCCAACGCCTCCCCCCGCACAACTAACCCCTCCCCCCACGCTACCCGCCACCCCCCCCCACCCACTATCTCCCCCCCACACACGCTACCCGCCCCCCCCCACACACGCTACCCGACCCCCCCACACACGCTACCCGCCCCCACCCCACACACGCTATCTCCCCCCCACACACGCTACCCGACCCCCCCCACACACGCTACCCGCCCCCCCCACACACGCTACCCGCCCCCCCCACACACGCTACCCGACCCCCCCACACACGCACCCCCCCCCCCCCCCCCCCCCCCCCCACACACGCTACCCGACCCCGCCCACACACCCTACCCGACCCCCCCACACACGCTACCCGACCCCCCCACACACACGCTACCCGACCCCCCCCACACACGCTACCCGCCCCCCCCCACACACGCTACCCGCCCCCCCCACACACGCTACCCGCCCCCACCCACACACGCTACCCGCCCCCACCCCACACACGCTACCCGCCCCACCCACACACGCTACCCGCCACCCCCCCACCACGCTACCCCCCCCACCCCCCACCCACACACGCTACCCGCCCCCCCCCACACACGCTACCCCCCCCCCCACACACGCTACCCGACCCCCCCCCACACACGCTACCCGACCCCCCCCCACACACGCTACCCCACCCCCCCCCACACACGCTACCCCCACCCCCCCACCCACTACCCCCCCCACACACGCTACCCGCCCCCACCCACACACCTACCCACCCCCACACACAACCCCCCCCACACACACACACTACCCACCCCCCACACACACTACCCGCCCTCCCCCCACACCCCCCCCCACACACCCTCCCCCACACACACCCCCCCCCCTCCCCCCCCACACACCCCTCCCCCCACACACACCCTCCCACACACACACACCCTCCCCCCCACACACCCCCTCCCCACACACCCACCCTCCCCCCCCCACCACACACACCCTCCCCCCCCACACACACACACCCTCCCCCCCCCCCACACACCCCCTCCCACACACACACACCCTCCCCCACACACACACACCCTCCCCCCCCCACACACACACACCCTTCCCCCCACACCCCCACACACACCCCCCACACACACACCCTCCCCCCCACACACACCCCACACACACACACACCCTCCCCCTCCCACACACACCCTCCCCCCTCCCACACCCCCACACACACACCCCCCACCACACACACACCCTCCCCCTCCCACACACACCCCCCACCACACACACACCCTCCCCCCCACACACACCCTCCCACACACACCCCCTCCCCCCCCCACACCCCCTCCCCCCCCACACCCCCTCCCCCCCCACACACACACCCTCCCCCACACACCCCCTCCCACACACACACCCCCCCACACACACACCCTCCCACACACACACCCTCCCACACACCCTCCCCCCCCCCACACACCCTCTCCCCCACACACACCCCCTCCCCCCTCTTCTCTCCATGACGCTGTGACCAGCTGCCGAGGCCCCGAGAGCGTGAACTCGGCCCCGCGCGCGGGGGGGGGGGGGGGGGCGGTGCCGAGGAGGCTCCGGGGCTCGTGCTCCCGCCCCTCAGGTGACCGACGGCTGTCAGGAGTTTCTCGCTCTTTCTCTCAGCCCCGGGGGGGGGGGGGGGCGGGGGGGGGCGCCCTGGCCTGGCCCTCCCGCGACCCCGGTGTTGACTGCGACACTGAGCGGCGGCTTCGTTACCCCCTCCTGTCGGTGTCTCGGTTCCAGGTCCCCGGTGCCGCGCCCTCAGGGTGTTGTTGTTCGACGTTGCACCATCTCCCCCCCCCCTCCCCCCTAACGGCCCGGGTCCTGTCACAGCGGCGCTCGCGCTCTCTCTCTCTCTCTCTGTGTACAAGACGCCTGCTCGCCACACAGGATCTGACGTACTTACGTACGTACATACGTAGTGTGCGTGCGTGCGTCTCGCCGTCGCCAGCCTTGCGTGCCCGCAGCAGAGGCTTCTGGGTGTTGTAGTCCCCATTACCCCCCCCAACACCCACACAATCCTTTACATTGAATCATATAGCGCCTCCTCACGTCAGGATGACGTCTCAAGGCGCTTCCCAGGATTTTATTGTGATGGATGGGAGAGTGACTGTGCATTTGTAGGGCATTACGCAGCACCGTTTGGGCCGCAGCGCTGTCCCGCCGTGAAATAAACAACCGATGTTACCTGGGGGGTGGGGGGGGTGTGGGGTGGGGGTGTGTGTGGGGGGTGGGGGTGTGTGTGGGGGGTGTGTGGGGGGGGGTGGGGTGGGGGGGTGATTGTCAGAAGAGAGAAACTCCCTTCTCGAATTGTACCACCGGATCTTCCCCCACAGTGTTCGCGGCACCGGAAAAGTTTTGAGTGTTTTACGAGTCTGAGAGAGACTTTATTTGGGAGCGAGGATTCTTCCCGCTCGTCCCTCCCATGGGACTGATCCCTGGGGAGTCGGGCTGGCTCCAGGTTGACGGACTCGGCAACGGAATGTCAGAATCTAGTCAATTCCTCTGCGATGGACTTGATAATCCGGTTCCTGAGCCAGGCGGGTCTGCGGTCAAGCCATAATATAATAATAATAATAATCCTTGCATTTGATATAGCGCTTTTCACGTCGGGGGGACGTCCCAAAGCGTTTCACAGAACACTGTAAAGTGAATTGACTGTATATTTATGGGCGAACGCGGCAGTCGATTGCGCACAGCAATGTCCCACAAACAGTCGTAGATTGAAAATGACCAATTTATTATTGTTTTTGGTTTTGGAGGGATTATTATTAGGCTCTGTGTGGAGTAAGGAAACTTACCCAAGGTTTCGCCCTCTGCCTGGAATTGAACTCAGGTCTCTCACTTGCAAAGCGAGTGCTCTAACCACTGAGCTACAGGACTCCACAAACTGGATTCTCCAGAGATAGAGAATGTCTCTGTCATTCTCTTTAAAAATGAGTAATTTGCGGAGGGTATGAGGAAAAAGCAGATCGGTGGGACTGAATGGACTCCTTTTTCAAATAGCCAGCATACACATGATGGATTAAGTGGCCTTCTGTGCTGTTAATTTCTATGGTTCCATATGATTCCTCTCTCTCTACCTCCTCTCTGTTAAGATTAAGACTGAGGAATATCAGGCCTCTTAGGCAGTTCCTTTTGCCTTTTGCATATTAACCAAACAAAATCCTGGGGACATAAGAAGGGATGTACGCAGATCTGTTTGGAAAAGAATACTCTTCAAGTCTTTCACTGAGGGAAGAGCAAGGTTTGAAAGGTGTTGTTATTGTGATCGTTAGACCTAGCTCTTATTTATTATTTATCAGGAGACACAGTGGCAATAAGCAATAAATACACAGAATTTACTGTGTCTTCTGAAGGACATATTTATTCAGGCAACTAGGTTATTTACACAAGCAGCCAGGCTATACATAAAATTGCATACTCTATCCTTGAAATGAGAATGCAAGGATTCTCTGCTCTACAACTGTCATCATTATGGATGGTACAGAGGTTCCCTCCACTTTATACACAACATTACAACAAATGCGAACAGGTTGGCCTTGCTGAGAAACAAAGGCAGTTTTTTTATCTTAGCTCTTTGTCTTCCAATACTTCTGTGGCCTTCGAAAAGTCTGCAAGGCTCCTGTCAAACACCATCTTCAACAGAGCTGAATGATAGACAGCTGTTGTGAGAGACACGTATAACCCTGGAAGCAAATTGAAGCCAAACACAATTAATTTGGACAGAAAGCTCTATTCTTTTTCCTGCCAGTTTTTTTCCCTGTAGGTGATGACTCATGCTGAGGTACTTTTCCACAGCACTGACAGCCTTTAGTGCCACACCCATCACATTTTTATAATCGAGAATTCTCACATTAACTTTCATATATTTTGCTCTTTACAGACTCAATCTTCACTGGAGAGGGGATACAGACCAGTCGGGAGTTTTCTTTACAATTAACTTTATCCCTCTAATATCCTGTCACATTCCTTACCCTTTACTTTCTTGGAGGCAACTACTGCATTCATACTAGGCCTTTGGTTCCGCAAATCATGTATCTTTCCCCAAAGCAACCATTCTTCATGTGTGAGTGAGTGCCAGACCACTTTTCAACCAATGAGACCTATTGTAGCTGAGCCCAATAAAACGTGTTTCCAGCAGACAGCCACTGAACAAAAGCCAAGAATGGAAAGTTGGTTTCACTCTCTCCCCTCCCTGCGAGGCTTACTTTAAAGGTAGAAACATGATAAAAAGAAAAAATACTAAAGTGAAAGATTTGATAGAAAAGGGTATGGAAGGGAAATACAAACAGGATTTGAATGCTTGCCATCATTAATTTTCAACTCGTATTTTAGATGGTTAGCTCACATTTCAGCGTTAATATTGCAATCCCAAAGCTACACCTAACTTTCACCAAATATCAGGATCACCTTTATTCTTGTGCCACATGAGCTGATGAAATATTTCAGGAAACTGGGAATTTCCCTAGACCTTCAGGCTGTGATGGATAAAAACTAACCACAAAAAAAATGTTTGTTCACAGTCGAGACTTACCAGCCGAGAGATGAGAATTAGTCCTCAGTGGTGGATTTAGAGGACACCTGAATAACCTCAACTGTACTGTAGCCTTTGCTAAGAGTGGATCGGTTCCTGGTGCGGAGTTTATTCAGAGCACATTCTGCCATTCCAGCTCTCTCCTCAGCATCATCCAGCTCGTGGATGGTCTTCCTGTATTTGGCCAGGCTCTGGTTGGCCTGTTCCTCCTGTAAAAGAGAGAAAGAAAAGCTGTAAGCATTTAATGGAACACAACTTTGCATGCTCTGGTTTTCTCTGGCCTTATTTAACCCTAGCTGCACATTCATTACCTACTCACCTTCAAAGTGATATTTACCCTTTAGGTAAATGGTGAACGAGAGAACAAAAACTTGGAAAGTTCTCCAATGTAAAATCTAAACGACATTGTGGAGCAACTGACATTCTGTTACCAATTGAGTTGATACTAACAGATAGTATGTTAAGTGTGGGTAATTCTGATCTTGAGATTACAAGACTAGGTCTAGTTCTGCCTTCAAGGTGCCGCATACAATTACACACAAGGTCAAATTGGCTAGTTTTCCAACAGTTTTTTCCTCTCTCACTGATCGTATACACTAATTCTTTCCCCCAATGAAGGTTACTAACGCCATTTGTTTCAGCTAAGTTGGACGTCCACATGCACACTGACCTGTCACATCACTCTGATCCACGACGCAGAATAAGTTCAACTTATAAATGTCTCTTCACTGCATAGAAAATGTGAGTAAAAGCTTTGCTTCAGGTCAATGTGGGAGCCCTTGCCCGAATTCCACACAAGAAAATTTTATTGGTTCCGTTTGCAGTGACCAAACATTGAGAAGGGAAATTAATCGTGAAAAATACTTAAATTCAGTCCCTAGTTGGAATAGTTCTTTTATAAGAACTGTGAAAAAATGGTTTTCAAATTAAGTCAATTTAAGTATTTTCCGCAAACTTCAATTTTAATACCAAACAGCCTTCCTTACAGACTAAATTCAATTAATATTTTGGATCTATAGTTTCCCAGACGGTATGCATTATCATTAATACAGACAATGCCTTAATTGATCTCTTCTGTTTGTCAACGTTGTTCTGAGGAACATTTCGTATAGAGCACTCACGGATTCCTCTATCTGCCTCTTGTAGCTCTTGAGTTTGCTCTGCAGTTTCTCCACCAGCTCCTGCATGCGCTGGTTGGTTTTGTGGTCTTCCTCAGTCTGGAAGACCAGCTCCTTCAGGCGCCGTTCATTCTTGCGCAGGACCTTCACCGTTTCAATGTGCCGTTTCTGTTCAGAATCATATTCGGTCTCCAGCTCCTTAACCTGGAATGCAACAGGAGAAATGTTGGAACTGTGTTTTTTCAACTCATACCCCACCAAACAATAGTTATACAGACCTTTAATGATAGCTGTACTTCGTCAAGATTAGTGTAAAAACTAATAAACAACAAAACAAAATCTCTCCTGAAATTTCAGCTAATTCGGTGCTTAAGATTTTGATTAATGACAGTCTGCTAATAAAAATACCCTAATTGATACAACTCTGAACATTGCTGCTAATACATTATTGGCCTGTGTGGTAATTGTGAATGTTCCTGGTCTTTGTTTGCCTTGTTACATCTCAGTTACATCTAGACCTGAAGACTGGACAATTGTTTCTCTACGTGTTAATGCTACATACGGTGCACCATTAATCCTATTGTGCTGGTGTTTCTACTTTGGTCTCCAGTATCTGGTGTGTTTACCTTGGTCTCTAATTTCTGGATGACGCGACGGCTAGCCTTCAGGGCAAGTTGTTCGGCTTCCTCCAATTTGACCTGCAAGTCTTTGATATGCAGCTCAAAGTTCTTCTTGATCTTCTCCAGGTGCATGCAGTGCTCCTGTTCTTGATGCAGTTCCTCAGCCATGCGGGCAGCCTGGTTTAAGAGGCAAAGAAAACAGAGCCATTAGCCAAACATCAGTGGCTTCAGCAATATCCCCTTAGTAATGAGAGCATTGAATGGTTCTGAAATTTTAAACCATACCAAATCGTGTGTGGACTGCTACAATTTAGATATCAGTAAATCACAAATGATGGAGGTCTAGATATCAGGAACATCAATACATATTTTGTTTAATGTTCCTCTAGTTCTATGCTCAATCTTACTCATGACATAATTATTGAATAATAACTTGTTTTGGATGTAATAAGATGGAACATAAAATAGCAATGTAAGTGTTGTGTTTAGGTCATGAAAACCATGTTATCGTTTAAGAATTTTCAGTTAACATTGGCACGTAGGGTGTGTGATGGCCGTGTGCCATGGTCGTGTACAAGGGTAGTGTACAAGGGTAGTGATAGAGAATCACAAACGTACATCACTCATGGCCTTCTTTGCTTTCTCGTCAGCTGAGCGGAACTCGTGGATCAGTTCCTCATGCTGATTTGTGAGGGACTGCAGGTCTCCTTCCAGCTTACGCTTGAACACCAACAGACTGTGGTTCTGAGGAGATTAAAAGAATTGCACATTTAATCATTATGACAAAGTCATTACTAAAATCTTCACTTCCCCAAACCCTAAATAGTCCCCAAATAGCCTTTTCTAGGGCTTTGACAGCTGTACTATATCATTATGTTTATAAAAGGATGCCGCAGTATAAGCAATGAACACATATAAGCAACTACCATTACCAAAGCGGCCCATGTCAGAGCTGAAAGTTCCCACCGGCATTGCTCTGTTACCTGCACATTGAGCTCATTGTATCGTTCAGTGGTTTCCACCAGCTCCTGTTCAATGAGCTTGCGAGAGCGCTCACTGGCCTCCAGGCTGCTGCGATGCTCCTCCAGCTCTGACTGCAGGAGGGTGATGCGCCGCTCTGACAGGGTGTACTGTTCTCGCAGCTCTTCATGTCGCCGGGTATCCTCGTCCATCTGTGCTTGCATGTCCTGAGGGGGGCAGTCATTAATTTTACTGTCATGTGCTTCGTTATCAACCCATGTCAACACTTGAGCCAAGGAAGTTACAGCGCTACCATAGGCATTAAACGGGCCCCAAGAATTATAATAATAATAATAATAAATTATCCTTCCATTTGGGTTCAGCGCCTTTCCTATCAGGAGGACTTCCCAAAAATCTCCATAGGATTTATCATAAAGTAGAGCGACTAGGTGTTTTTGCAGGCAAAAAACAGCAGCCAATTTGCTCCTAGCAATGCCCCAATAACAGCCATGAAGTGAATGAGCAATTTTATCGGGGGATTGTTGGCCAGGAGACCAGGAGAGACACCTTTTCTTTTCGAACAGCCCCACGTTTCGTAGAGTGTTTTGAGAAGTCTTTGAGAAGGATTTCTCTCCTCTGATACCTTGAGTTGCTGCTGGAGTTTCTTGAGGGTTTTGACCAGCTCAGCGTTGTTTTTGTTGGCGTGGTCTAGCTGGATCTCCATCTCGTTCAGATCCGATTCCATCTTCTTCTTCAGCCTGAGAGCCTCGGCACGGCCCTTGGCCTCCACCTCCAGGCTGGCCTGCAGGGACTCAATAGTACGCTGGTGGTTCTTCCTGTACATTAACATGAGAGAAAGACAATCAATGGTGATTCCAATTATTCTGGAGATAACCATAGCCAGGATCACCTTCTTCTTCAGGACATAGACTCAAGGTTAGAAGTGGGAAAGTGAAAGTATGTTATAACAATGGTAGTTTGCATTACGGACTTCCCAGGATACGTGACGGAGGCAGGAAGGCGGAGGAGATAGGGGTAGAATATCACTCTGTGTACCTTGTGGTTTCAAATTCCTCTTCTTTCTCGTGGATCCTCCTCTCAATGTCGGCCTTCACCTGTGCAAGTTCGAGCTGGACACGGACTAACTTACTCTCCTCTACCTGTGGTTCAAGGAAAAGCAAAACCCAACGGTAAAGAAAGCCGCCTGAAATGTAAAGGTCAAATTTTGTCCAAAGCTGATTTTATTTGTGGGATTATTGGGCAGGACACCCGGAGACACGTCCTTCTGGTCCCTGTTTAACGTCTCCTCTGAGGGTTGGCATCTCGGACAATGCAGCACTGCCCCCAGCACAGCATTGCAACGTCAGCCTAGATTGTGAGTAAAAGGTCCGGGCGTGGAGCTTGAACCCACAACTTTCTGACTCACAAGCAAGAGCGTTACCGTCTGAGCCAGGCTGATACTTATTGCAATCAGTTGTGCCTAATTGTTTCAAATGCCATTCACATCATTGAGGAGAATGAAACCATTACCTCCAATGATCCCTCAGCCTCCTCCAGTGCCATCTGCAGCTCGTCCTTTTCAACCTCCAGCTTCTTCTTTATCCTCTGCAGCTCATGGATGCTCTTGCCACCCTCGCCCAGCTGATCCACCATCTCCTTAATCTCATCTGAAAGGTTGGCAGAGACCGAGAATCAATGTTGTGAAATCTGAGACCAATGCTCGCCCGTAAATTAAGACTTCAACTGGGCACCAACCAATTCAGTTAAAAAGAATAATAATCCTTGCATTTGATATAGCGCGTTTCATGTCTTCTCGACGTCTCAAAGCGCTTCACAGAATAGACTGTAACGTGAATTGACTGTATATTTGTGGGCGAAACACGGCAGCCAATTGCGCACAGCAGTGTCCCACAAACAGTCGTGGATTGAAAATGACCAATTTATTATTGTTTTGTTTTGGAGGGATTATTGGATTTTGGAGGGAGAATGATAGTTTGCACAGCAACAAGGCTTTCCACTGAACACGATGGAGAAAGGATCTAGTTACAGCGATGTGTCCAATGTGTTTGGTCCGGTTGATAAAGAGGATGCAGATATTCCCTAGTTTTTCTGTGTTAGCAATGATTTACGAGGCCTCTCACCTTGCAGATTCTTGTTGTCTTTTTTCACAACTTCAAGCTGGTCTAAAGCCTCTTCGTAGGCGGTTTTAAGTTTGAAGACTTCAGTTACATACGTCCTGCACTCCTTCTGTGAGCTGTCGAGTTCCACCTGCAGCTCCTCGCACTTCTGCTGCCATTCGGACAACATTTTGTCAAAGACGCGTTGTTTCTTGTCCAAAGAAGCTGCTGCAGCGTTGGCCTGAATCAACAAACAGTGAAAAGTATTTATATGAAAATCACAAGATGGTTTTGAATGAAGAATGAATGCCGTTAACCCATTGATTCTCATCCTCCCATAGTTCCCACCTTTACCAACTTCCCATCACAGTAACTGGGTCCATACCTTTTCCAACTCAATGCTGAGATCCTCCACCTCTCCAGTTAGCCGGTGCTTCGCCTTCTCCAGGCTAGAAGCCCTAGCCTGTGCGGCTTCCGAAGACTCCTCAGCCTCTTGTAATCTGGCTGCCAGCTTCTTCCTGTGAACAACAGCATCAGAATAGATGTTTAAGGAGAGTCAGATAATGTAGTGGGTGAGATGGTTGCTCTGTATCACTCTGTGAATAGTGAGTGGGTTTTAACACTTGAACTCGCATATAATAAGGGCTCACAAGTTGTTAATCGACGAGATGAAAGACATTAGTGCTAACCTCATATGCAGCCATGGAAAGGCAGAATTAACAAGCTAACAAGTACAGTCACCTAACAAGTGGTAGCTTGATCTGCTGATCCACTCTCCCAGCTGAGGGGGAAACATGTGAAGACAAAATAACCAGAAATGTTCACAGTATCTGTGAAATGACTTGAGCAATGCCAATCTTGGTTGACTTGCTCTAATGTTCTTGAACCTAGTTAAAGATCTGGCATCACAGGGTCCTGTTGTTACACTTGTCTATAAATAACTCAGTTAAAAGCCATGACAACTTACAATACCTTATTTAAGGAGCCAGAGGACATTGATATTGTGTTGGAATTGACTCGCATACAACTAACTGGATGTTTGAAACAAATTTCAATCTAATATGCAACTTTAAACCCAGGGGGAAAAAGGCTTTATACATTGTACTACATAACTCTCCATTCTATCATGAACAATGCAAAAGGGCATCCACAAGTCCAATAGGAGCCAACCATCACACTATCTAGCTCTCATGCTGTATTGTGCTATGTGTTACTGCTTCCTCACACCTATTGCTTCTCTTGAATGAGGCCAGGGTCAGGAAGTCAGGCTGGGCACTCACTTTGTCTCCTCCAGCTCCTCGGTCTTTTGGATGGCGTCTGTTTCATACTTGGTCCTCCATGACGTCACCTCAGAGTTCAGTTTAGAAACCAGGCGTTGGAGCTCAGACTTGCCCCCCTGCTCTTCTTCCAACTGCTCCTTCATCAGATCCATGTCGTGCTTGGCATTGGCAAGACTAACCACTGCTACACTTCGGGCCTGGAAGGCAACAACAGCAGCAAATTGTATTTAGATAGCACCTTTCAAGTTGGCAGGACAGCCCAAGGAGCTGGACAGTGAAGTGTTTGCACTTGAGGTGGGGGTTGGACTCAAGAAGGGTGGAGGGCAAGAGGGGTGGAGGTGGGAGGATGACTGAAGACACGGTCAAAAAGGAAGGTGTTGAGATGGGCCTGGAAGGTGGCAAGGGAGGGGACATATATTGTCCATCAATATAATAATCCTTGCAATTGATATAGGGTTCCGAGACACTACCCGCATAAAGCGCAGTATTTCAATGCAAGTAGTCTCTTTACAGAATCTTTAACGTTTAATTGGACCAGCAGACGTAACTTCAGTTTAATGTCTTGTCTGAAAGGCAGCACCTCTGATGAAGCATCTGTGAGCTCAAAGTCCCTGAACCCACAACCTCTGACTCAGAGGTGAGCGTGTTATCAACAGGTAAATTTGAGAGTGCATCTTACCCTTGATTCCTCTTCAAATTGCCTCTTGAAGTCCTCAATTTGAGAAACCTGAGTAGTTTTGATTCTGATCAGCTGGTTGAGTTTGCTTTGGGTCTCCTCGTATGAACGACTCAGCTCACTGTTCTCAGCTAGTCATCAGCAAATGAGAGAAAAGAAGGCAGTCAATAAACAGAAACACTTTTCAAATTCCAAAGGCTTTTCCTTTCATGAACCTTCCACCTTCCCAATCCCTCCACGCACACACACACACCCCATAGGTGGGAATGGGGGAAGACAAGTCCTATGTGGCTATACGACCCTCAGTGTCAATTCTGCCCTCGGTTCAGCCAAGGAGCTTACTTAACTCAGGAGAATAAGGCAAGCAGACACCATGTTGAAATCCACCAGACTAGATGCCAGCCCCAAGAGGGAATGAAACAGCACCATGTCAATGATGCAACAAGGTCAAACTTGGACTCGAGTGTTGCAACTAAAGCTGAACATGGGATGAGTGACCACGTAAAGCCCAGTAAGTGAAGCAACCTGTCCAGGGTACACGTTAGCCCCTCAAGCAGGCACTCATCAAGATAGGTTCTCAGAGCAGGGAATAAGGGTTCCATTTTGCGAAGTGTTCCAAGGTCATGATAAGAGGTGAGAGCACTAAGTAATCTGAAAATTGTTAAACAGATCCTTCATGAACAACAACAACTTGCACCTTCACAAATGATAGTGCCTCCAACCAAATAGCAGCGGTCTGCGTTTGTGTAAGATGGTCAGGGCGAGAGGATAATATAGATTTGACGAGGGGAGAGTAAGCAGAGAAAGAATTGGATAAAAAATGTACCACCAATAAACCTTCCACTACCTGATAACCTGGTCTTCACAGTGCTAACTTCCATCAAGGTCCTTTCCATTTCAGTGTACTTGGCGTTGGTCTCTACAATGTTGTCTTCCAACTTCCGAACCTGGAGCTCAGCATTGATCTGTGCAGAGGGAGTGAAGCCACGGAAACGAGTGTGAAAGCTGTGGTTTCTCCTGATGTAGCCCTCCCGCTCAGTCAGCTTGGGACCAACAGTACAGTCCGACCAGCACATATGAGAATAGTACAATCCTTGCATTTGATATGGCACCTTATCACGTAGGTCTCAAAGCGCTTCACAGGATATACTGTAAAGTGAATTGACTGAGTATTTTGTGGGCGAAACGCGGCAGCCAATTGCACACAGCAGCGTCCCACAAACAGTCGTGAATTGAGTGACCAAATTATTTATTTATTTTGAAGGAATTATTACCCCCGGAAAAGCAATCCGACAATCGACTAACAAGCAGGTTCCTACTTACTGCTAGATTAACAGAGGCGTGTGGAGTAAGGAAATCTGCCTAAGGTTTCGACCCGCCCAGGAATTAGGTACAAGCTCTTTGAGAGCCACAGATATTGGTCACCCACTTGTATATAATTAACTCCCCCCTCGGACCTTGTTCCATCACCCGACCACATTACCTTGGATTTCTGTAACGTCTCAGAATTGGAGCTCAGGTCATCGATCTCAGCCTTCATGACCTGCTTGTCCTTCTCCAGCTTGGCCCTGACCCTCTGCAGGTTCTCCACCTGCTCGGCCAGCTCGGCCATGGAGTCCGTGTGCTTCTTCCTGAAGGCGGAGGCGGTGGCCTCGGCCTGCAGTGAGGCTTCCTCCAGCTCCCGTCGCAACTTCAGCAGCTCTCCTTCACGCTTCCTGTTCTGCTCAATCTGCGGACAGGAAATCAACCGCTCGAGGATCGTTTATGTGACAGGGGGCAGCCGTCCTGGGGTCTGTGCAGCAACAGAATGCGGTGGGCGAGTGGCCGCCCGACACATTATCTGTGAGTGCGGAGAGGGATGCGCTGCAAAGGGAAGGTGACGCTACCTGGGCAACTGTGGCACCACCAGCCTCCTCCAGTCTGTCACTGAGATCCTCCAACTCTCGCGACAGCTCAGCTCGCTGCTTCTCCACCTGCAGAGATCAGAAAGGCAGCCCAAGTTACACAGGAAATAACCGGTGGGTTTACAGCACCTCACGACATCGAGGTGTCGTTCGCAACTGATAAGCGCAGTGGCTGTTTTCATAGGCGAATGGAGGCAGCGGTCTCACAAGCAGCCACAAGGTTGAACAATCAATGAATCAGGACAGGACACAGGGAGAAATTCCCCTCTCCTTTCACAAGATCCTGAACAGCACAGGTGGGAGTTGGTCCAAGGAAACGTCCAAAAAGGAGGCGACTACAATGTTGCTGTGTGTCCCCACTCCCCATAATACTGTGCTGGAATGTCAGCCTAGAGACTGTTAGCTCAAAGTCCCCAATGTGAGGCTGGCCCATCTCTTCTACACCCCCCCACCTTCGCCCACATCCCCTTCCCTTCTTTTCACATGGTGGTGCTGCAGAAGATGTTGTAATGGGAGACATACCTTGCCTCTATTAGCTCGCTCTGCCTCCAGCTCCTCTTCCAGCTCTTCAATCCGGGACTGGAAACACAAACACGTGCGTTACAATGAACAAACTCAGGATCTCACTGTGGGTTCAGTGAAGGAGTTCAGCGATTATCACTATACTCGATGAGGGTCTGTCTTCAACTATCCTGAGCAATTATTTTGCAATAGGAACTTTCTAAATAAACTCATTTGTGATTCTGCATTTGAGGGGATATGAAAGAATTTGTATTTTTTTTCATTAAATTTAACACAGAAATCACAAAAATCTCCTAATGTTTTATTACAAAGTTTTGAATTCTGAGCATCATTTATAAATGACTAATTTGGTTGCATTTGAAACAACGACGTGCATTTATGTAGTGCCTTTCACTTCGGTTAACGTCTTGGAACTCTTTACAAAAAGACGCAACTTGACATTCAAGCTCTTATTGAGTTTCAACTGACCCTGGCTTGTCTAAGGTGCAAGGGTGTTTATTTAATATCAAATTTAAGTTCACATAAACCACCCCATGACCGTAAACATGTCACTGGCGTGTTCAATACCTGATGCTCTTTAAACTTCCTGTGCAGCGTAGAATTCAGTGACTGTTCGTCTTCCCACTTGGAGCTCAGTGAATTAATTTCCAGATCCCTCCTGCAAATAATCAAAAGAGGCTTAAGGTAAAATACAAGATGAAATGCTAGCAGAAAGATGCAGTCGCTCCTTGAGTGAAGACCAGAGGACAGACTTTGACCACTGTACGTGCAAGTCCAGAGGTTTTAAATACCATAGGACAGAATTTTACTTTGCAAAGATTTACAATCCCTGAAATGGTGTAGAGTCTTATATCAAGGCTGACTGTGTAAGTCACGTTGGTCGTTCGCCTCACGGTTGTTAGTGGGATCTTGCTGTACGCAAAATAGCTGTACTTTTCCCTGCAAAAACAGTCACTACACTTAACAATAATTACATCAAAACTCTTTAGAAATTTTAAAGGTACAAGATGTTGTAAAAATGTAATTCTTTCTTTCGCTTGCTTGGTTTCTCACTACTATCTAAGAGTTGCTCCCCTAGCTCACAGGACGGTTCGAGTTCTGTGCCTGAATATGAAAACGAGGAATATAAGCCTCTTACTTCTTGAGCACCTCCTCCAGCTCAATCTTTGCTCTCTCCATGTCATTCAGGTTCTCGATTGTCATCTTCAGGTCTCCCTCAGCCTTGCGACGGGCCTTTTCCACCTCAGCCCTGATCTTCTTCTCCTGACTCCAGTTATCTTCCAGCTGACAATTATTTAACAAAGCCCAGTATGATTAGAGTGACCCTGGCTGCACAGTTCACCACAGGTAAATGTAGAGAGATCCAGCACAGCTCAGGAAACACACCACAAACAGCTTCCCAGTCACTGCTTGATTGTACATCCAAAGCTACATTGCCATCATCAGAGATCTATCATAAGAGAGCCTAACCTCACTCCCCAATGTGTTTCTACTTGCCATCGCAACAGAATCCCAAACCCTTTGGAGGCTCATCTCAAAACGTGTTGGGATATAAGGCAGGATTTGGTTTATAAGCCTCTCCACTTATTGTAGACAAAAACTGGTTCCCAAGCCAGATGAATTGGCGTTTACATTATTGATGCACCCAAACCACCAAACGGTGAAGTTTGCCTGCAGCTGATACACTTGTGAATCCTATAACAGAAACGTAATGTTACCTCTCGGATCTGGGAGCTGAGTTTGCTGTTACTCTTGGTGAGGTGGTTCACTTTATCTTCTTCGGTTTGTAGGTCATCCAGTGTTTTCTGAAGCAAAGAAACAGGAGGGTAAACCACAGGCTGTTTCTTTCAGTTAAATCCCTAAACATTTTCATCATAGACTTTGAAATGGAAACTAGTCACTATTAATAATAATAATTCATGCATCTGATACTGCAACTCATCGGGTTTTTGAAACATCTCAAAGCGCTTCACAGGGTTTAATATAACAAAAGTTCACGGCAGCCAATTGTGCACAACAATATCCCAGAAACAGTCGTGTAGTGAATACCCAACTTTATCTGGCTAATTGTTGGCCAGGACACCGGGAGAAACTCCCTTCTCTTTCGAGTAGTGCCGTGCGATCTTTAACGTGCACCTGAACACGCAGACTGCATGCATCTCAGACTTACAGAGTAGCCATATCACTGAGGACAAACCTGGTGTAGTTCCTCTATGGCTCGTTTTTCCTTTTGCAGCTTAGCGATCGCGTCGTCTCGTTGAGCAAGGTCCTGGGTCAGGGATCTCACTCTGATATCCAGAGCCTGGTGAAAGTCAACAGAACAGCAAGTTATCCACAGCCGCTTGTGGGGAGACTTGATTGTACACAGCTCAAGCTGACCGGCTTTTAACAAACTGATGGTAACAAGGGCTGTGAATGCAGCCTTCACAAGCTGGGAGTTCAGCAACACCGCGCAAAAAATATCCTGAAGTCTGTTTAGCTGGCATTTTGCTTATTATTCATTGCACATTATTCTGATTCTTAATTACAGCCTTAATTTTGAAGCCAGCTTCAAAGTAAGTTTCTTTCAAGAATTACGGAAATCCGGCTTCAGTGTCAAGCTTGAAATCAACAATTTGCCAAACTATGGACACCATGATTTGCTACACAAATACAGACAATCTAACCTCTGGTGAAAATTCTCCCTCCAGTATTGTTTAGACAAATGATTAACATGGCTTTAGCTATTTGTCTCTCCAAACTCCCATTGGCACCACAGTCAGTGACCAGAGGGCATCAATTTAAGATAATTAGCAAACAAGCAAATGGGGAGGTCAGGAGAAACTGTTCCACACACAGTGGTTAGGATATGTAACGCCCTGACAGGTGGGGTGGTTGAGGTAGAATCCATGTTAGCTTTCAAAAGAGAACTTTAAATTCCTGAAAAGCAGTAAATTACAGGGGAATCAGGGTGGGGCGGGAATTGGATTGAAGGTATTGGTTTTTAAAGAGCCAGCACAGACCCGATGGCCTGCTTCGCTGTTGTAAGTTTTTGGGCGATACCTGTTTCTCTTTCTCAGTTTTGACCAGGGTTGTCTCCAGACCCTCTAGATCCAGTTTTAAGTCAGTCATCTCGCTCTCCAGTTTCCTCTTGTGAGACACCAGAGAGCTGCAGGAGTTCTCCTCCTCTTCAAGCCGTTCCTTCATCTCTGAGATCTGGTTCTCATATTCCAACTTGGTCCTCATCAGCTGAGTGAGACGCTCATCCATGTCACCCAGGTTTTCTTGCTCCTGATCGGGTGGGAGAAAGTACAGATGTTTTTACTATGGTGAAGCCACGTGCAGCAAAGATTTCAGCACCAACATGATGAGTTATGAAGAACACACTCTTGCTCTTTCTCCCTTTCTTTCTCCCTTTCTTTCTCCCTTTCTTTCTCCCTTTCTTTCTTTCTCCCTTTCTTTCTTTCTTTCTTTCTTTCGCACTCTCTCTTTCACTCTCTCTCTTTCTTTCTTTCTCTTACAGCTTGGAGTTGGATTATAAGGTCATTCTTCTCCTGTGACAGAGTAGCAGTCTTCTCTTCGAGTTCCTTGATGCGGTTGAGTAGCTCGTTGGTCTTCTCCATCGCTGACCTCAGCTCCTCCTCTTTCTGCTTCATCTCATCCTCTTGACGGGCCACGTTGAGCAGAGGCTTGACCTAGAGGCACGGAGACAAATTAGATCGGTGCAGAGAACCACGTTCTGATAAAACCTCTCTTCTTTAGTGAGGAGTAGCTGTTTTTGACTTGAGTCAAAATAGCTGCTCCTGTCACAAACTCCCATTTGCCAAGGAAATGCACACAGACTTGTTTGACACAAAGATCTTGAAGACAGGGGGGAAGGGAGATTTTTCATGTATCCTACACAGGACCACAGGAAAACACTTTGTGATACTCACCTTGTTGTACAGCTTCCACCAGCCCCAGAAACGGAGTTGCAGGAATTTGCGTACATTACGTTGAATGACTATCAGTGCCAATCTGCAAATAGAAGAGCAGAAATGAAGAGTACCTTACAAATATCACAGAGTAAAGTTACTGGCAATAATGTCAAAGATAGTGCTGGAACCCTGTGAGTCTTGCTGCAGTCTGATCCTCTGAACAGTGAAGCACACAAGTGATGTATTTTCACACATGCCAAGGCAGCAGGGTAAGAGGGCAACAACAACAACAACAACAAGATTCCATTTATAGAGCGCCTTTCACGTCAGGAGGACGTCCCAAGGCGCTGCACAGTTGGGTCATGACCCGAGCAGGGGGAAATGGTCAGGGTGAGGGGAGGGAAGGGAGGGAGCGAGGAGGGGGGAAATGGTCAGGGTGAGGGAAGGGAGGGAGCAAGGAGGGGGAAATGGTCAGGGTGAGGGGAGGGAAGGGAGGGAGCGAGGAGGGGGAAGAGAGTCGAGAGGGGAGCTGAAGGCACGGTCAAAGAGAAAGGTTTTGAGACCGGCCTTGAAGGAGGAAAGGGAGGAAGCAAGGCGAAGGCACTGGGGGATGGAGTTCCAGAGCCTGGGGGCTGAGAGGCTGAAGGCCCGACCACCGATGGTAGGGCGGTTGGGGCGGGGGACGTGGAGCAGACCAGAGCCAGAGGAACGGAGGGTACGGGCAGGTAGGTAGGGGGATAGTAGGTTGGAGAGGTAGGAGGGAGCAAGGCCGTGAATGGCCTTGTAGGTGAGGATGAGGATCTTGAAATCAATTTCATGATAGGTACCAGGAAGTATTTTTTTAACCCAAAGGGTAATTAACTGGAACAGACAGCTAGGAAAGATGGTTAAGGCCAAGATACTGGACTCATTTAGGAAATAGCTTGAGAACAGTGGGTGCGTATTCTGGAATGAAAGAATGAGATCAAAAGAGCCGAAGGGACTTCTTCACCTGAACTTCTCTTTTTGATCTTTTATTTCGATTGACTAAAGAGAATCAGCTTATTATAAAGCATATTTCCATGCAACATTTTAATCATTTCACACAGGAGAAAGTATTCTCAATAATTAGCAGCAAAGATATGGAATGTTTTTTCTCCCAATTCTCTCTTTTCCTCTCCCAAAGGCAGTGATTTAACATCACCTAAAGGCCTCTGCAATAGGTGGTGGAACAAGGAACTGGAAGTACTAAAGGTTTCAAGCAGAAACTGGACATGTTCCTGCCATCTAAAAGGATTCTGGATTATTATATCTGAGAGACATATATAACACAGGAATCTTGTGTGAAATTGGATGAATAGGCTTGATGGACCAATGTACTGCAAAATGGTTGTATTCTATGATACACTTACCTCCTCTCCAGCAGCTTTTTAAACTCAATACGCATGAGATTCCCGCGGGAGCGAGCCTGAACCATTGTCATAATCTTTGCCAGTCGCTCATCGCGGAAGTCTTCCAGCTTAGCCAGGACGCCAGCTCGGAAGAACACCTTTGAAAACACATGGAATAATAAATACTAATAATCCTGGCATTTGACATCGTGCCCGTCATGTCGAGAGGATGTCTGAAAGCTCTTCATGGTTATAATGCAAAGTGTGCCAACTGTATACTTTGTGGGTAAACGCGGCAGCCAGTTTGCACACGAGAATGTCCCAAAAGCAATTATGAAGTGAATGGCTCATTTTTTATTTGAGAGACTGTTGGCCGGACATCGGGAGAAACTCCCTTCTCTTGGCAAAGTGTCATGGGATCTTTAACATCCACGTGAAGAGGCAAGATGGGAACTTGTTTTTTGCGCCTTAAGGGCCTTCCTGATCTGAACCTCTCATAATCTTGTGAGAAGCCTGTACCTTTGTGTGTCCAATCCTGTACTCGCTGCTGTCCAGATCAATTGAACCCAGGACCAGCTCCGAAGCTTTCTTGTTATCAACAAATCCCTTGGGGATGACATTGGGGTTCAGGATGTGATACCTGAACAGAACAAGAAATAAACACTTGGTCATAAGACCAATGTAACATATGCTGTTCAAAACAATTTATTATGTTCATCGCAAGTATTTTGTTTAGTTTGTTTAGTATTTTGGTATTAGATAGGATAAATTCCAGAAATAAACTTTGCGAATTCATATTGTGATCTTTCAGACAACAGCTGGAAAATGTCAAAATAGACCTGGATAATAGCAATGGCCAGTTAATACTAACAACCCTCTCATTCAATGCAATATTGAAAAATCTCAAACTGCTGGCGAAGTAACAACTATCAACTTCAGTGACTGAGTAATCTATGGGCAAACACAACAGCTAATTGTCCCACAAATAGCCACAAAGTGAACGGCCGATTTATCTGGGGGTATTATTGGTCAGGAAACTCGGTGAAACTCTCTTTTCTTTTCGAATTGCGCTATGGGGATCTTTAACATCCACCCAAGCAGATTCCAATGGGAGACTGGATGCCTGATCCAAAGCTATTGTATTACCTTGTGGTACCTGTGTTTAGTATCGCTCAGGCTACAAGGTGATGATGAGCCATGATTTAAACTTGCCTCTGTTTAAACTCAGGATACTGCAGTCTGTTGGGAAATCCTTTCCTGCAGATACGGATTCCCTCCAGCACACCATTACAGGCCAGCTGGTGGAGGATCAGCTTAGCGTCCACAGCACCTGGAAGAGAAATTGAACACAAGCGACATTAGGGTGAATGGCAGCCATTGCCGAGAGATATTGCCCAGCTAATGACATTCACAATATGATAAAAGAGGTTAGTTTCTTTTTAAAGAACCGTGGAAAACCGGCTTCCAGATGAAGGCTGAATTCAAGGATGTTCCGCAATGCTTCGCAATAATAATCCTTGCATTATCACCTCAACAACAACAAAATTACATTTATAGAGCGCCTTTCACGTCGGGAGGATGTCCCAAAGCGCAGTGACGTCCCATCTTGTTGAGATGTCTCAAAGCATTTCACAGGATATACTGTAAAGTGTATTTTGTGAACGAAACATGGCATCCAGTTTGCGCACAGCACTCTTGAAATTTTAAGACCCCCCAAAAAGCTGCTCTTCGAATTTCAGGACATCGGCTGAGACATCACAGATTGAGCTCTGCGCTCCCATGGCTCCTGACTCACCTGACTGCTTGAACTCGTTTGGTACAATGCAGCGGACAAAGTGGGGTGCGGTGCTGCGCAGGGTGGTCATCAGCTTGTTCAGCTGCTCCTGCGAGAGGGAGGGAGAGAGAGAGAGAGCTCAATCAAGAGAGCCATGAGCCTTGAAGTGAAACAAGGTGAGATGAGAGACTCCAGGCTGATTAGACGGCAGAGAATGCCACTAACAGCAAAGGTTATCATCCCTTTCATCTGATACCCGAACGAGAAAGGAAATGAAAACAAAGGTGGAAGCCACCAAGAGATAAACTGTGATCCAAACACAATGAGGGATTGAATCTTTAAGGAAAATGAAAGGTGGTGTTTGGGACAATGTAATAAGGAATTCTTACCCTGTAGAAAGCGGAGACAGTTTGGAAGGAAGCACCTTTCTTCGGCTTCCTACCACCGGCTGTAAGTGAAATTAGCACATTAATAGCATTAAAAAAACTGCCTGTGAGTTTATACACTGGAGGCCGGAAATTCCAAGCAGACATAGCTGGTGAGAATGTTTCTGTTTAAGATCCTGCAGAATTTTGTTGTAACATCCTTAAATTCAGTCTCAATTTGGAAACCGGTTTTCTGCAGTTCTTTAAAAAAATCGGCTTCCAAGATAAGACTATTTAAGAGTTGTCCACAATCCATTATATTATGGCAAAATAGTTATGTGGCTTAAGACCAGGTGGAATTTCAGGCCCTGGTACGGGCCTTGGTATCAGTAGGTTGTTCCTTACCCTGACACCTGAGGTGGTCACAGCATTTACCTGGAATTCAAATGGGCCATTTTCATCTCAGTCCTGGCTGCTTCATGTACATCTGAACTTCGCTACTGCCTCCTCATGTGTCAACTAGTTCCCTCTCCCATGAAGCGCATATTACAGTCACCCAAAGTTCCTGTGTAAAATAGTGCCCTACATTGCGGACCCAATGATGTGCATTGAATGGTGAATAGACTTGTCAGTTGACCTCAGTGGAGTCAATGCAACACTGCTGTTTGTATTGATCTCAGTTAGAGAAGGTTAATAATCTGTCGATAGAAATATTGTTGTCATAGTGACAACAGCAGCTGTAGTGAAAGAGCACGTAATTCCCAGATGTCTGTGATGGTGGCTGACTCAAATCCTAAAATTCATGAGGATATGGTTAGGATGTGGTGAAAGTCAGAGCCTTGAGACTGTGGGGATGAAGTGCGAGAAAGAGCAAGAGAAAGGGAGAGATAGCGAGACAAAGAGTCACAGAGAGAGAATCGGAGAAAAGAGAGAGAAATAGAGAGAGAAATGGAGGGAGAGAAAGAGAGAGACAAAGTGAGAGTATGAAAAGCAGAGAGGGAATCAAAGAAAGCGAGAGAAAGTGAGAGTAAAGTGACTATGATGGGTACTTGATCGCTTGATAATATTTCAATGTGCAGATGAGTTGGGAGATGTGAAGAGGTCAGTGCCTCTCATGAGCTGTATTATTCAGTGCTCACCACATGATGGCATTAGCCTACGCATTTGCCTGAACTCTGCATACATGTTGCCCTATAACTGCGCTCTCCAGAACTCACCTGGGGCTGCCTCTTCTTTGAAGATTAAGGCCAACAGAGCCAATGAAGATTTCTGGAAAAGGCCCGTAACAGTTTCGTTCAGGGGGTCTTTGTTCTTCTCCAGCCAGCCTTGGGTACTGTAGCCAACCTGAGGAACAGAAGAGAGAAAAACAAGGCAATTGGCTGGAGTCCTGCTCTGAATACACAGTAGAGCTCTTACATATCTGCATGACATTTAACCAATTAACTGCGTCCCACAAGTGAAACCGGGGAAATTTCAAGCAGAAGAGATACAGGGAAATGTCTTTTTACTGAATGAAGGGATACTCACTGTGCCCGCGTAGTGCACCAGCTCAAACGTGGCCTCTCCACCCTTGCCTTTGCCACCTTTTGGTTTTAGGAAGTTGTTGGACTTGCCCAGGTGATTGTCGTACAGAGCAGCCTTGAACGTGGCATCCGTGGCCTTCGGGAACACGCACTGCTCTTCCAGGATGGAGAAGATGCCCATGGGCTGCAAGCAAGCAAGAACCGTGATTGATACAAACCTTCCGATAGCAAGACATCGAACGACTAGTCAGTGATTGCATCAGGTCCGCATACTGTCCTCCTCATTTCAGCCAATCTGTGGCTCTACGCCTTTATCGTAACTAATGCAAAATAATAATAAATAATAATCCTTGCATTTGATATAATAATAATAATAATAATAATCCTTGCATTTGATATAGCGGTTTTCACGTCAGGAGGACGTCCCAAAGCGCTTCACAGAGTACACTGTAAAGTGAATTGACTGTATATTTGTGGGCGAACGCGGCAGCCAATTGCGCACAGCAATGTCCCACAAACAGTCGTAGATTGAAAATGACCAATTTATTATTGTTTTTGTTTTGGAGGGATTATTATTAGGCTCTGTGTGGAGTAAGGAAACTTGCCCAAGGTTTCGCCCTCTGCCTGGAATTGAACTCAGGTCTCTCACTTGCAAAGCGAGTGCTCTAACCACTGAGCTACAGGACTCCATATAGTGCCGTATCACGCCTTCGAGGGTCTCAAAGCGCTTCACAGAATATACTGTAAAGTGGATTAACTGTGTACTTTGTGGGCAAAATGCAGCACCCAATTGCACATAGAGGCGTCCCACAAACAGTTGTGGAATGAAGTGACCGATTTATAATTTACTTTTAAAGGAATTATTAGCCCCGGAAAAGCCATTCGTCAATCAACGGGGTTCCTACTTACTGGTAGGTAAACAAAGGCATGTAGAGTAAGGAAACTTGCCCAACATTTCGCTCTGCCTGGGAGTCAATACCCAAATCCCTTGTTTGTGAGGCGAGTGCTCTAACCACTGAACTACAGGACTCCATATTTCCACGAACAGCAATGAAGTAATGGACCAATTATATTTGGGGGATTGTTGGCCTCAACACTGGTTGAAAAACCATGCATGAAAGTCACCTCCACATTATATTTCCAGGGGGGGAGGGGGATGATCCATCTAGGGATTTCCTGAACGCCAAAGTCCATCAAGCAAAACCTCTAATATTACACTTCAATCCAGATTACTGCAACCTGGCTCCTCCCCTCCACAGACAACATCTTCCCTCTTCAGGATCTAGCAGCATTCAAATCATAATATCCTATCGAGAGTTCACTTGTCCCCTCTATACAGATACCGCTCTCAAAGGAGATGAAATACCTTCTCCAGAAGCTCAATGCAGGCCTGCAGGTCCATGCCAAAGTCAATGAACTCCCAATGGATTCCTTCCTTCTTGTACTCCTCCTGTTCCAGGACGAACATGTGGTGGTTGAAGAATTGCTGCAGCTTCTCGTTGGTGAAGTTGATGCAGAGCTGCTCAAAGCTGTTAGACTGTGGGACGGGTGAAAGACGTGACAGAGAATGAGGTTCCCTTTCTACTCAAACTATTGCTCCCGATTACTAACCTTTTACTTTTCTTTTTTACTGCACTTTGAGGTCAAAACCTGCTGCACTCAAAGTTTCTTACCTCAAAGATCTCAAAGCCAGCAATGTCCAGCACCCCTATAAAGTACTGTCGCTGTGCCTTGGTGTCCAGGGTCTTGTTAATTCTCACCACCATTTGCTTGAACATTTTGTCATAAACAGCTTTGGCAAGAGCCCCAATTGCATTTTGGCACTGAAAGAAATTAAGATCAAGGTCCACGTCATCACCAGATCACTAGCAGAGAGGAGATACACATTAAGAAACATCAGAGGCTCAAAATTTCACCTGGCTTAGTCTTAAGACCATTGTATTTTGAGACGTTCCTCCTGATGTGAAAGACACTATACAAATATAAATTGTAGTGTAATTTATTATCATTTAAGATCAATTAAGAATTTAGAAAATTTTTAAATGCAGGTTTTAATTTTGAAACAACAGTAGCGCCCCGTTATAAACTGCTACGTTATAACACTTGTTCATTTAGGGTTTGAGCTGCAAATATTTACTTACACCCAAAAATCCAAAATATCAAAAGAAATAAAATGATAATAATAATAAATAATAATAATCTTTACGTTCGATGCATCTCAAAATCATAGAATCATAGAATCATTGCTTCACAGGATATAGTGTAAAGTGTAGTGACTGTATGTTTTGTAGAAAATAATAAATATAAATGAAATAATAAATAATAAATATAAATCCAGTTACTTACTTGGTCCATGCTCTGGCTTTTCTGCACAAACTCATTGCCAACCTTGACCCTTGGCCTGGTGATGCCTTTCTGCAGTTCCCCTGAATTGAGTGCCATCAAGTGGGAGACTTTGTCGGCCACTGAAAGCAGCAGAGACAAGAGTGCGACACACTGAGACAGAAACCAATAGAAGCAAATAATATACATTGACTTTAAAGTGTTTTGGGCTAAAAATTCCCTTCCGAGCTACGCATATCACCCTTGAAACAGTGTCAGCCACTAACAGGAATCGTCAATTATAGTCACACATCCCCAAAGTCCACGAGAGTATCACTAAAGGGTAATTTTTATTCCATTCTAGAGCTGGAGCATGAACAACTGGTGAAACTGAGCCAAGAAACTCAAGGAGCATCTGCATTTTAAAAATGTCATTCAATTATTTGGGGAGGACACGTTTGCAGGGCAATGGGCAGAGAGCATGGAGCGGGATTGATTTGGATAGCTCTTTCAAAGATCCGGTACAGATACAATGGGACGAATGGCCTCCTTCTGTGCTGTATAATTCTATGATTCTATTTTTCGTGTGTTGACGAATAAAAGGAACTCCTTAGTCCTCACTCAGTTGTCTTTCCTGCAGTTGGGCTGTCGTTAAGAACTGAAGGATATATTTCAACAAACCTTGCTATCAGACCGGCACCATGAAATCAGACAAGATCTACCTTCAGGAGTATCGACCTCTGCCTGTTCCTCTCTTGGCTTCTGCTTGAACTTCATGTTACCAAAGTGCATGATGGCCCCAGTCAGTTTATAAATGCTTAGCTTTTCTTCTGCAGTGAAGCCCAGTACATCAAAGGCAATCTGGAGTAAGAGATATTCCCAGTAGTGTCATATCACTAGTCAATGCTTTGTTGCCATTCCTTAAGAAGTCAATGCTCTGCTACTAATTTAGTGAAACTAGGATAGCAATATATTACAACCTACATTATTCAAATCTAAGGAATTGCATTTCACAGATGACATTTCCATGTTCCCAGTTTCACAGGAACCTGCCTGCTCTATATATATCCTGTTCTTTTTTTAAGCATGTTAATTGACATATTAAGGGCCTTGCAGGAGATTCTATTCCACATACCTAATACTCTGTGGGGAAAAACGTCTTCCAACTGCTAGGCTTGCCTCAGGCTTGTTAATTTTATACCAACTTCCTTCAGTTCAGACAGCACTGCCTTAAGTTCGATACCCTGCTTAGGTTGACATTTATAATTCCATCTCAGTGTTTTAAAGACCTCGCTCATTGAAAAATGCTCTGTTGGTAAATCTCCCTTGATATCACGGGGAGCCTTGAATCCTCGAATCTGAACCCCTCCAGTCATCGATGTTCTTTTGACTAAAGCACATTTAAAGCATTACACAATATGTAACCGAGGTGTTTCAATCCACTCCAACTTTCACACTGAGGTACGTACATCAGTCAGTAATAACTCTTCACCATCATCCATGTTTTCCACTGTGGTGACTCCCTGGCATACCCAGAAGTAAAGTTTAGGGTCAGACACCAATAACAGCGAGTCTGATGGAATCAAAGCACATACAACAATTTTGTTACAAATACAGACACTGATTCGCTCCCTCTCCAACTTTTTTTTCCTTTAATTTTTTTCCTTTTCCTATCCAGACTTGGGGCTCACAACAACAGCTTGCATTTATATAGAACCCCTCACACAGGGCAGTATCCCAGAGCCCCTCACACAGGGCAGTGTCCCAAAGCCCCTCACACAGGGCAATATCCTAGAGCGCTTGACTACCACATAATCACTTTCAAAGGAGAATGTGCAGGTGACAGATCTGTCCCCGGTTGCAGTCAATCTGATCTCTTTTTTCAGAAACACAACATGCTTCAGTGTTTCTAGATTATATTTTCACCATGAACATTTCAGCAAAGGAGTAAATGTGTTATCAACCTACTTTGATTGCAATCTCAAGGTTGCCCTTACACCTGTCTGACTTCCTTTGCTGCTAGTTAAAATATACAGAATGAATGGTCTGTAGCAACGTTTAGTGTAGCTATCGCAGTAGTTTTGAGGGAAGTTTGCTGGTTTCCTATTCCTTCCTGAGAATGCTGACAGCTGTGTTCCTCAAATCCTCTCATTTGGAGGATTTTTGTTGGGAGAGGAAAAGAGTAAAAGTTTGGAAATGAGCTGCACGTGATGAACTGGTGCTGATCTTTAGTGAAGTTTAGTTTAGCACACTGCTTCTACTTGGCCGAGGTTGTTATACTTGCCCAGTAAATCGGCTTTCTTCCCTGAGAGAATCTGGTAGAAGATGTGATAGCCTCTCTCAGATAACTGCTGCGAGATTACCCGAGACTTTTCCAGCAAATCTGGACAAAGCATCAGTGAAAGACAAGGTTAAAACAGCTCAGGGCAGATAAAATCTTTATCCTGCCAGACAGCTACGTGATATATTTAAAAAATTAATAAACTGCACCATTCAATAAAAAAGAAGCAAGATCCACTTACAGCTTTCAATGTCAGCCCCAGCCAGCTTGCCGGATGGACCAAAGTGAATGCGGATGAATTTACCCTGATGGGAAGGGAGGATTGAAAACAATGAGTTTCACTGAATTTGCATCTTGCCTTCAGCAGAAAACCAAATCAGAAAGATGCGTGTGAAGATGCTAAAAGACAGTTGAGATCTAAAGTGAGGCCTTTCACTTGTGTTTCATTTTCTCCCACAGCCTCTTGCTCAGTCCAGAGCACTGGTAAAGCTGTCACTGTGTGAGCCACAGGGACATTTTAAACCATGAGGCGGATGAGGCATTTGTATGCCAGCTGTACAGGAACGCAGCAAGAACTTTGTTGTTTGGAAAGAACAAAGTGATTAAAACTGAAAATCACAGTGGATCAATGTTAGATGGTTTGTCAGCTACACTGTGTATTTTGTTAGATGGTTTGTCAGCTACACTGTGTATTTTGTGGGTGAAATACAGCAGCCAGTTGCGCACAGCAATGTTCCACAAACAGCCATTTTTGGTTGGCGAGGACACTGGGAGAAACTCCCTTCTCTTTTCAAATAGTGCCGGGGATCTTTAACATCCACCTAAATAGGCAGACGGGACCCCGGTTTAACGTCTAATCCAAAAGATGGCACCTCGGACAATGAAACACACCCCCAGCACTGCATTGGAGCTTCAGCTTAGACAACAACAACAATAACAACAAGATTACATTTGTATAGCGCCTTTACGTCGGGAGGATGTCCCCACATAGACTATGTGATTCAAAGTCCCAAGGTGGGGCTTGAACCCCTAACCTTCTGACTCAGAGACGAGAGGCACGCTGATACCTAATGAGAGACAAGAGAATAACTTACAAAACGTGAAGAGTTATTGTTTCTGGTGGTTTTAGCATTGCCAAAAGCTTCCAGCACAGGGTTAGCTTGGATGATTTGATCTTCCAAGGAGCCCTATAATGAAGGATCAAAAAACAAAAGCGTCGGATCATCACCCTTTTTTTGCATGAAGTATCCTCAACTAAACTTTTTTTTCTGGAGCAACATCACAGAGAATAACATATCAAATGCCAACTCAGTGCAGACAGCCTGTAACCCATGAATAATGTAGAATGACGTGGAATACCAAATAGGCCTCACAAATCTTTGGATCCAATATCTGTAAATAGCAAATATTACTTACATCCATTAAGTAATGTGCAAGTGAGGATGACTAATTGCCTCAGCCTCAACATTGAGTTCTAGATGATATGGCAGCCAGACTTTCAAGTCACTTACAGCAGATAGGGTGGCATGCCTCCGCTGTGCAATGCTACCTGTGCCCTGGGAAAAGGCTACGCTTTGGAACGTTTAAGAGGATCAAGGATGAATAGTGAAGCACATGTGTTCCAATTTACTCATTTCAGTGAAGGACAGAGATTCACTGGATAAAGCACAGATCTGTAAGTGAGAAAAATATCCTCCTACCCTCAGTGTCACCCAGTTTCATCATTACCTTTGGATCACCACCAGCTGGCTTCAAGCCACCCATATTGGCAAAGTACTGAATAACCTTCTTGGTGTTTTCTGTCTTCCCAGCACCAGATTCTCCGCTGTTCGTGGAAAACAGGAACAGGATTACATTTTGAGGGGAGAGGGGAAGAAATAGAGTAAGTAATATGTTCAAATTTAGCCAAAATATATTTTGCTTTGAATGTTTTGGCTTTGGACTTTGGGGCCAAAATTCCATCAGATCTTTGCCATTTTTTATTAAATGTTACATTTGCAAAAGAGTTGCAGAAATAATTGAAGTCTGGTGACTGCAACTGAAGAAACGAAAAAATGGGAAAACCCCAAACATTTGATCAATTAATATTTCTCTGAACAGTATTTAACATACTACTCAATAATTTACTGGAGAAAACGTAACACAAATGTTTTTTGTCAAATATCTAGGTAAATGCTAACTTCAGTGTTTATTTTTGTATCGTAACAAATCACACTCTATAAAAGTCAACGGTATTTATCAACTTATCAACTTGCATTTAACAAATGAAAACACAACTGCAAAGAGCTACTTACGTGATGAGCATAGACTGGTTTTCACGCTCTGCCAAAGGAAAAACATGAGTTTTAAAAGATGAGCTCAAAATACTTAAGATACCGCAAATTATTTTACAAGCGTCAAAGTCCCACAAGTGCTAAATTCACGAATGACCCGGGGTGTTCCCTTGCATGAATGAATGAAAGAACTTCCACAAATGTAGAAAATATAACCGTCTGAAGAGAATTGCAAAATGAATCATGGGCATTAAAATGTCTGCAAATAATTTGAGTTGATGCATCAAAAGGAAGAATAAAGGGTATTTAATATTTCTTTTGTAGTTTCATGTCTGTGTTTCTTATTGTGTCTCTGAGGTGGAAACTGGGTCAAGTGACCTCTTACTATTTCATGCATTTCTTGGGTTCTATGGTCATGACAGGACAATGTTGTGCCCAAACCTCTTACCCATCAGCATGTCGTGGTACGCGTTGTCAGAGATGGAGAAGAGATGAGGAGGCATCTCACTGCGTTTCTTGCCCTTGTACATTTGAGCAACTCTACCACCGTAGATGGGCAGCCACTTATAGGGGTTCACTGTCACACAGAACAACCCAGAGTAGGTCTACAAAAAGTCAAAAAGTACAATAAAAGGCTGGGAAACATGTGCAACTCTTTCCTCAGAGCAAACAGTTTTAACATCTTCCTACTGCGTTTATTAGACATTTTGAAGACTGTCAACTAAGGAAGCGTGACATGGATAGGAATGGATAACAGTCTTTTATCTCATATAACCCCTATAACTTTCCTAAAGTTTTGCCCCAGCCGGGAATTGAAACTGGTCCTCTCGTTTGCGAGGCGAGTGCTCTAACCAATATGCTACAGGTCTCCACAGGCAAACTTACATAGATTCTCATTTTGAAGTAACGCTGGCGGAGGTTGTCCAGGATGCTGGCCTCATTCAGGAAGGTCAGATTGGCCATGTCTGTGGCCTGGTAAAACTTAGGTGGATTCATTTGGTCAACTTCATCTTTCTTCAGGGTCAAAGTCTACAAGAAAGTAAAAAGCACACAAAAGAATATCTGGAGTTTATCAGTAACTTATTATATTGGCTTACAATAGAATAATGCATAAACCAATCAATGGACCAGCTAGATACATGTCAAGATCTGAAATTAGACCCAATCTTAGTCCATTTCATCTTAAAATGGTGCATAATTGTGGAAAATTCTACAATTCGGGCTTTATTTGGAAGCTAGTTTTCCTGCAGTTCTTAAAAATAAACTGGCTTTTAAACCAAGACTGAATTGAAGAATATTCCATAATTTGGGGTAATCTTAAATTTTAAGGCAACGTTATAGGTTAAGACTTTCAGGCTGGAATTCAGGCTTTGGAATTTCAGGCTGGTATTTAGCAAAATCCTTTTCTCTTCAAACAGGCTGCTTCATCACTATTAAAATAGAGGAGCTCTATTCTCTTTACACCAAGCTTTACATAAGGCAGAGGTACTGCAGTAACTAAACCCTATGTTTTCGGTTAAGGTGATGTCCCTACACTTTAATGTAACTAGAATCTTTAGATGCCATGAACATAAATAATAACAGCCCTCGCTTGCTCTGACCTTTGAATGCCGTATCATTTGCTGCAACTTATGTTAAGAGATGGATGAAACTACCAAGTATTGGTGAAAACACCACGCTACTGTTTCTTCAAAACCTTTAAGATCTTTTGACTTACGGTGTTCTTGACAGTCTTCACAGTGACTTGTTCACCTTTCTCAGACTGGATTTCACCTGCGATGAAGCCCTCCTTTTCATCCTTGACCCAGCAAGACTTCTTAATATCATAGGGTCGGTTGATAGCTTCCAGCTTCTCCTTGTCGGTAGGAGCCAGGAAAGGAATGGGATCAACATCATCTCCACATTCTCCTTTTGATGCCATTTTCAGTTGAATTGGCTTTAACAGCAAAGAAACCCAAAGAGAACTCGACACTCCCCTGAAGGTATAAAACAAAATAACAGTCTGGGAGAGGAAAATAGTTCAGAGAATCTTCATTGCTGCAAGATTCCCTTGGCACTGTGCATTTCTTCTGCACTAGGAGGGAGGAAAATGTCATTTTTTTTATCTGTACGAACGCTTCCACTTTGTGATGATAATAATAATAATAATATTCCTTGCATTTGGTATAACGCTTTTCACGCTTTCTCGACATCTCAAAGCGCTTCACAGAATAGACTGTAAAGTGAATTGACCGTATATTTGTGAGCGAAACATGGCAGCCAATTGCACACAGCACTGTCCCACACACAGTCGTGGATTGAAAATGACCAATTTATTATTGTTTTGTTTTGGAGGGATTATTATTAGGCGTGTGGAGTAAAGAAACTTGCCCAAGGTTTCACCCTGTCTGGAATTGAACGCAGGTGTCTCGCTTGCAAGGCGACTGCTCTAAGCACTAACCTACAGGACTCCTACAGGAAAACATAAATAAGATATGAAAAGTTGCAGTGATAATTTGAAAGTATACTTAAACTAAATATTTAAATTTAAGTATACTTAAATAAAATATTTGATGGCATGGAAATTACAAAAAAAACACTAATTTATTAATTATTTAATCTGCTGATGTTTGGGAATGTTTTACAATTCAGCAACGCATAGAAAAACAAGCCCCTAAAGGTTAGAAATTTCACCTGGGACTAGATATACTCTATTTTCTTTGTAGGGTATTTCAGACTGACCAGGACCTGGCATATTCTTAAATACAGCCTAAATGATGAAGATTCTTTTTCCATAAGATCCTTCAAAATCTCTGAAAAACTCTGAAATGCTAAGAAAATAGAATGATTATATATAATAATCCTTTCTTTTGATAGTAATAATAATAATCCTTGCATTTGATATAGCGCTTTTCACGTTTTCTAGACGTCCCAAAGCGCTTCACAGAATATACTGTAAAGTGAATTGACTACATTTGTGGGCGAACGCGGCAGCCAATTGTGCACAGCAGTGTCCCACGAATACTTAGGTGACTGATTGACTAACCAAAAAATGAAGCTGGACCCAGGTTGACATTCCTATCGATGTATAGTTAAAGATTTAAATAAATTTTTTTAGCCCAAAACTAAAAAATGAAATTTTCCTTCTTATATGCAAGCCGTCAACCATGCATCAAAGATCAGTGAAAGGCAGTGTAATTACTAACTTTGCTGTTAGATGTAAAGAGCATGTGAATAACTTAACACACTGACAACAAACATCACAGTACCTACCAGAGTGAGAGGCAGAGGTGCGATTGGGGTCTGACTGGATGATCCCTTTTATAATTCACATGATCTCCTGAGCCAGCAATAAGTGTCAAAAATGTTTACAGCAAAAAACTATTTGCCTATCCTTTAATTGGCCAGTCTCGATCCCCAGTGTATGGGTTAGTTAATAGCCTGTTTCTTGGGAATTCTGGAGTCGAGCTCAAGTCCATATAAGGGACAGAGAACAGGTGTTCTGTTATAGAGAGATAATGTTGCAATGGTGCGTATCTCAGTTACTCCAATTTAAAATATGACACTACTGTATTACTATAATTCCTAATTCACACATTGCAAAGGAGGAAAGTGCTTCCTATACCATTAGATTTTCTAACTGCTCAGTGAGAAGTTGCCATTACTTTGTCAAAAGTTTGTGCTTAATTAAACTAAACTTGGAGCTGAGTTGCGGATTTCGCTCCTTCTTAAGTCACAAAATGTAACAAGACAAAAAAAGAAAGGAAATCATAATGCAAACCACAGCCCTTGCTGGAAGAAAATCACCTGGGTCTAGGTTTACTCTAGGTTTACTGAAATCCTGCAGTGTATCGGTTGGAGCACTCGCCTTGCAAGCGAGAGGACCCGGGCAGGGAAAAACCTTAAGGCAAGTTTCCTTACTCTACACGTCTCTGTTTAGCTAGCAGTAAGTAGGAACCTGGTGGCCGGTGAACAGTGGTAATAATACCTTCAAAAAATCTAAAATAATAATTTGGTCAACTCAATCCACGACTGTCTGTTGGACACTGCTGTGCACAATTGGCTGCCATGGTTTGCCCACAAAATATGCAGTCAATTCACTTTACAGTATATTCTGTGAAGGGCTTTGAGACATCTCGAAGATATAAGGTGCTATATCAATCCAAGGATTGGAAAGTTGCAAAAAAATGGTCTCAAAATTAATTGAAGCATTTGCTAAATTCAGGATGCTCTGAAATTCCACATATATAGAATAAATATAGAGTCGGTTGGAATTTCCTGAGTCAGTGGGCAAGAAATCTACTCTTGTTCAGTGGCAATGCACTCATGGCAATTGGCAGGAAATGGCTCCATTTTCGGTTGGGAGCTCAGTGCCTATGGAGGATTTCGGGGGCAGAGACACCAGCTAACCAGCAGCATTGTGCTGCACACTTTGCCTGTAGTCTTTTCGGACTGAAGACTTTACTGTCAGTTCTGAATTAGATGGTGACATCCTCAAGCAGGACAGTGAAAGGCTGGCTAGTCAGTTTTGTATCAAGAACACAGACTTGTTTAACTTTGTTTGATATCAGTAATACAGGCTTGCAAAATGAAGAGCCTGGTAAAATTGAGGTAGATCTGTCTTGGAAGAGCCCTTTGCAATAATAGTCCATTAGAATAGAGGATCTCAAACTGCATTAAAAGCTGGCCCTGTCACTGATGAGCTCAATATGGCACCCGGTAGATTTGAAGCTCAGTAACAAGTGGAAAAGTCCACCATCATCTCATCCTTTCTGTGCAAGTTGGGAATCTTGGACTGTAAGATGAAGACACATCAGGGAGTTGGAGATATTTTATATGTGCAGTTTATGTGCATTGATGTGTATCAAATGGCAAGGTTAAAAAAAAACATTGAAATCGTACCCCAAGCAGCAAATTTCAGTTACATGCCATGCTGCTAAAAGCTCAACTGGGATGGATTACTCTTGTTGTCAGAATCTTGGATAATGGCTGAAAATTGGCCAGAAAATTAGTGCTGCAGTGCCAACAAATTTGTACATCTTTCTCAGGACTTTTGGATATGTAGACTGGACTTGCACATTCTCAAAGTGCTGGGTCCCTCTAACTCCCAACAGAGAGATGCAAAATACTCCCAAGATGGATAAATCACACGGCACTATTCAAAAAGAGAATTGAGTTTCTCCTGGTGTCACGCCCAATAATCTCCCCGGATAAAATTCAACTCACTTCATGGAAGTTTGTGGGTATTGCCGTGTACAAATTGGCTGCTGCGTTCGCCTACAAATACACGGTCACTACACTTCAGAGTAAATCCTATGAAGCACTTTGAGGTGTTCGACATGCTGTGGGGCGATGCTATATCAAGTGTAAGGATTGTTACTTTGATAAAACAATTACCATTTGCTTTGAGACATAATTGCAGCCCCAATTCCCTCAGTGTTGTATTTCAGAGGCTAATGTAATGCTTAGCAAAGCTATATTATATTAAGTATTACAGTCATTCCCATTGGCATGTTTGCCATCCCTTATAAGGAGATTTAGCAGACCACAGAATTCCCAAGAAACAGCTATTAATTGTTCCCTCCACAGGGACTGAGTGAAACCCAATCAGAACCCAGACAGAGGCATCTGAAGTTTTCCATGTCTTATTTTAAGTTGCTGCTTGCTCAGGAGGACGGGTAATGTATAAAACAAGACTACAGACAGCAATGCCTGCCTCATTCTCTCTGGCGGCCAGTGAGGCTTCAAGTGGGCAAATCTGGTTGGAGTTTCAATGGTATTTCTTTTGCCAAACTTTGCAAAGCATGCTAGTCATTTTGTAATGCAGTGTGAGCTTCAGTAATGTAACTATGTCACGCCTTGTGGAGGGGAGTTTCTGCTGAATTACAACAGTAAGTCTCTCGCTGCTGGATAAACGTTCCACCAAAACTTGACGTAAAAAGTGTCTTAGTTTTTATGTATTGTTATGTGCTTCATTCTGCTCTGCTTCCAAGTGCTTGTCATCTGAATTTCAGGGTAATCCACTCACCAGACAATGGATAAGTTCTTATCGAGGTTATCCGGCAGAAAGGGGAAGCAGTGATTCCCTTTCGCCTGGGCGTAAAATGACACAGTACATCTCATCCAGCAACCTCCCTGCTCCTCTTTGTGTCTGAAGCATAGAGTGACTTCATAATAAGCCCCCAGAAGAGTTCAGATGTCTGCTCTTCTGCCTGTTCATCTCAAGAGGCCACTAATGAAAATACCGTACAAATGTGTTGGAACTCATTGGGGGACAAGGATGGGATTGAAACTGTGCTGTGCTCAGAAGCTGAAATTAAGTGTCCAGTTTCTGAGTTCATTTCATTCTCCTTGAATGTGTGTGAATAATATCTATGTAAATTTCCATCTTTCTAGTTGCGTCTTAAAACAATTTGCTCCTCGTTTAGCTTTTTGCCGACAGAAAAAAGAAGTTCTGTTTGAGTGAACTGTTGGACTCCAGCAATCTCTGGTTTGGAATCAACTGGTTCAGTTTGTATTGGTCGTTATTTTGCGCTGTTGCGTTAATCCTGAACAAGCCTTTGCTTGCCGCGTATGATTGACCAAAGGGCTAATCGCTGCATACAGTGCAATTCGGTATGTATGTAATTTCTGACTTTTTCTGCTTGTTTATTTCCTGCAGCGGCACCTGCCCCAACCACAGCTTATAACAGGAGATTTCCACTTCATCCCATTTACGGCTTTGTCTTGTAAATGTCTTCACTGCGATTGACACCAGAGATTACCAATTTAATGCCAAAACACAGTAAACTTGTTAACTCGTCGCTCCAAGTCACAGGAGCTCAGTGACGAGTTATCTGGAGCAGCGAGCTAGGCATATTTATAAATACATGAATAAATGAGACCGGGATATTGACAGCACGATGACTTAAGTGGTAATGGCAAGTTAAGCCATTTGCATGTCCATTTTTAAAACTGTGCGGCTTGGTAGAGGTAGAGGTAATACTCACAATAATTTAATGCAGTTGCAAATACAGAGCCTCCAGAATTTGACAAATTCTTAAATAGTCAGTCTTGAAATTCCTTTTCTGCAATCACATTGCTTACATTTTATATATAACCTTATCATTTTGTAATATCACAAAGCGCCTCAGAGTTTTGCTGCAAAGTGCCAGTGCCTTTATTTGCAGGCAAGCACAAAGCAATGGCCCACAAACATGAAGTGAAATGACCATTTTTTTAAAATCTGGGGCACTTGTGGGCCAAAACACTGGGAGAAATGTCCTTCTCTTTTCAAATAGTGCCACGAAATTTTTAACATCCCCCTGAAAAGTCAGACGGGATGTTTTCATGTCTCATCTGAAGGATGGCACCGCTGGCAATAAGGCAATCAAAGTTCTTTTAATAACTGCAGAAAACTTGCTTCAAAAGTTAAGGCTGAATCTAATAATTTGCCAAATTCTGCACATTGAAATGCTAGGGCAATAGAGTAAATCTAGACCCAAGGAGAATATATCCCACTTTGTGTTTATTTCCACTAGCCCCCCTCCATCCCCCGCTTCCAATCGATCCACTTTATCACAGCCAAGATCAACTTGAAGAGTGGAAACTGTTTCTGTACTGTTTTTAGCTTCTTATCTGCGGTCTGCCACAACCTAAAGGCAATATCATGTCATTTCAATTGATGGAAATCTACCCCAACTACAAGAAAACAAAGCATCTCCTTACAACTAGCCTGAACTGCTCACTGTTCTCTTGTACTTATACAGAGTTGTGACATATGAGTTACTCAAAAGAACAGGAACGTAAAAGAAATGAGCTGCAACAACGGTATTTGCAAACAACAGTGCTGCTTTAAAGTGGAACAGAACTATGTTTTCCCCAGAGTCTTGTCAGAGTTGCTTCAAAATCAAAGTCCCTTTATTCTGCTACACACTGCTCTCCCTCTGTTCTGTGTGTCTGATGTTTCTATCACAATATCAAGCAATTTCTTCAGAGACCAAGATTCCTTTTTTTATTTGAAGTTGTTAGAGACCAGCTAGCAAGCTGACTGTTGCCATGGGACCTAATCTAATGACTTCAAACCACAGTCTCTCTACAAATGAAAACCTCATAACACTTAGCAAAATATTCAGTAAATGCCAATGCAATTACTGGTGTAATCATTGGGGGGAGGTGGTGGAGGGGAGAAGAGAGAGAGCTGGGAATGGATGAAAAAGAACCCAGATTAAAGAAAAACAGCAACGTTTTAATACTCGTTTGTAAGTAGTGTATCAGCAAAGAATCAGGCAGATAAAGCCTCGCACCTTGCGAACAAGAGATTTATTTTAGATGATCAGAGAAGATGACAACTTGGGTGAGTTCGCTGGGCTATACACAGAAATGCGGGTTCTATCCTTGACATGAGCACGCAGATTTCCAGAATTAAAGCACATTATCACAGGCGTACAGCAATAGGGGATAGCCAATGTTACCTTGTGACAGTAAGACCTTGACTGTTAAAGTATATATACAGTAAATATATATATAGAGAGAGATTTTCTTAACCATTTGTTGGATCTTTCAAGGCTTTGTTCAAGATCAATCTTTGCCTTGCTCTGATCAAAGCTTCTGTCAGATCCTCTCAGAAGTCGTAGAAAAGGCTTCATTATGATGGTAACTTCAGCCCACCCTGATAATGAGCAGCAATCAAGGAGGTTATGCATAACCCTGAAACCAAAGGGAACAAAGTTGGATTTAGAAAATGAATGCCTAATGAAAGGATCTAAGCTGGTGTTGCTAATAATGAGTAAAAGGTTAGGGTTTGATGAGCAAACCTCCGCAAGAAGTATTCAGTGTTCGGCATTTTGTTCCTTGTCGTTTGGTGTAGATTTCTGAATATCCAGAAACAGAAACCCTTTTTTGTTGTAACTTATATTGGATCCCGGGCAAAGGCATTGAAGTTCATGCGATGTCATGCAAACAATCATTAATAAACCGTAAAGTAGTTCTTTGTATGAGGGTAACGACCACCGGACACTTAACAGATTCTGATTCTTAATTCCAACTAATGGAAAGATATTCACGATAATTGCAATAGCATGGATTTCTGAGCTCAGGCTTTCAATAGGGATGGAATGGCAGGATCTGAGCCTCATCACATTCAGATCTCTCTCTCTCTGGTACCTGACAAGCAATAATGCGTTGTTTTGGGGAAGAAAAGGCAGAAGGTGATTCAGGGCACTGAACTCACAGACACAAGCAGCTGATTTACTAGCAGCACTGACCTGGGCACCTACCTGCACATCAGGGCAAATAGGTGTGAGGGAATGCAACTTGGTCAGAAGCCAGTAGCATTTGGGCAAGCAGTAAACAAGCGGTAGAGCACTGATATATTTTCTTTTATTGAGAACATAGGTAAGGAAATGGATCCCAGTTTGGTTCATAGGAACATATTGTTTATATGTATCTATGCCCCATACAAGCCTACACTCTATTCTTAATCCCCTCTCCCATACTCTATTCTCTCTCGCTCAGGCAATTAATAAGACATTAATTCTTTGAGATGTCTCAACAATGTGATAAGATGCTATATTAAATGCATGGATTATTATTATTAGTAGTAATAGGTTGTAGATAGTAAGTAGTAGGTAGTAGTAAGTAGTAGTAGCTCGCGGTAGTAGGTTGTAATAGTAGGTAGTAGTTCATATCATTAATGCACAGAAAGAGCATGAATGGAGTTACCAGCTTGGAGATGGAGGCTGGCGACTGAGCTCAGGACTCAGTTGACTTGGAGGATGAGGACGTTTTGGCCACTTGGATGATCTCAACCGAGGTGTAACCTTTGCCATAAGCAGCGCGGCTCCTGGTGCGGAGTTTATTGAGAGCAGACTCTGCTATTCCAGCTCTCTCCTCAGCATCATCCAGCTCATGCACCGTCTTCCTGTATTTCGTCAGGCTCTGGTTAGCCTGCTCCTCCTGTCAAGAGAGAAATCGTAACATTACAATGAAGTGATTGGACTGTGCAGCTCAACTGATCATGTAGATTATAGTTGTAAACACAACCTGACCGGTGCGATGCCCAAAGTGAATCACCTTTTTAGATTTAACAATCCTTGCATATGGTGTAGCTCCTTATCACATTGTCGAGACATCTCAAAGCACTTCACAGGATATGCTGTAAACTGGACTGACTGTTTATTTTGTGGGTGAAACGTGGCAGCCAATCTATGCACAGCAGTGTCCAGTTACACTCCTCGATTGCCAACGCATCACTTCAGAGCAAAGTTAAATCCATAGGCATCACCTGACAACCAGTCAAGTAGTCTGTACCCTATTGTGAACTGCATCAGTCCCGGGTTTGTTATTCCTCGACTCTAAAAGTCAGCCGCCTCAACTTCACTGTGCGTTCCTATAATCTGCATACACAATACAGGGCACTCACCGACTCCTCTATCTGCCTCTTGTAGCTCTTGAGTTTGCCCTGCAGTTTCTCCACCAGCTCCTGCATGCGTTGATTGGTTTTGTGGTCTTCCTCGGTCTGGAAGACCAGCTCCTTCAGGCGCCGATCGTTTTTGTGCAGGACCTTCACCGTTTCAACGTGGCGTTTCTGCTCAACGTCCAACTCGGTCTCCAGCTCTTTAACCTAATCCGCAGGGAGGCAAGAGCCACGTAAATAAGTATGGAGACACACACACACACTCCGCAAACTGGTGAGAAGCTGGACAGCAAGGCAAACAGCAAAACTGATACAGTAAAATTGACCAGTTGTACAAAGGAAAAATTCCTCCACTGTTTTTGTGACGTACCCTGGTCTCCAGCTTCTGAATGATGCGACGACCTCCTTTGATGGCCATTTGTTCAGCCTCTTCAAGCTTGATCATCAGGTCCTTGAGGTGGAGTTCCTGGTTCTTCTTGATCTTCTCCAGGTGCATGCAATGGTCCTGCTCCTGCCGCAGCTCCTCTGACATGCGGGTCACCTAGGAACACAACAACCCAGAGCCAGAGCACGTTTACATCCTTGCCACACGAAAAACTCTCTGACTTTACTTTTCACGCTTACCTATTTTTGAAGGCTGAGCACATTCTCGTCAATGTGAGAGATAGAAATGATGGCAAAAGAAATATCTTTTCCAGTTTGTGCTAAGGGATGGTTATATACATTCCCAATACAGGCCGGAACAAAGATGATTGTTACATTGGCCGAGGCACATAGCTGAACGCCAGCCTCAGAAGAGCATCTCGCATAGAGTTTGTGAGGCACTTCCATTGGCATCTCCAATATTCCCTTGTCATGTCTTATAGCGCATCCATAACATTAACTGAATGTTATTAGAACTGAGTGTGGGATCATTAGTTGGTTTGGTTCTGACCCACCGGGTATTGGACTGGGAATTATGAGTATATTGACACCGGATGGGAAAAGCATATTGTGTGAAATAGCAGAACCATTTGGCTGAGGTGTCACACACTTACATCGACCATAGCTTTCTTTGCCTTCTCATCAGCCACACGAAACTCATGGATCATCTCCTCGTATGTGCTTGTGAGTTGCTGAAAGTCGTACTCCAGCTTACGCTTTATGGTCACGATGGTTTGGTGCTGTAGAGAGAAATTATGTTATGATGTGAATCAGTTCACATTGGATTTTCTTTGCAGTAAACAGACAGAAGTTACTGAGCACTGACATGATTCATCATTCATCATATCCACCAGGGTCTACAATATTTTCTGGGGACCGTGATAAAAGATTATTAGGGTCACTGAGGTGCTTTCTCAATACAGATCAAGGTTGAAGGGTAGGCTGAGTAAAAACGTACTGTTAACATGTACATGTTGGAATGCACACAAACCTCTAACTTCAGGTAAGAATCCAAACTGTACCTAATACTATGGGGGATAAGGTGAGCAGGACTAGGAGTCCCCAAGAGCACTTCATTTCACACAAATGGAAATACCCACATAATAAACAATCCTTGCATTTGATATAGCACCTTTCACATCAGGAGGCTGTGTTAAAGTGTTTCACAAAGGTTTACTGTTATGTGAAGTAACTCCTCAAGCGTGATGGGTTTCTGTGTGTCGAATGACCCAACTGAGCCCAAAAAAGAAAGTTCAGATGGGGGTGAGATCGGCGTTTACCTGCACATTGATCTCATTGTATCTTTCAGTGATTTCAATGATCTCCTGTTCCACCAGTTTGCGAGAGCGTTCGCTGGCCTCCAGAGCGCTGCGGATTTCCTCCAACTCTGTCTGCAGCAGGCTGACACGGCGTTCAGAGAGGTTGTACTGTTCGCGAAGTTCCTCGTGTTGGCGAGTGTCCTCGTCCATCTGAGCTTGCATATCCTGAAGTGAAGGAACAAAGCGTGTGAGGGTGACCAGTCTGGAACCTTAACTGCTCATTTTAATAAATTAAATTCTCAACAGCTTCAAAATTAAGATCTGATTTTAAGAACTTTTTAAAATTTCTGGGTGGGTTGAATATTTCCAAGTTGATGTATTGTGATTAATTAATGACTCTGAGAATTTGAGGCTCCGTGCCACCAAGTTATTGATAGAACATCGGACTCAATAACAAGGTTGATTATTACCGGAATGATATGAAGGTTTTCTATTAAATCACCTTGAGTTGCTGCTGGAGTTTCTTGAGGGTTTTGACCAGCTCAGCGTTGTTTTTGTTGGCGTGGTCTAGCTGGATCTCCATCTCGTTCAGATCCGATTCCATCTTCTTCTTTAGCCTGAGAGCCTCGGCACGGCCCTTGGCCTCCACCTCCAGGCTGGCCTGCAGGGACTCGATGGCACGCTGGTGGTTCTTCCTACAAGTGTGCATTGAGACATGTAAAATGGAGTGAAATTATTGAGAGCCCTTTTATTGAGGCGACAGATTCTAAAATGTTCACTGTTGATAATAACCTGGAGAACATAGAGTGCTAGGTTACACTATGTACCTGGTGATCTCAAATTCTTCTTCCTTCTCATGGATTCTTCGGTCAACGTCCGCCTTCACCTGTGCCAGCTCAAGCTGAAGACGTACAATCTTACCTTCCTGGACCTGAAGAGATTAAAAACAATCAGGACACAGCAGCAATAACGGGGCTCCCAGTTCTGGCCTGGGTTTGCTTTTATCTCCCCTCTCAAATTTGAACCTCTCACATCACTTGTCATTCTAGGGCTAAAGGGTCATGTTGTAGCACTAGTTGGATCTCAACAGGATCAATAATACCAGAATACTCCATGCTGTGCTCAACCGAAACTGTACCACCATTTGCAAGTAAAAATTTACTGCCAATTATTATTATTAATGGCAGGGGCCTCCCAATCAGTTTGAGTCTTTTTCAGTTGCAATACATTACATTGGAGTTGCCTACGTTACCTCCAATGTAGCTTCACTTTCCTCCAGGGCCAATTGCAGTTCATCTTTCTCAATCTCTAGCTTCTTCTTTATCTTCTGGAGCTCGTGGATGCTCTTCCCACCCTCGCCGAGCTGGTCTACGAGGTCTTTCACCTCATCTGAAGAGACCACAAAAGAGAGGGTGAGTTCATCACATTACAGCACTGGGTATGGTGTCCTGCTCTGACTTGTCCCGAGTCATCATCAGTCAGCCATAGGTGGACAAGGTGGTCCATGGAGTAACTCCCAAAATTCAGTTCACACTGGACGTTGGACATGTTAGGTGGGAGGAGGGGTGGGGGGTGAGTTTAACTTGGTGTCCTGACCAACAATCCACCAGATAAAAAATTAGTCTCTCGCTTCATGGCTTTTTGTGGGAAGTTGCTGGGTGTAAATTGGCTGCCGCATTTTGCCTACAAAATACACAGTTACTACACTTCACATTAAATTCTGCAAAGTGCTTTGTGGAATCCTCCCGATGCGAAAAGCGCTGGATTAAAACTCAAGGGTTACTATAATTACCTTGCAGATTCTTGTTCTCCTTCCTCACACTCTCCAGCTGGTCGATAACCTCTTCGTACACGGTCTTGAGTTTGTAGACCTCGGTCATGTGGATCCTGCACTCTTTCTGTGAGGCATCTAACTGAATTTGCACCTCCTCGTACTTCTGCTGCCACTCCGCCAACATCTTGTCAAACACCCGCTGCTTCTTGTCCAGGGCAGCGGCTGCAGCGTTAGCCTGAAGGAGAGGCCACAGGAAAACACATGAATAAACAATCCTGGCAGTGTATTTTGTAGACACACCCAGAAGCCAATTTGTGCTCAATGTCCTAAACACAGCTAGAAATGAAACAACAATATAGCCTGAGGATTGTTTGCCAGGACACTGGAAGAAATACCTTTTTTTTTGTATTGTGCCATAGCATTTTTAATATAAAATTTAGAAGATCTCAATTTGTACCTTCTCCAGCTCAATGGTGAGATCCTCCACCTCTCCAGTCAGCCTCTGCTTAGCTTTCTCCAGACTGGAAGCCCTAGCCTGAGCAGACTCTGCTGTCTCCTCAGCCTCTTGTAGCCTAGCTGCCAGCTTCTTCCTACAGACGGGAAGAGAGAGAGAGAGAGAGTTTTGGAATCTGCAGACTTGTCACATCTCAATCTCACTACTGGTAATGGTATTACGGTATGTTATATATTAATATGGTATGTGAGGCTGTATATTATAATATGTGACACTCACTTGGTCTCCTCCAGCTCCTCTGTTCTCTGGATGGCGTCTGTCTCATACTTGGTCCTCCATGTGGTCACCTCAGCATTGAGTTTGGAAATCAGGCGCTGTAACTCAGACTTGGCCTCTTGCTCCTCATCGAGCTGCTCCTTTATCAGGGACAAGTCGTGCTTGGCATTGGCCAGGCTCACCACAGCGCCACTCCTCGCCTGCAGCACAACGTTGACAGAGTCAGTCACCGAAGACCATCAAAGCAATTGCAACAAAAAGGCAGAGGAAAGGCAAAGGTCACAGATTGCATTTGTATTGCATCTTTCACATTGAGAAGACATCCCAAGACACTGGGTCTAACTAACAAACATTATTTAAGGCTCATACGGTATATAAGCCTTAAATGATGCTCATTCGTTGCACTCAGGAACTCTCTAAAGCAGATGTAATCCCAGAAATGCTTTCTTCCCCTTTCAGCAACATAACTTGCTGATGTTTTAGCTCCAAAACCTACCAAAGTAAGATTTGTTTTACTGATATTTGGTTATTAATGTAAATCACATTTGTACTGGGAAATCAAAACATAATTCTGTCCACTGGCATCAGATACTGCAGACTCTCAACAATTTTATTTTTCCACAATGTTTTAGTTGTTTCAAACCTGTGAAATTTTCATGAAATCGCAGCCAAATCAATGGTTCTTTGATCTCAGGTTCCAATACTGTTTACCTTCCAGGTGATGCTGCTGAGAACTGGAGCACCCACCAGCTCAGCAGTGCCATCACCAGGAGGCTGATGGTATTACAAATACCTGCATTGTCCATGGGAAACTATTACATGACACAACAACAACAACAAGATTCCATTTATAAAGCGCCTTTCACGTCAGGAGGACGTCCCAAGGCGCTGCACAGTTGGGTCAGGACCCGAGCAGGGGGGAAATGGTCAGGGTGAGGGGAGGGAAGGGAGCGAGCGAGCGAGCGAGGAGGGGGAAGAGAATCGAGAGGGGAGCTGAAGGCTCGGTCAAAGAGAAAGGTTTTGAGACCGGCCTTGAAGGAGGAGAGGGAGGAAGCAAGGCAAAGGCACTGGGGGATGGAGTTCCAGAGCCTAGGGGCTGAGAGGCTGAAGGCCCGACCACTGATGGTAGGGCGATTTGGGCGGGGGACGTGGAGCAGGCCGGGTCCGGAGGAACGGAGGGTACGGGCAGGTAGGTAGGGGGACAGTAGGTCAGAGAGGTAGGAGGGAGCGAGGCCGTGGATGGCCTTATAGGTGAGGATGAGGATCTTGAAATCAATCCTCTGGGGGATGGGGAGCCAGTGGAGGCGAGCGAGGGTGGGTGTGATGTGGTCCCGAAGCCTGGTGCGGGACAGTACACGAGCTGCAGAGTTCTGAATGACCTGCAGCTTGTGGAGGGAGGTGGCGGGAAGGCCGGCGAGGAGAGAGTTCCCATAGTCCAGCCTTGAGGTGACAAAGGCGTGGACCAGGGTTTCAGCAGCGTGAGGGGTGAGGTAGTGCCGTAGTCTGGCGATGTTCCGGAGGTGATGGAAGGCGGTGCCAGTTGTGGTGCGGATGTGAGGGAGAAAGGACAGCTCAGGGTCGAACAAAACGCCGAGGTTCCTGACTGGCTTTGAGAGGTGGAGAGTGCAGCCTTGGATGCTGATGGTGTCAGCGCCTGAGGTGCGGAGGCGCTGACGTGAGCCAATCAGGAGGGCCTCGGTTTTTCGCACGTTGAGCTGAAGAAAGTTGTCTCTCGTCCAAGACTCGATGTCGGACAGGCAGCTGTCAGGACATCGGTGGTCGTGGAGTTGAGAGTAGAGGAGGAAACGATACTCACTGAGATACTCAAATGCTTATATTTGATATCACATCGAGGACGTGGATATACCATGAAGTGCAGTGAATGTGTATTGTGTTGGCCAAAGCGGCAGGCAATTCGCACATAGTGATGTCCCACAAACAGCCACAAAGTGAATGAACAGCCTCACGAGATAAGCCTTGGTCCCAAAGGACAATGGAGTGAGAAATTCGGGAGAACAATCTGCTGTTAATCGAACACATTGCTCTCATCTCCACTAAGGGACAGACTGGAGCTTGTCTCACCTTTGACTCCTCCTCGACCTGCCTTTTTAACTCGTCCACCTGCGAGCTCAGGGTGGTTTTGATCCTGGTGATCTGGGTCAGTCTGCTGTGGGACTCATCGTACGATCGGCTCAACTCGCTGTTTTCGGCTAGAACAATAGAAGATCGGTCTGATTATATCTCTATTGAGTCAGTGAATTTCAGCAGGGAGCTTGAGGACAACAGCAGCAGCATGTCCTGTATATACACAGCGGGTTCCGTTTTAGCTTCTTAGCTGTTGAAGTATGCCACTGTCCCAAAATTCCACTTCATCTTAGCCTGTTAGACTATCACACCTTAAAATTTAATTTTTAAATTTTTTTTTTAAGTTCAGTATTGATTCAGACAGAAGCAGTTCTGACCGAGCGCTGCAGAAAAATGCATTCCAAATTGAGACTGAATTTAAGAATTTTACACAATTCTGTGCCATCTACGAATTGAAGATAACATGGTCGTGTGTGTGTGTGTGTGTCCGGGGTAAGACAAGACACAACTTTATTCCTTAAACTCCATATGATTATCGCTCAACTGTGCCTGCGTACCTGTGAACCTGGATTTCATTGCATTATATTCTGCCGTGTTCCTCTCCATTTCAGCGAGTTTAGCATTGGCCTCAGCTAGGCTATCCTCCAGCTTCCTGACATGCATCTCAGAGTTGACCTATTTAGAAGAAGAACATGGGATGGGAATGTCCCCAGCTATTGAAACGATGAACAACATAAACATTGAACAATGCCCGCAGGAAGAAGCAGAGATTGATTTATTTCTCATACCCCATAATTTCTAATGAGATCAAAACAATAATAACAATAGTAATCCTCAGACTTGCATTTGTATAGTCTTGAGTACGTTTCAAAGAGCTTTGCAAAAGTTACTAACAAGTGGCGTGACTGTGCATGTGTGGGCGAACGCAGCAGCCAATTTGCTCACTGCAGTGCGCCACAAACAGCCACAAAGTCAACAGTTATTTTGTAATCTGGGGAATTGTTAGGCAGGAACACCTGGAGAAAACTCCCTTCTTTAAGGGAAAGTTTGGAACGAGGAAAGGCTGTTTTCACTCTGCCGAGCTCTCTCTCACCCTCGGTTCCCTTTGGCTTTCTGATCGGCTACCTTGGTTTTCTGTGTCGTCTCCAAGTTGGTGCTCAGGTCGTCGATCTCAGCCTTCATGAACTGCTTGTCTTTCTCCAGCTTGCTCTTGACTCGCTGCAGATTTTCCACCTGCTCCCCCATCTCGGCCATGGAGTCGGCGTGTTTTTTCCTGAAGGTGGAGGCGGTGGCCTCGGCCTGCAGTGAGGCTTCCTCAACTTCCCGCCGCAGCTTCAGCAGCTCGATCTCCCGCTTCTTGTTACTCTCGATCTGTGGGCAGAAGGGAAGAGGGGGCGGGGGGGGGGGTTGGGGGGAGGTGCGTCAGCCCATGCGAAATATGGCTTAAAGTCGATGAAACGTCAATCTGTCGCCAGATGTGTGGCAACTGCAATGCACGTGTCTGATTTTTGTACTGTCGGTGTTAAATGAAAAACAGGTGATGACCATCAATATCTATGAACCAGGCAACTAATAGGATTGTCAGTGTCCTGAGGTATTGTACGACCACAACAACTTTTATTTATATGGCACCCTTCACATAAAATAACTTCTGTGCGCTTTCTAGGATAAGATCTTTACTGCAAGGTTAGGAAGGTGTTGGCTTATGGAGTATAGATACATGTCGTAATGTGACGTTACCTGGGCAACTGTGGCACCACCAGCCTCCTCCAGTCTGTCACTGAGATCCTCCAATTCTCGCGACAGCTCAGCTCGCTGCTTCTCCACCTGCAGGGATCAGAAAGGCAGATCGTTAGATACGTCTTGCGCTTTGGACCTTTTAAGCCCCCTTGCTGCCCCCCACAATAGTAGAGTGCCCATAGATCGGCAGCAGGAATGTTCGAACCAGGGCTATACAGGAGATGGTGGACACACAGTAAGTGACTGATTTCTCTGGTTAGTATAGCTTATAGTACAGATCTTTTAAGTTTAAAAAAATTACCAATCATTTGCTATTTATTTAATAATAAATAATAATCCTTGCATTTGATATAGAACTTTTCACGTCTTCTAGACGTCTCAAAGCACTTCACTAATAGACTGTAAAGTGAATTGATTGTACATTTGTGGGCGAAATGCGGCAGCCAATTGCACACAGCAGCGTCCCACATTCAGTCGTGAATTGAAGTGACCAATTTATTATTGTTTTTTTTTTGAGGGATTACTATTAGGTGTGTGGAGTAAGAAAACTTGCCCAAGGTTTCGACCTGCCGGGAATCAAACCAAGATCTCTCGCTTGTGAGGCCAGTGCACTAACCACTGAGCTACAGAACTCCACTTAATAATGGAAGTTCCCATTTTATACAAGACATGAAAGGTTTGCTAATTGTAGAAACATTAATGTGAGGACAGAAGGATGGGATTGGATGGGTCAAAGGGCCCTCTTCACCCAAACCCAACTATGTGATCCAGAATGTGTATTTTCAGTTCCAGTGCAATGCTAACATCCTGCTCGGTGCTCACCTTGGATCTCATGTTACGCTCTGCCTCAAGCTCCTCTTCGAGCTCTTCAATGCGTGCCTGGGAATAAGAAAGCAATGCATTACCATACAATTCCCTCCAAATCATCACAGATTAACATGTAATAGTTCTCAGCATTGGGCTCCGCTGTACCTGATGCTCCTTAATTTTCCTGTGTAGTGTGGCATTCAGTGACTGTTCATCTTCCCATTTGGTGTTCATCGAATTAATCTCCAGCTCCTTCCTATAATGAACAATAGACATTAGATTTGCGGGCACTGAATGTTGGGTGAAAAGTGTCGCAGTTGGCAATAGTTGGAAGATTTATAAAAAGATTTCAATGTTTCTACTGGGTCCGGGAAGCTTTTCTTTAAACCTGAAAATTTGTTGGTGACTTTGCTTTCCAAATAATTTGCAACACGAGATTCACAAAACCCTACAGTTCACAAAGCGTATCGGTACAAAGTGCAATGCATCTTGTATTTTATGCACATTTCACATACTGGAGATGGGGCTGTTACAGGACGCCTCGTAAAAGGTGAGTTTGCTTACAGCCGTATGTTATTATATGTGGTACATACTTTTTGAGCACCTCCTCCAGGTCAATCTTGGAGCGCTCCATATCATTCAGGTTATCAAGAGTCATTTTCAGGTCTCCCTCAGCCTTGCGACGGGCTTTCTCCACCTCAGCCCTGATCTTCTTCTCCTGACTCCAATTATCTTCCAGCTGCCGATTCAACACAAGTGTTAGTTAACATTTAAGGAGAGTTTGGTGTTATCCCCGGCAACTGCTATTCTGCACAGGTACATGTTAAAACATTTGCTGCTGGTTGTTATGCCTTAGGGGCAACTGAGAAAAGGTCAGGAGCAATTCTTAATTGCAATCGACAAAAGCCTAAATGATCAACCTGCACCAAATACTCTCCGGAATTAGGTTTAACGGGGTGTGTTCTCTGGGGAGAGAGTGTGCATTCCATTCCAAACCCAGGAAATTTCCGTGCATTTGGTATACATATGAGGGACTCTCAGTTTAGTTTTGGAGACTCAAGGATGGTGATGGGTTTATGTCTGTGTCAGGCTGATCGAATAAAGACATACAAAGTGATGAATAGCAACATTTTATAATGCTGCAATGTATAAAACCATTGAATCGACAACGTTATCAAATGGATTGCAGAAATGAAGTGCAGGTAAAAACATAACACCAAGTAGCACAAGCATTAGTTTAGTTTTTAATTCATTCAGTGTTCTTCAAAAGGTTAATGTTCACACGGTCCCATTCACTGCACCCCATTACCTCTTGGATCTGGGAGTTGAGTTTGCCGTTGCTCTTGGTGAGGTGGTTCACTTTATCTTCCTCGGCTTGAAGGTCATCCAGTGTTTTCTACGGAGAGAAAGAGGATGGGAACAATGTGGTGAAGTCACCTTTGTTTTTGGAGTCCCCTGGCATCGACCTGGCTGAATGCGGTTACAGGAAGGTTTGACCGTCAGTTTTGCATGTTACCTGGTATAGTTCCTCCAAGGCTTTCTTTTCCTTTAGCAGCTTGGCAATGGTGTCGTCACGCTGACTGACGTCCTGAATCAGGGAGCGCACTCGATGGTCCAGTGTCTGGCAAAGGAAGGAAGAGCACAAGAACAAGGATATTAAAGATTGAAGAGAAACAAGGTATTGTCAATTACCAGCCTCAAACAGAAGGACACAGTAGGATGCATGGGTTTTGTTGGTTCGAAGAAAGGTAGGTAAAGGATTAGAAATAAATGGATACATGGAGACCATTGTTTTTCCCATGATTACACAAGCTTGGGCACTTTAGCCTTCCAAAGAGACATCTCAGAGGGCAGCTTATGAGATGTATAAGATTATAATTGGGATTGATTTATGTATGCGTGCCTAGCACACTTTGATACAACTCAAATTTACATTTACAAAGTCCCTTTCATGTTGGAAGCACGTCCCAAGGTGTCTGACAGTGCTGGCTCTGCAGGAAGGCGGGAGCTGAGGTGGTAGGGAGGGGAAAGATGACCGAAGATGCGGTTGAAGACGAAGGTCTCAAGACTAATCCTGAAAGAGGTGAGGGAGGGGGCAAGATGGAGGATTTACAGGATGGAGTTCCAGAGAGTGGGGACTGATAGGCTGAAAGCCCTTTCCGGTTCGGACCCAACTAAGTGGAAGATCAGTAATCCCGGGCTGAGGAGTGAACGGTACCTGCTTTTCTTTCTCCGTTTTGGCAAGTGTCATTTCCAGACCCTCCAGGTCACGTTTGAGGTCGACTGTCTCCTCCTCCAGTTTCCTCTTGGTGGCTGATATACTGGAGGAAGTGTTCTCCTCCTCTTCCAGCCTCTCCTTCATCTCAGACAGCTGACTTTCTAGGTTAATCTTGCTTTTCATCAGCTGAGTGGATCTCTCCTCGGCATCAGACAGATTGTCTTGCTCCTAGAACCGCAGAAACATAGAAATTTAACAGCGCAGAAGAAGGCTTTTAGGCCCATGCTGACTCTTTAAAAGCACAATCCCTTCATTCCGATTCACATATATATTATATTGCATAAACAGATTGGGCAATGTTAAGCTGATTTTGGTTCTTGTTGAATGCTTGCTGGCTACTTACTGCCCGCAGTTGTATTGTGAGATCATTATTCTCCTGTGAGAGACTAGCTGTCTTCTCCTCCAGACTCTTCAAGAGGGCGAGTATCTCTTTGGTCTTCTCCATCGCTGTCCTCAGTTCCTCCTCTTTCTGCTTCAACTCTTCGTCTTGACGGGCCACATTGAGCAGAGGCTTGACCTATGGGTATTTCGAAGGGCAGAATAAGAGCTCCCGTAAGACAGCGACAATGCATTAGATTATACTATCCAGGTTTAATGCGGTAAAGTGCGGTAACTTTACCATAAGCCTGTGTTGGTGTCCCCTCCAATGGCAGGCTCAGTGCAGACTGAGTAATGCAACACAACTCCTCTGTGATACTCACCTTAGTGTACAGCTTCCACCAGCCCCAGTAACGCAGCTGCAGGAATTTGCGAATGTTTCGCTGAATGACAATCAGTGCTATCCTGCAAACAAAGTACAGGAATTGTTAGAGAAACTCTGGAAGCCAAAGCCCTAACGGGTAAGATGTCCATAGGAGGACAAGCAGTGGGAAGCTTTCAGAATGTTTTTTAGTTGGTTAAACTCTAGCAGTTACCCCAACCACACACACTCTGGGGTTCCCCCCAAGCTTTGGCTCTCGACAAACTGCACTTAATTCTTCCTATAATTAGGTAAGCAGGGTGCGTCCACAATAAACGTAAAGAACAACAACAACTCGCATTTACATAATACCCTTCAAATGGGTGAGCATTTCAGAAAGCTTAGCTTACGTACTCACCTGCTATCCAGCATCCTCTTAAACTCCTTGCGCATCAAATTACCACGTAAACGGCACTGCAGCATTGTCAGGATCTTCGCCAGGCGATCGTCACGCATGTCTTCTAATTTAGCCAAGACACCAGCCCGGAAGAACACCTTCATAACATAGGGAATAATAATAATATATTATTATTAATATTTATTATTATAAGAGAATACACTTAAATGCCACAATTGGTGGCTTTGGTATCCTCATTGAACGTAATTTCCATCTTATTGGTACAACTACTTATTGTACTCCAAAATAGTACGAATCCTTGCATTTGACATAGCGTATTTGACATAGCATTTGACATAACCTGAGTCTCAGTTAGCCTACTCCACCACTCTTATGAGTCAAAGCAGAGCAATGTTCAACTAGTGGACCCATATTAGATACATTGGGACAAATGATAGCTGAATAGGGGAATCATTCCAGTCAGGAGAAGTTCCACCTGGGTCTCGATTTCCTCCATTTATGTAGCATTTCAGAGTATCCTGGATTTGACAAATTGTTAAAAGAACTTACAGAAAACTAGCTTCAAAGCTGGATTTAAGAATTTGCCAAATTCTCTGAAATGTTACATAAATAGAGTAAATCTAGACTCATCTGTCTTTTTTACTACGACTGGGGCTGAAATTCCCCTTGTCCTAACTGCAACATTAAGATAGTGCAGAAATGTCGAATTTTTTTCGAATGCAGTCCTAATCTGGAAATACACTTTTTTTTTTACAATCATTCTTAAAAAGAAACCGGTTTCCAAATTCCGACTTGACTGAAAGAAAGATTCCACAATTCTGCGCCATCTTAAATTTAAGGCAAGACGATCTTATAGGAAAGACTAGGTGAATTTCAGGCCTCCAGTTTATTGTAGTCAGGAAACGCATCAATGATACCATTTTGTATTTTATAAACAGGATCTGAAATAATATGCTATAAGTCCGGTGATTCCAAAAAAGGCTTTCAGCCGCCCACCTTTGTGTGTCCAATTTTGTACTCGTTGTCATCCAGACCAAGTGTGCCCAGCAGCAGGTCTGAGGCCTTCTTGTTATCAACAAAACCCTTCGGGATGACATTAGGATTCAGGATGTAGTACCTGAGCAATAACAAAACATCTTCAAACATGAAGTTTGTCTAATGTAACTTTTGATTTTGAAACATATTTTTATGAGGGTGAATCTAAAATTGCAATGAGTAGCAATTACAACCTCACAGCCGAAATTGATATTTAAGCGCTCTGAGACACCATCCGGCGTGGAGGGAGCTATATAAATCCAAGTTGTTGTTGTTGATATTAGATTATATAGATATTAGATAATATAGCGCCTTATCATGTCATTGAGGCGTCTCAAAGCGCTTCACAGAATATTATTGCTTGTTTATAATAATCCCTACATTTGATATTGTGCCTGTAAAGTTGAGAACGTCTTGAAGAGCTCTTCCGGACGTACTGTGAAGTGTAATGGCTGCATATTTTGTAGACGAATGCTTTAAAGCAGCTCAGTGATATCTGTGGCTGGCAGTGGCAAAGGTTTTTAGAAAGTCTGCAGTCTCGGACTCACCGCTGTTTGAACTCAGGATACTGCAGCCTGTTAGGAAATCCTTTCCTGCAGATACGGATTCCCTCCAGCACACCATTACAGGCCAGCTGGTGGAGGATCAGGTGAGCATCCACAGCACCTGGAAGGAAGTGCCATTTCGCTTATAAGATTCACATCTTTTCTAACACCTACTTTCATCTGCACTCACAGATGTCTGAGCCAAGCAACTTGATATATTTGCATCATCTGCTGTGCCTCACAGCAAGGCCCAAGCTTCCACCTTTACCTTTAATTTTTAAGATTTAAAATTTAATTTTCTAGAATTGTTGTGGAAAATTCTTAAATTCAGCCTAAATTTGGAACAAGCTTCTTTTTAAGAACTGTGATGTATGCCGAGAGGGTTATTTGACCACAGATGTTGCTCTACCCTTTAAAACCCTTCCTCATTCGAATTGCAAAGCTCCTTGATTCTATGATTTGCTGGCTACATTCACTGCAACGTAACCAGAAGAAGTAAGCAGCATTTTTCCATGATGCAGAGAATCCACTGCATTGGCAACAGCTCCTTGTAGCCTTTGCTAAGCTGATTCCCCCACAAAAATATTGTGCATTAAGTTTTGGAGGAATCAATTATTGAGCTCACAGCTCCAAACACTCTGTGTTTGGGTGTAGGCGAGAGAGAAGCTTTAGGCAGCTCATGTTCAATGTGTGAGATGGGCTCTCTTTGGGGCTGTTCCTTGTTAGAGAATAATTCTGCTCTCTGTCCTACCTGACTGTTTGTTCTCATTCGGTATGATGCAGCGGACAAAGTGGGGGGCAGTGCTGCGGAGGGTGGTCATCAGCTTGTTCAGCTGCTCCTGTGATGAGAGACAGGGCAAGATGGTGAGGGCGAAGGGTTACTGAACAGCACGGGCCACTGACATCAGCCGCAGCTTTAAAAGCATTTTCTTGTCTTCCATTGTACAAATTCCCCATCCCACTAAATATAGTGGAAGATAGGAGGAAGATGCAGAGCCATAGAATTCTTTGCAACTGTTCTTCATTTAGCAGCAAGCAATTAGGAAGGTGAACGGTACATTAACATTCGTTATGAAAGGATTAGAGTATAAGAATAGGGAAGTCTTGCTGCAACTGTATAGGGCCCTGGAGAGACCACACCTGGAATACTGTGTCCAGTTTTGGTCTCCTCATTTAGGGAAAGGACGTACTTGCCTTGGAGGGGGTGCAGCATAGATTTACTAGGTTAGTGCCAGGGATGAAGAGGATGAGTTACGAGGATAGGCTGACCAATGTGGGCCTATATTCTCTAGAATATAGAAGAATTAGAGGGGATTTTATAGAAACCTATAAGATCATCAAAGGGCACGATAGAGTGGATAGTGGGAAATTGTCTCCCCTGGTTGGAGAAACTAAAACCAGGGGTCACAACCTTAAAATCAGAGGCAGCCCTTTCGTGAGTTGAGGAAGAACTTCTTCACTCAAAGGGCGGTGAATTATGGAACTCACTACCCCAAAGGGCTGTTGACGCTCAGTCCTTGAACATATTCAAGACTGAGATAGATAGATTTCTTATTGCAAAAGGGATTAAGGGATATGGGGATAAGGCACGGTCAGGTTATTAGCTGGAGTTAGATTAGAAGATCAGCCATGATTGAATGGTGGGGCAGGCTCGAAGGGCCGAATGGCCTACTCCTGCTCCTACATGTTATGTTATGTTAACACACTAGCGCAACCAGGACACTCGTTAATGTTGTAAAGTAAGTTCTTGAGCCTATCCTACCAGCCTTTGACTCCCCCACCTATTGGCAGAAGCAATTAATGACAGTTAACCCAAAGAGAGTCCTGTGTGCTCTTACCCGGTAGAAAGCAGACACAGTCTGGAAGGAAGCCCCTTTCTTCTGTTTTTTAGTGGAACCTGTTGATAGGAATAAATGAGTCTATTTTAAATCAGATTCATATATTTCAAGCTGCCACTGTGTGATAGATGCCTGTAAGCCACAGAGAGCACAGTCCTAATTCAGGTCAGTACACGGTGGTGAATCCTGGAGCAGGTTCTGGGGGGAATGGTGTTCAACAGCTGAGTGTTCACACTGATAGGTGGGCCCTGGGATTCTGCATGGATTTGGTTCCTCATATTGGCCAGATTAGAGGGAGCATCAAATAAAGCCTCTCGACAGGAGGGAAGCTCACAGGATCTTTTTACCTGCATTTCCCGGCATATAATAGTACCTCTCTCCCCAATAGAGCTTTTGGTTTGCAGGGTTCACGTTATATTACACTATGCTGTTAAACAGTACAGGGATATGGGGAAAGGACAAGTTAATGGGACTGAAAGGAATGCTCTTTAAAGAGAGATCTCTTTTCAGGATTATACCAGATAAAACTCTTCCAATTTAATGTCTCAATGTTGAAACTGAGGAATGAAACAGCAAAGAAAACCTTTATTTCTCATGCAATCCGAGGAAAGGAATATGCTGAATAACTCACCTTTGGCTTCCTCTTCTTTAAAGAGGGTGGCTAATATACTCATGGAAGATTTCTGGAACAAGCCCACTACTGTTTCGTTCAGGGGATCCTTATTTTTCTCCAGCCATCCTTGGGTGCTGTACCCAACCTTGAGAGTGAGGAGAATGGAGGTGGAGCATTGATTGAGCATCACAGAATCATTGAAAACACGTGAGGGTTCACGATCGGTCATTGGTATGTTGTTGGAAAACACAATGAACCAAGATATTTGGGGAGTCAAGATGGATACTCACTGTGCCCGCGTAGTGCACCAGCTCAAACGTGGCCTCTTTGCCCTTGCCTTTGCTACCTTTTGGTTTTAGGAAGTTGTTGGACTTGCCCAGGTGATTATCGTACAGAGCAGCCTTGAATGTGGCATCCGTGGCCTTCGGGAACACGCACTGCTCTTCCAGGATGGAGAAGATGCCCATGGGCTGCAAGTGCATCATCAACAACAAGTTATATTTATATAACACCTTTCACCTCGGGAGGATGTCCCAAGTACAAATGCATCCCCAAATACAGACGATCAAATGCAAGGATTATCCTTATTATCATTATTTGAAACAATGTTCAAGCAGTTTTGTTCCAGAAGTGCAGCAAACTGACCTTCTCCAGGAGGTCAATGCAGGCCTGCAGGTCCATGCCAAAGTCAATGAACTCCCAATGGATTCCTTCCTTCTTGTACTCCTCCTGTTCTAGGACGAACATGTGGTGGTTGAAGAATTGCTGCAGCTTCTCGTTGGTGAAGTTGATGCAGAGCTGCTCAAAGCTGTTAAACTGTGGTACAGGGAAAAAGATATGACAGAGAATGAGGCTCCCTTTCTACTCAAAATTGCTCCCGATTCCTAACCTTTTTATAGCATGTTCACAGACAGCGAATACTATGGTGAAAAGCCCACTGAATAAGTACATCTGTCTGCCTCTCTTTTAAACATGCCTATTTGATTTTGCTCCTACAGCTTTCAACAACAACAACAACAAGATTAGAGTTGTATAGCACCTTTCTGCCTGATCTTAAACTTTTAAGTCAAGAGTCTTACTGACTTAAACTGGGCTGACTTTATGGCCTTGTGAACTCAACATGATGGTTTTAATGACACTGAATTTCAAGAATTTCAGTCCACTATTTTAAAATATTTATGGTTTAACTATCCACTGGCATGGATAGCGCACGGAATCTGAAGCAGAATTCCAGGGAAATTCACACTGTCTAAGGATTGTTGTTAACTGTACGTTAGATGGGAGATTCCTGTCAGAATTGCAAGGATTAGCTGCCAAAACATGCAGTGTAAGTGCAAATAAAATCCTGTGTCACAATAGAAAGCATCAGTGCCAACTTCCCCAATATATGAACCTGGCACTACAGCCTCAAACATTACTGTGTACGTGGAGCTGCCAGTAAACCTTACCTCAAAGATTTCAAAGCCAGCAATGTCCAGCACACCTATAAAGTGCTGGCGCTGCATCTTAGTGTCTAAGGTCTTGTTAATTCTTACAACCATCCATTTGAACATTTTATCATAGACAGCTTTTCCTAGGGCACCAACTGAGTTGGAACACTGAAAAAGACAGAGAGAATAACAATAATTGGATTATTACTGATAGTGAATAGAATTCCAAGAGTGACCAAAGCTACTATTCCTCTCTCCAGTGTGTTTTTTTTAAAAGCCAGACCAGTGATGCGGAAACCCATCACCATGATTAAGAGTATGCAAACCTGAATGAATTTACCAATTACCCGGTGTCTGGAATGGACTGTGGACTCTCCCCCACAGTGTTGAACCCTAATTACCTAACTCTAAAGAGTCTTATGTTCAGGTTGGTGAGAGCCAAGGCTTTGGGACCCCAAAATGTGTGTTGGATAACTGCTAGAATTTAACCAGCTAAACTCATGCAGTTTCCCATTTAAACACTGTTTGGCAAGCTTCTTGATACTCGTTCAGCTAGGACAATTCTATCTATTACAATTTTAGCTTGCAGGATTAACAGGAGCTGAGTTAGAAGAATTCCTGTTCCCCCATGACTGATCTGCCCTTCCAAGTTCTGCTGATGAACCTAGCTGTCTGCTTTGCTGTTGGGGGGAAGGGGAAGGCTCTTCTGAGAAATTGGTTAAAGTCTCACCTGGTCCACATTCTGGGCTTTCTGTACAAACTCATTGCCGACCTTAACCCGTGGCCTGGTGATGCCCTTCTGCAACTCCCCCGAACTGAGAGTCATCAAGTGGGAGACTTTGTCAGCCACTGAAAGCAGCAGAGACAGGAGTGAGAAAACAAGGAAAACAACTGAGAAAGGTCAGAGGTGAATGTCTCTGCAGATCCAATTGCTATTTACAAAGGCAAAATTCAGGCTCTCAGGATATACTCGTGGGATATGTTAGATACCCCTTCAAGAGGAAATAGACAACTGAATGGGAACCAATGAATGAAGGCCAAGACAGGTATGGGGAGTATCTTTACTCAGAAGTTGGGGAGGGAAGAGAGAGATATCAAAACAGATTTAAATTCTGTTCCTTAAATAAGGAAGTATAGTGTATGGGTTTGGTTGACCACCCCTTATATATTTACATTAAATCTCAGAGTCAACATCTAAACATATTAGTTTCTGAGCAAGGCTAAAACACTTGCTTCCCATTTTTATGGCCATACAACTGATTCACAGCAGTATTTGATGCAGGAATCCCTCAACCCCTTTGTGAAGTGTTTTGTCAATACCTGTGACAAATTCCCTAATACTCCAGGGTTTAGAGCAGGTTGGACAATCAGCACATGGACACTGAATCATAATGTGTCAGTAGGCAATGTAGTATTCAGACTGTATTTAGTGCAGAGCAAATGTTTAGGCTGCAGGAATGATTGGTTGATTGATTGATTTCAAGTGAGTCAATCAACAAGCACGCTATTCCGCTGCATTAGTAGAGTGTAAGTGACCGACCTTCTGTAGTTTCAATATCAGCCTGCTCGTCTCTGGACTTCTGCTTAAACCTCATGTTCCCAAAATGCATGATAGCTCCGGTCAGCTTGTAGACACTGTATTTCTCCTCCATGGTGAAGCCCAGCACATCAAAGGCTTCCTTTGGAACAAAGATGATGATAACTTTAATTTATTCCATCCTTTGATGGACCATTTAAATAAAATACATTGTCATTTTCAGTCAGAACCTTTATGTAAAAATGGAGCCAAATAGTGTGTGTTTTTCCATTGGGCAATAATAAAGCCATTGTTAAACACTTCACATCTGTCGGCCTTGTCTGTTCAACAACAACAAAATTATATTTGTACAGTGCCTTTCACCTCAAGAGGACATCCCAAGATGCTGTACCATTGGGAGACTGAGGACTGACAAAATTGCCTTATCTCCAGTGATTGCTTCTGTTAGACTTTTGAGTAGGATAAAATGTTCTGTCAATTTAAGACTTTGAATCACTACTTCACAATGTGACCATGAAAACAAAGTTAAAAAGGAGTGACAGTGATAGCATCACGACATTGGTCTCACTTTGCAACCTATTGCAGTGCAAGACTATGATGTGCACATTGTAAAGGGTGTGTGTAAGTGCAAGACAGAGGGACGTACATCAGTCAATCGGAGCTCTTCACCATCATCCATGTTGTCTACCACAGTGACCCCCTGGCACACCCAGGAATATTGTTTAGGATCAGGCATCAACAGAAGCATATCTGGTAAGAGATGGAAAGTGAACAATTCAGAAACAAAGTAAGAAGCATTCCAACGTTTATGTTACTTACAGCAATTAGAAACTCACTGATCTATCTATCAATTTTTTGTTTGAAATTGGCTCAATTGTAGCAATCTCACTTCTGAGTCAAAAAGCTCAAACATGCTCACTGAAAGAAAAGGCTGTTATGTTGAGACTCACCTAAAATGTTAGGTATTTTCCCAGAGAGGAGCTGGTAGAAGATGTGATAGCCTCTCTCAGCATGTTGCTGTGAGATGACGCGAGATTTTTCTAACAAATCTGGACATAGAAGGACAAAATGTAAGAAGGAAGCAACAGGGTGAGAGAGACCAAGGAATATAAAATATCCATCATAAAAGATAATTGTACATTCAATATTTTCAATAACACAAGTTAATAAAGTGAAAGTTCGCTTACAGCTTTCAATATCAGCACCAGCCAATTTACCAGATGGGCCAAAGTGAATTCGGATGAATTTACCCTGGAGAGAATCAGTGGGGGAGGTGAAGAAACACAAGATTAGGTTGAATACTTCAGGAAATATGAATTCATACCGAGGATTGTGTAACATTGGAACATAATGCCTCTGATTTCTAGAGAGCAGGGTGTGCAATGGTTGAAAGCCCGTCCGTCGATGGTGGGGTAGCCAGGGTAGTGGACACTAAGCAAGTCAGTGTTTGCTGGGTGAAGGGAGCACCCGGTCGATGGGGTTCAAAAAGAAAGATGTAAACACAGGTGCACAAAGCTACATCAGAAGGTGGGAGTGGGTGTTTTGCAAAGAATGTCCTGCAGATGTATCGCAGATTATAAACCAATGGGAAAGGTTTATAAAGGGCTGAAATTTCCATATTATGAAAGGGAAAAATGAGAAAGGCTTACAAAACGTGAAGAGTTGTTGTTCCTGGTGGTTTTGGCATTACCAAATGCCTCCAGCACAGGGTTAGCCTGGATGATTCGATCCTCCAGGGAGCCCTTAATTAACAGAAGGAAGAGAACAAATGTGTTACAGTCTGTCACAATGAGTAGACTTATGCATGCCCAAACCCAAAGCATGTCACTTGGATTGGACAGCCCTTTTCAATGAAGGAGATGTACAGTTCCAAGCAAACATTGGCTCTGTTTTTAGTTCAGTAGCTGTGAATTAAGAACTGTTCCATTTCTGTGCAATATCGCAATTTCTCATCTCTGTTCAGCAGCAGAATTTTGGAAAAAATCGTTTTCGAGATATTAAAAGGTAGGAGTCAAAGTGTCACATGAGGATTAATAACCTTAATTTGAATGTATTATTGCCTCCATTTTTTTATATTAACACAAAACTATCACTTTGTTGACCCTTCAGTTATCTCTAAAGCAAGATTGGACAACCGGCCCCCAGAGCCTGATACCTCACCCAATGTTAGTGCTCAATTATTTGATGCGGTTCACAATAGAAACAAGCCTTAACCTCAATTAGCATCAGAAAGAACCCTCTGAGTGGACATCTGCCCCTTTAGTCCTCTAGCTCCGACCTCCAGAGCAAAGTAAGAAACATTCACACATCAGCAGCCATCATACATTGTGCCGCTTGCTGCCATTATTAAAATGTAAAGAGATACAGTAGTTGTTTCCTTGTAGGTAGGTTGATAACATGCCAGTAGCAACTTGGGTTCGAGATTAGGTTTGTTGTTACTAAAACACACTTGGACAGGTCTTGTCTTACCTTTGCATCAGGGATTTGTTTTCCAGCGCCACCAATGTTAGCAAAGTACTGAATGACTTTCTTAGTGTTCTCAGTCTTGCCAGCACCAGATTCTCCACTGTAAAGAAGAGAAAGGTAACATTTCTTTTAATTCAGGTGCAGGGAAGCTGAATAAATCCTTCAATTGTTGGTTCCAACTTTTTTTGGAGCATGTGGCAATCATATCTTGAGCAGAGAAACTCTCACATCTGAAATTGCCCTGAAAGTGCAGTCTCTGAACTAGTAGCAGATAATTGTTTTGCATTTATTACTCAAGGATCAGAAATAACATAAATCGCATGAATCGACAAGGTAAGAAAAGAAAATCAACTCACGTGATGAGCATGGACTGATTCTCTTGCTCTGTGGAGGAAATGGAAGAGTTTTAGAGACTTGACAAATAGAAAATAGTGAAGAGGCTTGGCAATTTTTATTTGCATCCCCCCAAAACAAAACTTTTAGGTACAATCTTATTCCTGCTACTAAATGCTCCCTTTAACTTTGGAAAGCAGATGAAATGTGGCTCTCGGCTTTCCTGCCCACAGCCATTTATTGTTCCCCTACACCCAGTTGGCTGGAAAGTGATTCAAACACGGCAAAATTGATATTATGCGTGTTTCTCGCCCTGGAATTGAAAATGAAACTTCCCGATCAATGCTCCATCTAGTACCTGGCTGGGAATGAAACACTGTTTAGCCCCAAAAAGGCAATCAGATTCAAGTAGCTTAGGACTTGGACGTCTTGATCTACTGATAGGCAAAAAGATTTAAAAAGATTTACAAAGAACATACAACATGGAAACAAGCCACTCGGTTAACCAGTATCTGCTGGTATTTATACTCTACACGAGTCTTCATCCATTCCTAAAGCTCAATCAAAATGTGTATGTGTGTAGGATGGAGGGGGAAAGCGATGATTCATTGCTGAAGGTGCAGTCTTTCGTTTGAGATGATAAACTGAGATCTCATCTGTCTGGCCAGATGGTCCAGGTGGATATTAAAGATCCAACCTCCTACCTCATGACACCATGGTGTTATATTTCAAGAAGAACACAAAATTTTCCCCATTGCCCTGGTCTTTATCAGGTCTAAATATGCCCCAAAAAACAGCTGCACTGATCATTTATCCCACTGCTCTTACATATCTATTTAGACACACATTAATTAGATCCTGCACTTGCCTACATAACAAAAACCACTTCACCTTGAAGTTGTAATCCATAGTGTGAAGCACTCTGAGAATTTTGACATGAAAAGGCTCTATATCAAATGTAAGTATTTTTGTTTAAAAAAGCCATAAATTAGAGATATCAGGAGCTAATTTACTTATCCAAACAATTCCAGGCTTATGTCCATATTGGAAATATTATCAAGATCCGGCCAGCACAGTGTTTATCCAACAAGAGGACTTGGTGCCATAACGCACAGATGATATTAACATTTGGATGTTATTCAGTCAAGTACACCCTCTTGATAAATACATGAACTATCCAGTGGTTCCCTGACATGCACCCTCTGTGTAACACACAGCAAGGTGCCTAGTTTTTGCTCAGTGCCCAAAATTCTTACCCATCAGCATGTCGTGGTACGCGTTGTCAGAGATGGAGAAGAGATGAGGAGGCATCTCACTGCGTTTCCTGCCCTTGAACATTTGAGCCACTCTAGCACCATAGATGGGCAGCCACTTATAGGGGTTCACTGTCACACAGAACAACCCAGAGTAGGTCTGTTAAACAAGAAAGCACAATTCAGTTCAGACTAAAATTAGCGCAATTGCAATTTTTGTTTAGATATACCATCTCCATTTTAATTGCTCCTTAAAAATATAGACATTGACTCCCCCATGACTTAGACAGTAAATGCACCGCACAGTAAGGTACTATCATTATCGAGATGTCAGGGAGGGGGCCTTTCCTAAAAAGCAAAGGATGAATCTCGTATCACATTTAGTGGTGAAACCATTCGCAAGAGCCAAACTGCCCACAAAAGTCAAGATAATAATGATTATTGTTGGTTCAGGTGTCACCAATATGTTGCCATTATGCTTCTTGTTGTTATTAAGTGAATCATGCACCTTTGGCTGTGCCTGGTTTTCTTACTGGTTAAAGAATAACAACAACTTGCATTTATATTGCACCTTTTCACGTGGAGTAATGCCTTACAGTACTTCACAGTATCAGAGATGGATCCCAAGTAGAGGGCAGGAAAGGGGTAAGGTGGGGTGACCATATGCATACTTGAAGAGGTAAGTTTTGAGGCAGGATTTTAAGACAATTAGAGAGTGGTTGAGCCAGAGGGGTCGAAGAAGAGAATTCATAGAATCATACAGCACAGAAAGAGGTCATTCAGCCCATTGTGTCTGCGCCACCTCCTAAAAGGGCAATCCAACTCAATCCCACTGGCCCGCTTTCTCTCCATAGCCCTGCAATCCTGTCCTCCAGAGGTTAGGAATCCTGCTGAGAGAAACAATCACTAACTTGCCATTTTGCACAACTTATGCTTGAGAGATAATTTGAACGTACATAAATTCGCATCATCATATAACGCTGGCGTATGTTGTCCAGGACACTAGCCTCATTCAGGAAGGTAAGGTTGGCCATGTCATTGGCCTGGTAAAATTTAGGTGGGTTCATCTGCTGGAGATCGTCCTTCTTTACAGTCACAGTCTGAAAACAAGTAGAAAACCAATGTTGATTTGAAATGGTAAGGGACACATGGGAAGAAAGTAGAACGCACATGTGCAGTTCTTCAGATAGAAATTACAAGCATTGGGCCTATTAAGACTAATCTGGTACTATGTACTTGGAAACATAATCCACTGGAGCGATATATCCTAATAAAATTCCCTGCTCTTTCCGCATATCCTTTTTATGTAGTTCCTCTTTATCAAATCTTTATCCAATATCAGTTGTTATGGTTTGGGCTTTGATTGCTACTTATGACAAAGCAGCACCCACCCTCCCAACACACACACACACACACACACGTTCTAGTGATATTATTTACTTACAGTGTTCTTGACAGTCTTCACAGTGAGTTCATTCCCACTCTCAGATTGGATTTCACCTGGGATGAAACCATCTTTGGTATCACTGACCCAGCATGACTTCTTAATGTCATACGGTCTGCTCATGAATTCCAGCTTCTCCTTTTCAGAAGGAGTCAGAAATATCATGGGGTCAACATCGTCTCCACACTCGCCTTTGTAACGGCCAGCCATTCTAAACTTGATTTATGTGAGGAGGACAAAGAGAGAGAGAGAGCACTCCCAGGAGAGCTGCAGAGAAAAAACGATCTTATTTAAACACAGAAAAGAAAGTTCATCATATTCCTGCTACAGAAACAGAACTTGTAATGAAATACTATGGCCCAAAATCTCTCACGTTCTCATGCTTAAGGTCAATAAGCTTTACAGTTAAGATTGTGCATAAATTTGGAGAATTCTTAAATTCAGCCTTAACTTGGAAGTTGTTTTATTCTAACTGCGAAAAACTGGCATCCAAATTATTCATTATTAATTAATCCAGTTCAGTCTCTAATGTTAAAACTTTATGGTAAAGTTTTTGAACATTTTCCTTGAATTAATTGTATTAACTAATGAAAGAATGGATTATAAAATACCACAAGACTAAGACCATGAGAAATTTCAGTCCCGAGGTTTCTGATAAAGATAGGACCTAATATTTGTCCTGGGTCCTTATCCCATGGTAGAAACATAAAGAGGATGGAGAAAGAAAGGGTAATCAGACCACCCAACAAGAGTCTCCTCTTGCTATGCCTTCACTAATGGGAAAACCTCATGACACAAGGAACACATCAGTGAAGTCATTGCAACTTAGTGGCACAACGAATTTCATCACAAAGCTGCTCAGAGCCTTTGATAAAACCTACTGATGACAATGGCGCAGGTGAAGAGATGGATGTAGGTATTGGTATTGAGCATTAGGGACCTAAATGGAGAAATCATTAATGCAGCGTGTTCAATTTACAGTCGCTCTGTGTCGTTCCATATATTATTCCTCAGCAGGAATTTTTCTCTGGTCAGGAATTTCAGCTACTCAATTAGAACTGGGACAAGGTCTTCACAATTGAGCATTTTGACAAGCAGTAAATGGGCCTCTTGAACCCTAATCAGAAACAAAACTGTCTGGGAATCCAGATGTGCTGATTTGACAACTATGGCTCAAAACATTATACATAAATTTTATTCCACAGTCATCGGACTTTGCTTGCTGGATGTTAAAATGATCCTGTTTTTGCCTTTAAATTTAGTTCAGAAATGCTTTCATCATCCTTGGTTTTGCTTTGACACTCTACCAATAACACCCAGGCAGGTAATACATGCAGTTCAATATCAAGCCAGTTCGTTCTCAAATACTGAAGCAACTACAACTTCACCTTAGCCACAATCTAGTTCTATGTGAACATCTTAGCGCCAAATGAAATGGATCAGTACATGAGTAAGTCTTCTCCATGTGTTCTACTTGCAAGAAAACCTACAGAAATAATAATAATATAATAATAATCCTTGCATTTGATATAGCTCCTTATGTCGTCTTTGAGGCTTTTCAAAGAATATATTGGATTTTTGCATTTTATGCAAAACACAGCAGCCAATTGGTCACAGTAATCTTCCACAAACAGTCATGGATTGAGTGGCAATTTTATTTTGAGGGATTATTACCCCTGGAAAGCCACCCGCCAATCGACTCACAATCGGGTTCCTATTTACTGCTAGGTAAACAGAGGCATGTGGAGTAAATAAATTTACCTAAGGTTTCGCCTCGCCTGGGAATCGAACCCGAGTCCCCTCCCTTGCGAGGCGAGCGCACTAACCACTACACTACATAACTCCACACAAATATATCTGCTTCTAGTAGGAAATTGCAATTAAGCATTTGCGTAAGTTGTTTACTAATACTGTGTTGTTGAAAAACATCACTGCAGCTGTTGTGCAGCCTGGTTACAGTCCAATCTGTGGGGGGGAATTCAATATATTTAGGTTGTTAAAAAGCATATCAGAATCTGACCTAATTAAAAATGCTTCAAGTGTTGACTAACTGGCCTGCAAAGCAATTCCAGCTATTGCAGGACGGAAAAGGACATTTATTCATTCAAATTTAGTGCATTTTCTTTGCCCTTTTCAATCCTATGTTTTGCAACTTACAATGAATTATTGATGCAACTGCTAAATATTGCAACCACTAATTAGAGAAACATACAGAGCTATTAAAATATTTATTATCTGCCACTAATATTCTCTAAACAAACTAAAAGAATTGTATTCCTCCCTGTGTCTTTCCATATCTTATTCCTTTTAAGTGTTTACTTCTACACGCGTGTTGGTGGATGGGTGTGCATGTTCGTGTGTGTGTGTGTGTGTGTGTGCATGTGAAATAATATTACATAATCTTTGAACGATTTTCTCTTCAAATGAGAGAAATGAAGCCCATTTACTGAATTTTACCATTAGTTGTCCTTTGGGCAGAAAAGAGTAAAATTTTAAAGCAGTCAAGAAGTCAATAGGAGAAGACTTACCAGAGACAGAAACAGAAGCTGCTGTGAAGCGATAGCCTGGAACCCATCTTTTATCCACTTCAATTTCCCCAGAGTAAACAATAACTATTAAAACAAGTAGTTAGAAAAAACTTTTGGCATGACCCAGGATGGTTCTGATTGGCTTCCCCTCGAGGTCTCGGTGGATGGATCATTTAGGTCATGCTTCTTGGGAGTTCTAAAATCCAGTTATGTCCATATTGGGAGCAGCACACAGAACGATGTTGCGAGCTCTCAGCTAACACTTAATATAACCCACCGTTATGATTTTTGTTCTATTCATGTCACATTAACAAATGAAGCAAAACTTTGTAATGCGTATTTCAAAACCCTTGGACCTATGACCTTAGTTAAAGTTATTTGCATTTAACCACCATGAACACTCTTCCCCAGCTTATTATTACCTTACAAACCTTTTGAAATGTTCACCTGATTCGTGTAAGCTTTGGGGAAAAAATAATAATAATAATCCTTGCATTTGGTATAGCAACTAAACACATCTTCAAGAAGTCTCACAGGATATACTATGAAGTGAATTGACTATATTTTGTGGGTGAAGAAAAAGGGTCGTTTTTTTTGCTAGTTCCCCAACATTTAGAAAGCGTCTTTCATACGGAAAGGAATTTTTGTCCTTTGCTATATTGCCGATTTATTTTGAAAAATGCAAATAACTTTAACTAACAAGAATTAAAACAGACACAGTGAGTTTGGATTATATTCCCATTGTGTTTAGATAGTTAATACTCTGCATGTCACACTTTGATGTGTGAGCTGCTACACGTGAATCTCATTCTAAATGTATATCATCAGAATATACAAGGACCATGAATTGCCACTCATTGATATTTTACACACATGCATTGAGTATGCATTGATTGGACATTCCCTTTACCGCTGTTTGAAGGGACATTGCGGTGGGCAAGTTGGCTGCTATGTTCACCAAATAGATACACATTCACTGCACTTTATAGTATATCCTGTCAAATGCTTTGAGAAGTCCTCCCAATGTGAAAGACACTGTATCAAATACAAGGATTATTATTAGGCTCACAAGAGTTCCTTCTCCTCCAATTATGAACCAGTGTAATGGAAAGCTTTAGCTAAAGTCCATGTACTGTAAAAAGAGTTAACAACCTACTGGGAGAAACCAGCCAAGGTTCAGTATCCACGGTTGTGTAAATTTCAATATTCTCTATTGTTGTGTGTGTATATTTCGATATCCACTGTTGTATGTAGTTATGTGTGTGTATTTTGATGTCCATGTGAGGGCATTCGTGGAAAAATCATAATATTGGAGTACTTTTATAAAAATAATCAATATTTGATACATTTACAAAATCAACAGCAAATATCAAAGATGCCAGCAGATGTTCTCAGATCCTAAACCTTTCCTCTTCCCAAGATACTGGAATGCACACGAGAGCCTGATTTTGCGGAATAATCTGGCTCTGGAAGCCAGAAAGTAGGAGGGTTCATGTTTTACCTCCAGAGATTATTCAAGGTTAGAATATCTACCCTCCTGGCTTGCATTCTTTGTGCTGTAAATGATGCATGTTGAGCACATGTGCAACTCTGCTGAGCATTGCAATAATATTCTAGTGTGACGCAGTGGTTCAAGCTTGCAACGGCCGTGGTTCTCATCAGGCGTTTCTGTGTTGAGCCCAGAGGCTCGTTACTGATTAGGATTAAGCCAACAAGTGACAAGGGCGAAATTAGTAATAACTGGGAATCATTGACGGTTAATCAGATATTTCCTTATTTCCCATCCAGATTTCAGTGGCCTTCAAATTCCTAACAATCTATCATCTACTACAAAATGGATTAAAATTCAGTTCTGAATCTAAGTTTATAGACAAAAATTAGGTCTTATCTGTCCATTCAGGTGGCGTTAAAGATCCTGTGGCACTGTTTGTCCTGGCGCCCCAGCCGATAATCCTTCAGATGAATTGGTCAAATAGCTATTTGTAGGACCTCGCTGTTTGCAGATCGTTTTCCACGTCTGCCTACAAATACAGACATTACACTTGATAACAATTATTTGGGAAGCACATTGAGATATTTCAACATAATAGGTGCTGTATCAAATGAAATTATTTTTTATTGTATTATTTATTGGAACAAAAATACACAATAAATAATTGCTGTGCAAGGCTCAGTTTTAATGTTAAGAGCAGAGGAAGCAAACATTTTACAGGATATGACAGAAAGCCACAGTTGAATGTCATGTAATTCTCTACCTGTAGGCTAAGTGTCTGATCTCTACTGTAAGGTACAGTGAGTGCATCATATGGGGGAGCGTGGGAGCAAACCCATGTCCTGTCACTTTGTAGAGCAGGCCAGCTCACAACAGGAACCTCATGCTAAGCATTGCTTGGGATTTGGCCCTTGATGGAAAATTAGTAAATTACAGGTCTAATAAAATTCAAACAATGGAAGGAAAGGACAGTAAATTCAGTTCTGTGCGATGATCGCCATTAATTTGCCGTGAGGTGACGCAGTGAGGGTAGGTGGGCAAGAAGGGGGAAGACACACCTAATAATTCGATAACTTTCAGACAAAGCAGAATAGCTGTGATGTATGTGCTGTTTATATTACTCAGCTGCTCTAAGCTGCCCTGGAGGAAGGATCAGTATGTTCTCCAGGGGTTGAATAACACTAATGCACTGGACATGTGTTGCCCTGAACTCTATAACCAAACATGGACATTGAAACCCAATCCAGACACTGCTTTGTGTTAAAACTAATTCTCAGTAGATTTTACTTTCTCTTTATTGAACAAGTACATCCCAGCTTGTCTCTTTGAACAAACATTTACAAAGATATGTTTTCAAGTTTTGCCACTTGTTCCAAGACTACTTTCTTTATTTTACCGCAAGTCAGTGGAAACAGAAACTGTTGATTTTTTTCAAGAACAAATTAGATAGATTTCTGTTAAGAAATGATATATTGGGATACAGCATATAGTTTGGGACATGACAAGTACATGCGACGATCAGGATGGTGGAAGGCGAACTGAATGGTCCTTGGTCTTCTTTTGTCTAGCAATTCTTATGTTCTTTCTCAGTGTCTCATTTTTTATTTTAACTACATGCTTCCAAGTACTGTATGACCTAAATCAGAAACAAGTAGGGTGCGAAATTGCAGGGCAACCTTTCATCTTACCTGAATTATCAAACAGTTTAGCACACCTTATATTTCCCTCCTTATCCCCAAATTCGAATTAATTTGCCCATTTGTCTCTTCGTTGTTTGTGAGGCAATGTTGCAGCAGATTTTAGCTGTCGTGTTTGTCTCTAACAAGAAATATCACTTAATTTGTGATCAATTATATTTGGTAAAGATTTGAGATTTCTTTTTCTACATGAACGCCATTATATAAATGCAGGATCTAAATATTATTATTATCATCAGGCCATCATGCATGTTAGAAAAACAATGCATTACACTACTGTACACCTGCTCCTCTAACATACATAGCCAGCATAATAATTTATTTCACTAAGAAATAAATCAATTGGTAGAAATTGGTAATTTACTCCATTAACGTAGCATTTTAAAGAGTCCAGATTTGTCTTATTCTTAAGCACAAACTTTAATTTTGAAGTTGGTTTTCTGTAACTTCTTTTAAGAATTACAGGAAAGGGGTTTCAAAGTTAAAACTGACTTCAACAATTTACCAAATTCTGCATACTCTGAAACACTATTTTAATAGAGTAAATCTAGTTCCAAGTAGAATTTTACCTCTCAGGTGTCTCAAGACTAGACATATCCAGTCCTTTGTGAATAAGATTTTCTCCCCAAATCCTGCTGACTGATCGACCATACTTATCACCAGAATTCAGAGCAAAGTCTTTGAATAGGAGTTTTAAAGCACTGTTTAATTAGCAATAACCTAGTTTCCCAAACTAATAAAAATTGGTCTTTCACCTTAGTCTTTACTCGCTGTTGTTTTGACAAGCATGCAAACACCTTTATGTAGTAGTCTTGTTTGATATACTTACTGATGCATAGCAAGCAATGTCTGTCATTTTGTTTGTAAACGGCAGAACATAATACTGGAAACAAAATATTCATTGCACAAGTGTTGACAGCTGGAACTATCCAATTAGGAGGGATTAGAAGTGTAAAATGAGCTATAGGATTGAATCCTATGCACACTGGAGTTCACTACTTAGTGTGTAATGTATTGAGCTGAAAAAGTGGAAAGGTATTCTTTGTACAAACATTCTTATCCCTCAGTTTGATAAGGTCACTGGTGTAGAAACAATAGTGAAGAGATAGGATTTGGGGGATAGAGATATTTTAATGTCAATAATGTTATTTGATGTAATGCGTTGAAACATGTTCATTGCTGTCTTTCAACAGTCGGAATGTACAAGCAGCTGCAAATCTCTCTGGTGGCTCAGGGTAGCCTTTCTCTGAAGAACAGGCATGTTGTATGTGTCATTAGTCTATGTCTTTAAGTGCTTTATTTTTAGAACCATTTTCCACTTGGATTTGAATCCCTTCAGTTCTAATTAATGATGATAATGTGTAAAAATAAGCTGCAATCTTTGTCACCCGGCAGGATACTTTCCCTCAAACTGACAACCACTCATATGGAAACATTCATCCTGAGGAATCAGATATGTTAACTATATTCAAATTATGCCGATGTTGAAGCAGAGACTATAACCAGCAATTGGCTCCACTTAAAACCTAACAACTGAAGATTTCTAACATATTAACCCTCATACTTGGTATAGCACCTTTCATGTTAGGTAGATATCGCTCTGTCAACATGTCTCTGTCAGCATCTGGGACCCTGATAGCAAACTAAAATGAATTTTTACTGAGAAATTACAGTGACAAAGTACATTGATCCTATGAAGCTATAAAATGAAAAGATACAGGTCTAGACATGATTTGCCATGCAGTAAGTTCTCCATCTCAGATAAGTCACAATGTAAATTGCGTGCCATCAACAATGAAGCGCTTTGGGACGTCCTCCCGACGTGAAAAAGCGCTATATCAAATGCAAGGATTATTATTATAACAATCTGTGGTTATATTGTCCCTTTCGTGTAAGATGAACAACTCAAAGAACTTCACAGAGACAATAAGGAATGGGGAGGAAAGAATGAAAAATTTAAGGTTGCTCATCAAAGCTACAGTCAAAGAAATGGGGTTTTAAGAGAATTTTGAAGGAAGGGAGTCAAAGAGCAAGGCAAAGGGATTTTACACAGTTACATAGCTTGATACAGCACAGATACAGGCCATATAGCCCAACCCATCTATTCTGGTGTTAAAGCTCCCCTTTGAAGGAATCATAGCATATATAATATATATTATATACTGCATATATATTATATACACACCATGTATATATAAAGTTCAATGTTCATATAAAATCTGATCTAGTCTGAGAATTATACATGAAAAAATTCTTACATTTGATATACCACCTTTCACATCAGAAGAACGAAGAATGTGCTTCACAGGATTTACTGTAATATGTAGTGACTGTGTATTTGGGACATTGCTGTGCGCAATTGGCTGCCGCGTTCGCCCACAAATATACAGTCAATTCACTTTACAGTATGTTCTGTGAAGCGCTTTGGGACGTCCTCCCGACGTGAAAAGCGCTATATCAAATGCAAGGATTATTATTATTATTATTATTATAAGACCTGTGCGCAATTGGATGCCGCGTTCGCCCACAAATATACAGTCAATTCACTTTACAGTATGTTCTGTGAAGCGCTTTGGGACGTCCTCCCGACGTGAAAAGCGCTATATCAAATGCAAGGATTATTATTATTATTATTATTATTTTGTAGGTGTATATTTATTATATACAAAATTACATAGAATTATAGAATAAATATAAGGTCCGTGTACTGAATTCCATACACAGACCGTTTTGTTTGTCAGCGGATGTCAGACACATGGGAAAACCATCATCATGCTAAAGAGTATCCGAGCCAGTCTGAGAGCTCCATACAACTCACCTAGACATAGAGAACTTTTCTTGCTATACAATCCGATCTGAGAATTATAGAACACTTATAGAATTATTATATACAATTATAGACGGAAACAAAATTTCTTTGCGATCAGACCTACAATACAGTACGAATTTACATTTATACAGTGCCTTTCGTGTTGGGAGGACGTCCGAAGGCACTTAATAACACTGGTTTGGCACCTGAGCTGTGGGTGGGAGCAGAGGGTGGTGGGGAGGAGAAAGATGACCACAGTCAAAGTGGTACATCTTGAGACAGACCTCAAACAAGGTGAGGGGGAGCAAGTTAGCGACTCCAGGATGGAGTTCCAGAGAGTGCGGCCTGAGACACATATAGTGTTATTGAACAATTCATTATAAAGTCTAGAATTATTACTGTGGATTTACGGCCCAGGAGTTGCGCTCCGCTGATTGGGCGGATACCGCCTCCGCACTGTCCTATGGCCGCAGTGGCTCCCGGACACCGGGAGATTTAAACCGCGGAGGGCGCAGCCGTGTCCCGGGTTAACCTGCACAGGAGGAGGTAACAGGTTAGTGGTGGCATCCGCACAGCTTTCCGGCAGCTGCACTGTCCCAGTTCAGTTTCCCTTCCCTACTTTTCCGGAAGAATTGTCTGTAGCGGTTTTGGCGCACGTTGTCTGTGCTGTACACGATTCCCAGAATAAACTTCGTTTACATTAAGGATTTAACTGTATTTACGGCGCAGTGTGAAATACGGACAGGGACAGGTTCGGTGGTCCTCGCGGAGCCCAGGAAGGAATGCCTTAACCTGTAGGACTTTGGTTTGCAGAGCTCCTAATGTGTCTGAGTATTGATACTCGGCTCTTTGACTCCTCCACTCCCCCCGCGATGGTTTGGATGTCATGTATCTGCTTTTCTCTCCCGTCCCCGTTGAGGACGAGCACAGTTCTAACTCCTTTTAGTAATATTTGTTGTGTAAGTTCAGATGGCTCCGGGGACCTTCCCTCGGACCTGGAATGCAGGTGCTATCTGCAGTTTTCAGCTGCTTTAGAACTCAAAAGTTGTGGTTTGTGTCTCTCCAGCGTCTAACGAGGAAATAATTTTGCTTCTATCCTTAAGCATTGCTGTGAGAGGAGATGTTTAATGGAGGGCGAAAGGAACCCATTTCTGCTACTTTCTTTTTTAAAAAAAACCAAGCAAAACCTAAACGGGTTTTGTCAACAATTTATCATTCTTAAAGTGTGGGGTTGGAAAGTCTCGGGTCTGTTGTTCACCCGGTGGATCTGAATAGCCTTTTTGTTTTGCAGATTGCAAAGATGTCAACCAGCGAAGCTGAGAATACAAGGATGAAAATATTCAAGAATAAGGGGAGAGATTTTGTGGTATGCACCGTGTTTCTTTGTAACGCCGGACATCTTGGTATGGAAAGGGACTATATAAATGCAACTTGTTTTTTTGTGACTTTCAAATCTGTGTTGTGCCAATGTGATGCAGTCGCTACAAGCTCCCAGTGAGCTTTCAGGTGTTTTTTTTAAAAAAAACACACACGCAGGAAATTTCCTATAGCAAAGCCCTCTGCCCAGGCCAACTCATCATCAGTTTCTCAATCATTTTGTTGCTGGGATGAATTGAATGCAGCTGCAATCGACTCGTGAATGTCACTTGTATTAGGGACGTTTGAATTAAAGGGGGAGCTACACCGTGTAACCGGGTCTGCACCATAGTAATGGACTGTTTTGACTGCGTTGCTTCAGAGGACGTCAGACTCGAGTGATTGGGTTTCTATAGTTGCAGTAGAAGGAGATGAGTAACCACTGTTGTGTTGACGGTTTCCATACTCGGCTCCTAGAATCGCTTCGTACTTTTTAAGTGTAGGAATGATAAAAGTGTTGGGAATGGCAGGTCCCAGATTCCTGCGGTGTGTAGAAGGTAATCTGTTCTCTCGGACCAATGGAACATTTTTCTGATGTAAAGTTCTGGCGATGGGTTTTCTCGTCTCCACTGGAGGGACCACACATTATCAAAAGTGCAAGAGAATTTAAAGCTTTAACATACAAAGCATTCTGGGCGTTGACTCGATTTGAAATGTTTTTTTTATCATGGTGTGTTGACTCGAATCTAAAGAGCCTTTTTTAATTTAATTTTTTTTAAAAAAAATGACACCACACAAATTGCAATAACGTTATTTCCTTCGCTCCCAAACTTACTTAAATTTTTTTTGCCGGAATTCAGCAAATAGATTCCTTTAAAATATACTGTGCATTAAGCAGCAGTAAGACGAACGGTTGTACTCCTGTACGACCATATTCATTTGGAAAAGGATCCATCCCACTGTTGCTCCCTTAAACTAGGAGTTGAGGAGGCGGAGAATCGAGATCAACGTTGAGCTACGAAAAGCCAAGAAGGACGAGCAGATTCTGAAGAGGAGAAATGTGGGCACTTTGCGAGAGGACGACAAGACACCGGAAACGATTGTAAGCAATTTCATATGTATAAAATTCCAGGCCAGAGGGAAAGTAACACTAAACTAATCAGTTGCGTGTTTCGTTTTATTTGAAAGGGAGGGTAGGACTTGCAGAACACAGTGAAGTTGTATGACTGCTCTCATCCTCTGATTGCGGGCAATGGTTGGAGTAAATGCTATGTTTGGGAAATTCTTTGTGGGATTTCCTGTTTAATTGGTGTCCTGATCGCTAGTCAAAAGCTGTGCACAGGTTTGTAACCGGTGACACTGCAAATATATCCATCAACCGAGGGAGAGGCGGCGTTGAGAGGCTTTCCCACCAGTGGGTGCTGCTGCTCTCCATCTACCACATTCAAATCATGTCTCTAAATTGCTCCAATGTAGTTTCTTTTTCTTGACCTGAGTGAGAAGAGAACGCACACTCGTCATATTCCGTATCGTGTAAAATGTACCGAATCGTTGGGAGGCCATTCGGCATGTCGTGACTGCCGACTGAAAAGCATTTGCTTTTATTCCTTTTTTTCGTACCTAATCGTGTGGGGAAAAATGCCACTGAATGCTTGAAAGTTGAACGCTAACTTTGCTCCTAATGTGCAGGTCCGTGAGATGACGGTTAAAGAGATTGTGATTGGGATGAACAGTCACGAACCACAGCTGCAACTACAAGCGACACAGGGTGCAAGGTACTACCACACCCAAGTCATTTTACCCAGTGTGTGAGGCTTGGAGATTCCCCTTCTGTTGGTTTACTTGGGTATTTTTCAATACCTTTTATTCAAATACAGATTGTAAATTTGTATCCCGGACTGCGCTCTTCAGATAGCAGTAAGTGATCTTCAGTGCAGTAAACAAATCTAACTGCCCCTACACTTGATTTCTGACTAAGGATGAGTTAAAATTGTAGCTTCATCAGAATCCTAAGATATCTCTTCTAGGAAGTATGAGGCCAAATAATTCCATCTCGTCCTTAGATAAATTGATCATTCACCTAATGGGTTGCTGTTTGCCGACAAATACTCAGGATATCTAACAATTATCTGTGAAACAATTTGAGGAATCTGACAAAGAAAGCACTGTATCAAATGTAAAGATTATAATCTCCAAACGCAGCAAAGAAAAGTTTAACATTGTGCCTTTTTTATTTTTCTCGGTAGAAAACTTCTGTCCCGAGCCTGGAAACCTCCTCTGAACGAGATCATTAAAGCAGGACTGATCCATAAGTTTGTTGAATTTCTTGGTAGAGATGATATCCCTGTTCTCCAGTTTGAATCTGCCTGGGCACTGACTAATATCGCATCAGGCACATCAGAGCAGACCAAGTCAGTAGTGGACGGAGGTGCTGTCCCAGTATTTGTGTCTCTGCTTTCATCTCCACATGTGCACATCAGTGAGCAGGCTGTGTGGGCCTTGGGCAACATTGCAGGTAGACTAATGGATTCCTATCTGGAGGCCTTGTGATCAAGATATGCTCTCTCACTTTAACCCAGATGAAAAGTGGGTAATTGTATCAAAACCAAAAGGAAGATAACTTTTTTTTTCTCTCTAGGTGATGGTCCCCTCTTCCGTGATGCAGTGATAAATTGCAATGCTGTCCAGCCTCTGCTTGCATTGGTACAGCCTAGTACTCCAGTAAGTGTATATGGTTTCCAGGCTCTGACCCGGTCATGAATCTAATTCAGAGTGCTTGTTTTGAATATTGTAAGACAAAATTTGACAAAACTATCAGAGGCAGAAAACTGAAAGAGATGAGGAATAATCGATGTGGAATGCTTTATTCCCTGAACAATGCAACTTTAAACTTGGAACCTGGGTTTGCTTGATGCAACTTGGATTAATTTTAAGAGCCCATGGAACCACTCTGAATGCAAAATTCCTTTTTTTGTCTGTCAATATTGCTCCCAATTTACCACAAACCAATTCCATGTTCATTGTATTTTGTGGTGTCATGTTGGTGCAGGGTAGTTGCTTAGTTTGGCAATGTAATAGTTAACTGAGGATATCCTCAGGCTCAGCCTGGCTGTGGTGTTCTTTAAGGTTTATGGATAATGCTTGCTGCCAAGGCTTTCATATGGAAAATCGCCACTTGGGTAACGCACTTGAAGAATGCTTATGTCTGCACCGTCTTACCTTAGCTCAGAACAGGAGGGCTTTTTTTAAAAAAAAGTAACTTCTCTGCCTCAACTAATCAGGTGACTCTTGGTTTCTTGAATTGCAGGTTGGTTTCTTGAGCAATATTACATGGACTCTGTCAAACCTGTGCCGCAACAAGAATCCTCACCCTTCACTCCAAGCAGTTCAGCAGATGCTCCCTACACTTATTCAGCTGCTTTACAATGATGATGCAGATATCCTCTCTGATGCATGCTGGGCGCTATCTTACTTGACCGATGGCCCCAATGAACGGATTGAGGTTGTAGTTAACACTGGCATTTTGCCCAGACTGGTACATTTAATGGCCACCTCTCAGATGACTGTGTTGGTGAGTAAGATTGATGCTGTAATTCATGGGTTTGAGTTCTCTAAGTGTACACAATTCCAGGAAGGAGGGAACATTGAAGTAAAGGGAGACATTGCTCCTTCAGTTGGGACCATGGTCAGGGTAAACAGAAAGGTGGCTTTTTAAGTGGTTGACAGTTTCCAATGTTGATAACATCCTTGGATTTCATGTAGCACCTTGGGAGGATGTCTCAAAGCGCTTTGCAGGATTGTAATGTGATTGTGTATTTTGTGCACATCAACATCCTACAAATAGCATAGTGTGAAATAACATGAGGGACATGAGAGAATAATTAGAAAATGCAATTAAGACTATATTAATTTTGTAATCTGAAGTTTTCCACTCCTGCACATATTCTAAACCTCCAGGTTAACTTCAGTTTAGAGAATCCTCATTAGCAGGAGTTTGCATCTGTTACCAAAAAAGCCTGACTGACAAATCTGTTCATTTTAGACTCCTGCCCTCCGTGCTGTAGGAAACATTGTGACTGGAACTGACAATCAAACAGAGGCTGCCCTCGAGGCTGGTGTTCTCTCTGTTCTGCCCCAGGTATTGAAGCACTCAAAGTCCAGTATACAGAAGGAGGCTGCTTGGACCATCTCTAATATTGCAGCTGGACCCACTCATCAGATTCAACAATTGATCACTTGTGGAGTGATGCCTCCACTTGTCGAACTTATGGAACAAGTATGTACTGTGCTTCACAATCCAACTGTGGCTCTACATTGTTGTACCTCTTTTCTCTTTCTCCCCCACCCCTTCCTCTTTCCCATGTAAAGAATGTTTGGACAAGTTCATGGTTGTCTTTTATACAACTAACCCCTCTTTCTTTCACTCCCCATCCTTAACACAATTGTCCTGACTCATCAAGGAAGCAATTCCTTCCTGGAATTGTGAATCACTGTTATTTTCTATCATTTCATTAACTAAGATTCTTTCTCCAATTTCCTTGTTCCTCCTCCCCTCACTACCACCAAATTCACTACTCAAGACTCTGGATGGATGTCTCTGCATTTATCTCCCTGTCCAATATGAGTCTGCATCTCAGTAAAGTTGAATGTAACTTCCTCCCAGTCCTATAGGGAGTATAGTCTGGTTTCACATAACAGGATGCTTGGATAGTTCCAGGAAGCATTCCCTGATTCTAGTGTGAGTAGGCAGGAAACATCAGTGTTTAACATGGACCTGCTTGAGCAGTGAAGAGGGATTTTTACACAAGGCACAAAGGGCGACCCAGATGGCCAGGAAAAGATTAATGACTCAGGCCTAAAATAAGCTTGGGTTATAGTTTTGTGTTGGACAAAATGTTTAATGGCAAATTATCTATCAGTTGGTTGTTAGTCTGAGGATGACAGTGTTAGTGGAGCTGTGGAATCTGCCTCAGTTTATGGAAGGATAGCGCTAAGGTAACCGTGCTATAACTACACCAGCAAATTGCATGCAATAGCAGGAGAAATGGGTAGGAGGTTGAAATGGTCCTGAGTGCAGTGTCTTTGATGCCAATAACTCCTATTTGACCTTTTTGGACCTTGTATTATAAACAAATTCTCTTTGCCTTGTAGGGTGACTTTAAAGCAAAGAAAGAAGCTATTTGGGCTGTGACTAACTACTCGAGTGGTGGCACGGTGGACCAGATAGTCCACTTGGTACAGTGTGGGGTTCTGAAGCCCCTGCTTGACCTGCTCTGTATCAAAGATGCCAAGATTATTCTGGTGGTCCTGGATGCCATTTCCAATATCTTCCTGGTGAGTTGACTAAAATCACATTCTTCCTACAGAAGACATTAAGGGATGGCCATAAAGTTTGGTGATGCCTCTATGTTGGGTAGGGCTGTATATAGTTGGCAGTTCTTTTCAGATTGTGTCATGGGATCTTTAACATCCACCTAAACAGGCAAACAGGGCTCAGTTCACAATATCATCTGACAAACAGCACTTCTGGTGACAATGTAGTACTCCCTCAAAACTTCACTGCAGATTCAGTTTAGAACACTAAAACCCACAGCCTTCTGACCCAGAGGCAAAGGTGCTGCCAACTCAGCCTGGCTGATATAATTGTGGATTTTGTCTAAGATTTAGGGTTGAACAAGTCAAACTGAACCAACCAAACTCTGTGGGCTCTGTGTTGAATGTTGTTTGCTTTTTCTTCCAGCAACTTAACATTGTCAAAATCCTGTGTTTAATGATATTTTGTTATGTATTTTTCTCTACAGGCTGGGGAGAAGCTTGGTGAGACAGACAAACTGTGTCTAATGATAGAAGGGCTTAATGGGTTGGAAAAGATTGAAGCTCTTCAGTCCCATGAAAATGATGCCGTATACAGAACTGCACTGAATCTGATTGAAAAATACTTTGTTGAAGCGGTAAGCAGAGAACACTATAACATTGGCAAATACTATTGAAGGATTATGTTGCAATTCCTTCCTTATTTCTAGTTCCCCTCCCACCTCCAACTTTCAAAAACTAGGGATTAGTTCCCACTGTTTTTGGCAGGCAGTCTGGAGGGAAGACAATGACATGTCATCTGATAGTCCCAACAATCCTTCACGCTCATCAACCAGCAATAGGTTGGGACTGCTTCTGTCAGTTTGTAGATGCAAAAAAGCAATGTATTGCAAAAGGCTCCACTATTGTGGCTAGAAACTAAGATCAAAAATCTGTTATAGGTTCTGATGCGAAACCTATTGAGCTATTACAAGGAAAATCAATGTGAGTCGCTGCCTTACTGCTGATATCCAACCAAGTTAGGAAGACTGTGTTTGACTTGCAGGAACTAATAGAAAATTGGATTTTTATAATGCCTGGTGTTGAACGTCAGTGCTTCACAAGCAATTACTGTGAAGTGCAGTGACAGTCTTATCCAAATATGAAGGCTATTTCCTCCAGATATGTCCTGCAAACAGCCGTGAAGTGACTGATTGATTTTGATTTGGAGGTTTGCTTGCCAGGATACCTAAAAGACTGTTTTCTCTTTTAAACAGTATAAAATCCACCGGAATAGCAAATCAGGCTTTGGTGCAAGTGGAGCATTTATTCCAATAGGTTGAGAATAGTTTTCAAGAACTACGGTATACTTTACATGAAACTGTCAACAGCTTTTCAGGACTTTGTTGTATTTTCCTGACCAAGTATGCGTAAATCTTATCCACTATAATCGAGTAGCCGAGTTGGAGAATTTAAATGGCACACTTGCACTAAAGAAGTTGAAACTATTGGATTGAAGGTAACTAGTTATTTTTCAGAGAAACATGGCAGTTGTTGGGGCTTGCCTGTAGAATCCAATAGATTCTAATGTACTGTATAATACTCTGTTGCTTCCCTGACTTCATGGGGGTTGTCAAGCAGGTGAGAATGGATGACTGATGATCCACCCAAACACAATTCGAAGCTTGTACCAAAACCAAGAATGCCTGGCCTATAACCCTGTCATTCTTCCCTTACAGGATGACGATGTTTCAAACCTGCAGCCTGAAGCAACAAATGAAGAATTTATATTTCAGATGAATTCTCAGAAAGATGAGTTTAACTTCTGAGCAAGTGGACTCTTAAATATGTACAGTACTTCAGTGCAATATTTCTATCCAAACAAGATACTTGTTAACTTGTATTTGATTAGTTTTGAAGGTGCTTGTGTAAGTATTTGGGGAATTAAATGTTTTTTTGCAGAACTTTGATTTGTATGTTTGAGTTTTGCCAAACAGGAGTGTATCTCTGTCCACTATCTTACAATTGGCTGATACAGCTATTGGAAGCTACTCATTTACAACACCCAAGATCCTGCTTAATATGCTGCTTCCCACATACACAGCATATGTACATCGTAATTCAGATTTAAGTGCTCCAATCTTTTATAAACCCTTCCCATCTGCAGTTTTTTTAGGAAGCTAACGTAATGCTTGTAAAATGTTAGCTACCTATTTGATTTTGAGGAATTGACTAAAAATTAATCTGATTTTTATTTTGCCACTGGTGGGCATTAATTCAACCATATGCTCAAAATACCATGAACCACATCAAAGCTAAGTTTCAATATAAGATTACCTGCAACAAATTCCATGGGTTTCTGTGTGATTAGTTAGCTTTAACAAACCACAATAGCATTCAAGGGTTGATAACTAGTAACAATGTTGTACACTAAACTTGGCAGACACCTGAGGTCACCCTGCTCTGCCTGGTATTCTGTAAAAATTGTCCTGTTTGTTTTTCATCAAGATGTGAAATTGAAGCGATCACTTGTGAGCCATTGCATTGTAGGGGGTGATTCTCGTCTTGCCAAGCTTAGTTGTTAATCTCTGCCACATTGAGCAATGAAGTCCTAGGCTGGAGAATTTGGCTGTCCTTTGCAGATCTATGTATGGTTAAAAATGGATTATTTGCAGAACAAAATGGCCATAATATCTATGCTTTGAAAGAGCAAACCATTTACCTGCTTTTTCACCATTACCCTGCAAATGACTCTGTTTTAGATTTATATCTTGTTCCCTCTTGAAAGCTAATATGGATTCTGCGTAAACCACTACACCTTTAGTAAGAAGGGAGAACCTACCCTCGTGACTTAAATAAACCATTCTGTTCCCTCCTTCCAAACAAAACCTACCCACTAAACATCACTGCTGAATCTTAATTTAAGCATGCTCTACTATAGTGTACTCCTGCATTTGGTATTTAAAATGTGACCTCAGTTTCCTAATAAGATTGCTTTAACTATGCCAAGTTTAGTTCAAAATTATGAGGGATTCAATACAACAACAACAAGATTCCATTTATTGTGCGTCTTTCACGTCGGGAGGACGTCCCGAGGCGCTGTACAGTTGGGTCAGGACCCGAGCATTGGGGGGAAATGGTCAGGGTGAGGGGAGGGAAGGGAGGGAGCGAGGAGGGGGTAGAGAGTCGAGAGGAGAGCTGAAGGCTCGGTCAAAGAGAAAGGTCTTGAGACTGGCCTTGAAGGAGGAAAGGGAGGAGGCGGCGAAGGCACTGGGGGATGGAGTTCCAGAGCCTTGGGGCTGAGAGGCTGAAGGCCCGACCACTGATGGTAGGGGCGGGGGATGTGGAGCAGACCGGAGCCAGAGGAACGGAGGGTACGGGCGGGTAGGTAGGGGGATAGTAGGTCGGAGAGGTAGGAGGGAGCGAGGCTGTGAATGGCCTTGTGGGTGAGGATCTTGAATTTGATGCTCTGGGGGATGGGGAGCCAGTGGAGGAGGGCGAGGGTGGGAGTGATGTGGTCGCGGTGTCTGGTGCGGGACAGTACACGAGCTGCAGAGTTCTGAATGACCTGCAGTGTGGAGGGAGGGCCGGGAAGGCCGGCGAGGAGAGAGTTCCCATAGTCCAGCCTTGAGGTGATAAAGGTGTGGACCAGAGTTTCAGCCGCGTGAGGGGTGAGATAGTGCCGTAGTCTGGCGACATTCCGGAGGTGATGGAAGGCGGTGTCAGTTGTGGCGCGAATATGGGGGAGAAAGGACAGCTCAGGGTCGAACAGAACCCCGAGGTTCCTGACTGGGTGAACAAGGAGAAACTATTTCCACTGATGGGTGGCAAGTGGATGACTGTATGCAGCTGAACTTGTAGTTATATCTGTGATTCTTCTGCCAAAAGACCTGAAAGGCTGGGATTTTGAACATTTGTTCCAGCACAGGAGTCCTGTGAGCTACTACTAGAGGTGTAAGAGCCATCAGAAAATGTCAGAGGATCATTTGACAACATTCAAGAAGTGATGGATTGGCATGTTCAGCAAAATAACATTTGTTTGTAGGATGTGGGTTAAATATCAAGCTAAACAAGAAATTCTGTCTGCAAGGTTGGCCAATTATGCCAACTTTAGGATAAATCTCATTTGCCTACATTCGCTTTCATTATTTTGTAAAGCACTTCAGGATATTTTTAAATTGACTATATATGTTGCAATTTATAGTTTTGTGCTACAGGGCTGATGTCTGTCATCAGCTCTGTAGCATATTGTTTGCAACATACTTTACATATAGATTAATGTACATTGCGTTGCAGCATTCAAAGATTAAAACAGTGCAAGTCTTTGTTATAGGCTTAAATGCTGACCTCACAGTGCATGGGACCACAGTGAAAACACAGGTTATCTGAAGATCATAGTAGGTTGGCTGACATTGATTGGTAATGCCCCAACTGAAGTGCTTTGCTGAGTGGTTCATGTTAGAATATTAGACTGGTATGTTGTAGTTCATAAATAGGCACATGATGAACAAGTAATCTTTCAGGTGATTTTTTTTAAATGCCTGTCAATGCTCCAATATTCTATTCTGAAGCCGTGGGAATTTAAGAGATGTTAACTGATCAGCGAATGATCCTATCATAAAATAGGGACACTTGGGAAGGTGCGAGGCTGTTATGTAATCAGTGTTCAGATGTCATAAACCTTACTTTCACAGTTGAAATGTCATCTCAGCCTGGAGGTTAGGTGATGGTATCGTAACTTGCTCCCTTGTGTTTTTAAATACATATATATAAACACACACACGTGTTGTGAATACAACATGTCTGTTCATTTTGACTTTCCAGTAGCATTTCAATGGATAACCTTTATAGTCAACCAAATACTCCCCCTCCCCCAAAAATAACAGTAGCCCAATATTATGGGGAGCAGAGAGGCCAACTCAGTGTCGATGCTTTTTGAAACTAAGAGAAAGTCGTCAAATGGAGGAGGAGGGGGGGGTGTTCTCCTCCACCTACCCGACCTCCCCCTAAAACTCCGAACCTGTACGCAACCTAGGTGGCAGGTTTGACCCCCAATTATCCTTCCTCCCCTACATCCAGTCACTCACCAGCACCGCTTTCTTCCATCTCCAAAGCATTGCCCGTCTCCACCAACCTCTCTCCTCAAAAGCCGCAGAAACCCTGGTCCGTGCCTTTGTCACCTCTCGGCTGGACTACTCTAACGCTCTCCCCACCGGCCTCCCATCCACTACCATCCATAAAATCCAAATCATTCAGAACTCTGTCGCCCGCATTCTCACCCACACGAAACTCCGATCACCCCAGTCCTTGCCCCCCCCCCATCCTCCGCCACCCCCAAACTCTGCTCCCGGATCACCCCAGTCCTTGCCAGACTGCACTGGCTGCCTATCCTAGAGAGGATCGATTTCAAGTCCACTCCTCTGCACTCTCTGACCTCTCTCCTCAAAACAGTACCCGTTGCCTCTGTTCCTCTGGGTTTGGCGTCCCCCGAGTCCCTCCGCTCCACCCTCGGTAGCCGGACCTTCAGCCACTACGCCCCGAGGCTCTGGAACTCCTTCCCTTCCGATTTTCAGGTCTCTGCTGAAGACCTTTCTCTTCGACTGCGTCTTTGGTCACCTTCCTCCCCGGCCCCTCATCCTCCCCCGGCCCCTCATCCTCCCCTGGTCCCGCCCCTGTCCCCTCAGCTCCTCCTCCCCCCAGCCACTCCCCTGGCTCCTCCTCCTCCCCCCCAGCCCCTCGCCCTCCCCCTCCACTGGCTCCTCCTCCTCCCCCTGGCCCCACCCCCTCCCCAGCTCCTTCTCCTGGCCCCGCCTCCTCCCCCTGGCCACGCCCCCCAGCCCGGGACCCATTAATGTGAAGCCGGCGTGGAGGGCGCTATATAAATCCCGGTTGTTGTTGTTGTCCGTTCTGCGGTTTAAACGGCAGATGAAGCGTTCCGCCCAAAGCCGTGGGGCCTTTTTGTTTTGCCTCAAAAACTTTTTTTGAGAGCATCACCACAACAACAACACCGCTGGCGCCGTCCGACAGCAGCGGGGGGGGGGTGAGAGGGAAGTGTTTCTTGTTGCTGTTTTGCGCCTTTTATTTAACAGAAACACAAACCTTGTGGGCGGTTCGGCTGTGACTTGAACGCGACTTCTCCCCTTGACGCCGCGAGCGGAGCAGCGTCAGGGCGCGCGCCAGCGGACACCGCCGCCTCCCCCGCCCGGAGCGCGTGGTGGAGGGGGCGGTGAAGCAACGCGTTGACGTCAGCGGACGTGCGCTGCCGCCGTCTCGACGTCTCCCGGCGCGCGCGCGCGCGCGGAGGATGGGAGGGGGGAAGACAGCGCGTTGACGTCAGCGCCCGCCCCGCCCCCCCGGCCGCCGCCGCCGCCGCTCGATCGATCGATCTCGTGCAGTCAGTGGCTTCGGGCGCTCGGTGCTGCTGCTGCTCCCGGGCCCGAGAGCCGTTACTCGCGTTACCCTTTCTGTCTGTGTCCCCCCCCACGCACACACTCCCCTCCCCCCCCCCCCCCCCTCCCTCCCTCAACGGCGACAACAAAAACAACAACGACGACGACGAGAAAAAAACACTTCCTTTTTTTTTGTGCACAATTTCCGTTTATTTATAGACAGACGCACAGTTTTTTTTTTAGAAACCCCCCCACCCCCGAAAGTGCACCGGGCCCGCGGTGACGAACCGTCGCATAATAAGAGGGAATTTTATAAGTAATGTCGAATCCCGGCGCTCGACGGAACGGGTCAAGCATTAAAATCCGGCTGACAGGTAAAGTTCAGTTTAAATGTTTTTTTCTCTCCCTCTCTCCCTCTCTCTCTCTCTCCTTCCTCTCCTTTCTGAGGTATTTTTTTTAAAATTCAACCGCCAGGACCTCCCCTCTCCCTTCCTCCCCTCCTCCTCTCCTCCACCCGCACCTCCATTTAAACAGAAAATACTAAATATGCGATAAAGGAAATGAAGGAGAGAGTGAGAGAGGGGGAGGGAGGGAAGGAGTGAGGGAGTGAGTGAGAGAGAGGGAGGGAGGGAGGGAAGGAGGGAGTGGGGTTGGTGGGCGAATGCGATTTTATTTATTTCAATGTCAGCGTCTGTCCCTCTTCCCCCTTTTTTTTTCCTGTCCCGTTTTCCCACCGTCAACCCTTTCTTTCTCCTTTCGTAATCTTTCCCTCTCCCCCTCCCTCCCTCTCCCCCTCCCTCTCTCCCTCCCTCCCTCCCTCCCCCTCTCCCTCCCTCCCTCTCTGCCTCGGGTTGTGGCCCGGGGTTGGGGTTGGGGTTTGGAGCCGCGGTTTGCAGTGGCTGCTGATGGCGGTGTGTGTTGTGTGTGAGAGTGAGTGAGTGAGTGAGTGCGCACACACACACACGCGCTGCTCGGCTTCCTGCCTCTGCCCTCAATGGAAAGTCATCGAGAGGGAATGTCGGTCTCTCGTCGGCGCTGGAAACGCTTTTGGAGGTTTCCTCTTTTTTAACTTTAGTATCTTACAGCCCAGAAGGAGGCCATTCGGCCCGTCCTGCCCTTTGCCAGTGCTGCTCTTTGCAAGAGCTGTCCAATTTGTCTCACCCCCACCCTTCCCCCACCCACCCTTTGGCTCTTTCTTACCCCCATATTTTACGCTTTCAAGTACATATCAATTCCCTTTTGAAAGCTACTCTACAATCTACTTTCACCACCCCTTCAGGCAGTGCATTTCCAGATCACAACAACGCTCTGGGTAAAAACATTTCCTCTTCTGGGAGTTTCTCCCTCTTCACTCTTATCAAAACCCTCATAATTTTGTACATCTCTATTAAATCTTCCCTTGAACCTTCTCTGCTCTGAGGGGAACAATCCCAGCCTCCCTAATCTCACCACATAATTGAAGTCCCACATTCCTGGTATCATTCTGGTAAATCTCCTTTACACCATCTGCAAGGCCTTGACATCCTTCCTAAAGTGTGATGCCCAGAATTGAACATAACACTCCAGCTGAGGCCTAACCAGTGATTTGTAAAGGTATAACATAATAACTCTTCTATTTTTTTTTCTCCTGCCTCTATATGCGTGCAAGAGGTTTACATTTTCAATCCACTACTGTTTGTGGGATGCTGGTGTGCGCAATTGGCGGCTGCGTTTCACCCACAAATATACAGTCAATTCATTTTACAGTCTATTCTGTGAAGCGCTTTGAGACGACTAGAAGACGTGAAAAGCGCTATATCAAATGCAAGGATTATTATTACATGGAACTCTAGTTTAGTTTGGATACTCTTAAGCATGCTGATTGATGTGTGTCATGTGTCAGATGACCCCCTCCCCCACCAAAAGAAAATTCACATCAATGTGGTTCCAAGCTTTTCCCTTGGACAAAGCAAGTCCATGCTGGACAAATAGCTGTTTGTCCAGCTAGGACCACCCTACTATTAGCGGTTTGGCTTGCAGGATTGATGACAGCTGACTGGGAAGAGTTCCTGCCCCAGCATTTGGGAGTTTCTATTTTTTTTTGTCGAACCACACTTGTGTGGAATTTTGTTTTGGTCGTCTGTTACATGCGGAACCCATCCCGGTGCTTGGGAGTCTCCAAACCAAACTGAAAATGTCATGAATCCCACCTATACATTGAAATCCTAGAGATAGATTGTTGGAATGGAATGTGGACTCTCTCCCTGGAGTAACGCATCCTGACAATTCCAGAAAGTATTAGGTGCAGGTTGGCAAGAGCTGAGGCTTGAGGACCCCAGAGTGTGTGTTGGGGTACTGATGAAGTCTAACCAGCTACAAAAATAACTTGTATTTACATAGCACCCTTCACATGGGATAGCGTCCTGGAACATTTCAGGAAAAAAACACACTTTGCTTGCCATTGAGAACACCGCCTGATGAGCTTTCCCACTGTTTATCAGCTAGAACCACCCTACCCCTTTAGGGCTTTGGCTTACAGGGTTAACAGAAGCTGAGTGGGGAGAGTCCCTGGCACCAGTGACTCGTCTGCCCCTTCTAAGTCCTGCCATTGAGCCAGTCTGCTGTGCTGGCATCAGCTGGTGAAGTACTGAGGACCTGGCTGGCTGAGGCACTGGACTACCAAGATCATTGAGGGGATGGTTCGATTCTGACATTCTGTTGCCAAACATATCACCTTGGAGCTAACTCAGCTCTAAGGAAACCCAGCTTACCTCACTCCCTGGAGGATAGTCACTTGTTATTAATTTGACATCCGAGAACAGCAAGCATGGGTTTGAACACTCACCACGTGAAATTTACTTGGTCATGTACCATCTGTAAAGGTGAAGGAACAGGGTGACCAGACAGTAGCATTTCAGCTTTGTTTTAAAAAAAGCCAACGACTCCTTGTTTCTGGCCTTTAAATCTCAAGGTTTCCTTTGCTTTCAATTTGGCACTTCAGAAAATTGGTTTTAAGCCTCAGTTTTTGTTGTTTTGCAGTAATACATCTTTTTAAACTATTGATAAATATTTATTTTATTTATTTAAACTAGTGAGACCATGTGGCCTTAAGTTGCAAACTTAAGTTGTGGAGACCTGTAGCTCAGTGGTTAGAGCACTCGCCTTGCAAGCGAGAGATCTGGGTTCAATACCGATCAGGGTGAAACGTTGGGCGAGTTTCCTTACTCCTCACCTAGTAAGGTTTACCTAGCGGTAAGTAGTAATCCAGTTGTTAGTCGATTGGCGGATCGCTTTTACGGACGTAATAATTCCTTCAAAAATAATAATTTGGTCACTCAATCCACGACTGTTTGTGGGACACTGCTGTGTGCAATTGGCTGCTGCATTTCGTCCACAAAATATACAGTCAATTCACTTTACAGTATATTGTGTAAAAGCGCTTTGAGACGTCTCGAAGATGTGATAAGGTGCTATATTAAATGCAAGGATTGTTATTAACAACTGTTAAGTGTCACCAAAAATCATTTTCAAGAACACAGAATCAGGAAAGAACATTCGGCCGATCAAGCCCTTTTGTTCCTTAACTCTTGCAAAATCTCCCCTTTCATGGACATCACCCATCTTATTCACTATCCTTGAAGCAAAAATACACCCCAAAATAATTGGTTAAGCTGCTTACCTACCCGTGGTCACACCCTGCTTTGCTGGTGACCTAGAATATTAGTGTGGGTGTCAAACCATGGCATTAGATTTCAAAAAAATGTGTATTTGGGGCCTGCTGGAATTGAACCAGATAAAAACTCTAATCTTACCAGTAAGAGGCTCTAGGAAGTTTCACAAATAAAAGCCATACTTGCTTGGGCACCAGTGTCCAGGGTTATCAAGAGCCAAGTGGGACCTGGTTTTCAGCCTGGGTAAAGCTGTTCTTGTGATTGTTATGATGAAACAACTTGGCTTGTTTTTTTTTAAATATGACATATCAGATTATGAATGTTAAATTTTGTTTAATCCAAAACAATTTTAAAATTCTCTCTACCACAACAGCATACATAAATCAGTAAGTGTAATGATTCAAATTTTGTATAAACAAAATTGTAGGGGGATGTAAGTAGTCACTTTGGCTCTGTAATTTGTGATTTGATTATCTGTTTGTGTGAAACAAATAGTTCTGTTTTTGACAGCATATGTAATTAAGCTTGTCTGAGATTCCCTTCTAAGTGGTATTTTACAAGTTCAACCCCAAAACACATTAGTTAAAATTGCTGACCTGTTACATAAATGTTGCGTGGTATGGTGCATGGTGCAATTGAAACAGTAACTTTCACTGAGAATTGAGTGAAGACATTCCATGACTAGATAAAAACTTTATAATTCCAAAGAGAATTTACTACTAATTTGCCAATTAAACGTATATTTAAACATAAATGAAACTTAAAAGCTTGAAGGGGTATGGGACAGTGGGACTGAAAGTGCAGGTTGCTCAGAGAGCCAGTGTGGACTCAATGGGCCAAATGGTCTCCTTCAGAGTTGTAAGTTTCTATGATTCTATGAAACATTTTTGTAAATTATTGAAATGGGATAGTTTTTTGATTTTTTTTCCCATTATTAGTATATAAGAAGTCAAACAAAACCTTACTCTTTTATCCCCTGCTTCCTTCTCTACTTTAATTTTGTAAACTTTTCTACTTTATTTTGTTTTGAAAATATTCGGCTTAGCTTCTGCTGGACTCTTATTGTAAAACCAGGTTCTGTGTTCTTTTCCACAAATTTAAATGGGCTACGAGTCTGAATGACCTTTTGCTGCATAATACAAAAATCAAGAATGTGACGTTCAACCCAGTAGCACCAATATATAATGCTTTATGCTAGAATTAGTTTGTGTCTATGCTAGGCAACCTTGTCACTTGCTTCTATTGGGTCTCCAGGGAAATCCTAACTATTCACTATTTTCCTTTTAAGTCATCACATCAGTTATGCTGGATGATGACTCTTTTGCTTTGACAATTAACTTGCATAACATATACTATAAACTTTATATACTTTACACAAGTGAAAGAAGGAATGCTGTACTTATTAACAAACTGCAGTTAGATATTTTTAACAAATAATAATAATAATAATCCTTGCATTTGATATAGCGTTTTTCACGTCGGGAGGGCTTCCAAAGCGCTTCACAGAACACACCGTAAAGTGAATTGACTGTATATTTGTGGGCAAACGCAGCAGCCAATTGCGCACAGCAATGTCCCACAAACAGTCGTAGATTGAAAATGACCAATTTATTATTGCTTTTGGTTTTGGAGGATTATTATTAGGCTCTGTGTGGAGTAAGGAAACTTGCCCAAGGTTTCGCCCTCTGCCTGGATTGAACTCAGGTCTCTCACTTGCAAAGCGA